AAAATCCATTTTTAACCCCCCCCCCCCCCCCCCCCTAAAAAGAGTAAACATATCGTTTTTTAACATCTCAAACCCTATCAGCATAACGTTGTTAGTTGTATATGTAAGGAAGGATCCGACCAGATAATCAATTGACCAAAGGTCCCAGTTCACCAAACCAATAGTCTTTGTTGTTCTGGTTCTGGACTCACATGGTTTTATGAGATTTACTTAATCTTGTATAGTATACATATAATTTAAGCTTAATGTGTTAGATCTTCGATTTACTTGTATTCGTTTAAACTTTTTAAATTTGTGATTGTCCTTTCCCATGTTTATTAAAAAACTCCGTTGCAAACACTGTTTTAAGTGATGTTCTTAGTATTTTGTTGAATATATTTTATTCAATTTCCAAGTGTCTTCTTTTGACATTATCTACCATAAAAACTTTAACAAACAAACCTAAATGGCTAACAAGATTGATTAAGCGAAGACTCATCAGTGAGGCATCTCTTCGACTTCTTCTCAAGAACATAAAGCACGACTCTACGGCTGCGATAATCCGGATGCCATTGTGTCTGTTCCACACGCCCAATCGCGAAATATTTCAGCGCGGATTCTAAGAAATATTCAAGAACAGCATCTGACAAAAACAAGAAAAATGGAGTAAGCAAGATTAGACATGGTATTCTTGTCATATAATGTGATTAAAAGCAAATATGAGAGAATGAATGCTTCACCATTCCGTAATTCTCCTGATAGGAAGATTGTAGTTTGATGGCCGCAAAGTTGCAGAAGTGTTTTTACCAAATGGTGAACAGCTTCTTCACTGTATATAACATCTGAGCCTAATACTACAAAGTGCACAGCAAAGAAAGAGGTGTTGGAAATGGTATGTACAAAAGGGGATGAGATGAAACAGAGATGGGTACCGTAATCAGGAAATGGTTCAATCAAATCTGGATCTGGGTCATCTCCCCAAACAAGTTCCTGCACAATAGCAGATCCCCGCGTGTTCCCACGGTGCAAATTGGTTTGGACGTTCTTGTTGAGTAGCCTCAATCTATCTGGAAGATCAGTGAGGACAACATTGCCTCCCAAGAGTGCTGCAATACAGCTGAAAGAAGAAAGTAACTAAATGTTTCACACGTTATTAATAGTAATCCACAGAGGAGAAAGATTTGCGGGTTTTGCTCACCCAACTAAGCCACAACCAGAACCCAACTCGACTATTTTCTTGCCATCAAGAGAAAGAACCTTAGAGTCAACAGAGTGTTCTAAGAACTTCCCTAGCACCACTCCACTATCCCACATCACTGACCCGGTTACTCCAGGCGTGTTCTTCACAGTTCACACAACAAACAGCCATCAGATAGTTCTAACACGCTTCATAATCAAAAGCAAGAAGAATCAATCTCATCACTTTAATAAAAGTCCAATGCATCACCTAACATGTGCTAAAAACATCGCAATGTAAGTTTGATTGGTAGCCACAAAGAGTCAAAGACACATTTTCACAAACTCGTTAATCTTCTCTAAACCCATCGTTTCAATACATCGAAAGGGCTCAATAAGGGTTCAAAAGACGCAAACTTGATTGCAACAAAATGAGAAATCAGTGAAATTTGAGTGACACAGAGAAGCCAAAGGAGTTACCATTGAACAAGGAGACTGGAGAATAGAGAGTGAGTGGCCACAAGCGTCGAGACGCAGCTCAAGAGAAGACTGAGCAACTAGGGCGTTTGGAGCAAAAGAAGTTGGCCCCTGAATAGCCCATATAACCATTATCTCCCCCGCCGCCAAATCGGATTCAGATTCCGATTCCGACTCCGACGCCGGAAACCCACCGACTACTATCACATCTCCGCCGTAACCACTCATCCGTCGTATCTCCTCCACCGTATCCATTGTCCCAACTCCCACACGCGCGGCCTAAGCCTAATGGATTCTCTCGGACGCTTCTATAGGAGACGAACCAAACAGACCCTCAACGTCGAGGGGGCACCAAACAAACAGACCCTCAACGTCGAGGGGGCACCAAAGTGAAATACAGCATAGTTTTGGAGTTGAAAACAAGTGTCAAATAATTTAACGTTTTCTTATATCCACCCCAAGATTTATAGATTTTCAATTTAACCCAAAAAGATTAAGCAGTTTATTAACTTATGCTTTTGGTATAAAGTAGTCGTAAACACTTCACTAATTTTTTTTAAAACAAACATACAATAGTTACGTGTTTTATTTCATATAAACCTTTGGTTACATTTAAAAAAAACTTAGTAATTGTCTCCACTTTACCAAGATTTCACACTTACATAAAAGGGAACATCCTCCAATTGGACTTGAGATGACAGTTCGAGTTTGAATCATAAGTCTTCTGAAACTTAACAGCAAAAGATTCATCATTGCTAAGAACCAAGAATACATTTACTGGATATGAATATCATTGAAGAAAACAGTTCCTACAATATTGTACGAAATTGCAGATTACATATTTGTAGAAAACACAACAATCTTGCTTACAAACATACTGACGATTTTATATATCTATTATTTAAACCAAAAAAATTATTAAAAAAATACTGACTAACATGAACCCAATTGATTTAGATCTGGTTTTTCAGTAATTAACTAATTACAAATCTAATTTTTCACTACTCACTAGCAATGTTATAATGGGCAGATATATAGTCGTACTTGATCATGGGGTTCAATAGATCGGCACGTAATTCTATGAGTCTCAAATTTAATAAAGGATAACTTCAACTTTAAAACTATGCTAATATTTAGCACAAAAAAAAAAAAAAAAACTATGCTAATATAAAAAAACAATAGTAATAGAGAGCATTGGTGTGTGAAGTGTAAACAGTGAAGCGTGTAGTGTAACAGTATGATTAAGCAACAAGTCAGGAGGAGTCTCCGAGTCTATCGGAGGCTTCTTTACCCTAGAGGCCAAGATTGTCTTAGCTGGCTTCCTACTGGCTCCTTGATGCCCAATCAATTTGTGTGTTTGAATAATCATTTCTTACATTTCCTTCACACGCATACTACGCAATATTTTCTGTGCTAAAAAAAACTATTTTTTTTTGTCTCTAAGTCAAGGCAAAATAAAAAACATGTAAAACTTTTTAATGTTTTTGTTTTCCTTCAATATGTAATTAAAAACTCCAAGACCAATCGTATATGCTTCTAAAACGCGTGGTCTTTCTTTGATGCGGCTCACGAAGTCTCGTCGTGGCACTTATGTGATATCGAGCCCTATCATAAGCATTATTAGCCATTAGGTTTCAAACCATACTTTTTGACTCGTTTTAGTGGCTCCATAAAGTTTTGACCTTTACCCTCATGATTCATTCCTTCACCGTCACGTTAACCAAAAAGGCTACTTGAGGTCAAAGTTACCTCGCAACACTACAACTACGACGACGACTCTCTCTTTTTATTTTATTTTATTATAATGCTTAACATTATCACCTCCTTTTAGTTTATTTTTCAATTTTTTTTCTCTTTCTCAGTCGCTGCTTACTTGTTCTGCATTCCCTGCCTCAAAGCAATGGTTTTAAACTCTCCACGAACTCTCCACACACACCGAGATAGAACAACCAGGGGTTTTAATTTTAATGGCGGAATTTTCAGGAGAATCCTATTGGCTTCTCTCTGCTGCTTCATCAACCACATTTCTTGCCTGCATTATCATCTTCGTCCTTGCGGGGATAGCGAGAAGAAAGAGAAGACAGCCTCAGACACTACCTCCGGGAAGCAGAGGATGGCCTTTGATCGGAGACACCTTGGCTTGGCTCAACGCCGTCTCTGGTTCACATCCTTCCAGCTTCGTTGAACAACAAGTCAAAAAGTTCGTTTCTTTTCCCCGGAAACCGAATATCATCTTCTTGTTGATCTTTACTGGAACCAAAATTCTAAAAAATTTACATGAATACTATGCTCTGTTTTGTTGCTCTGTTTTTAGACTAGCACTCGTGAGGTCTGACTGTAGTTTTTTCCCTTGAGTCAGGTATGGGCGGATATTTTCATGCAGTTTGTTCGGGAAATGGGCAGTGGTTTCAGCAGACCCGGCGTTTAACCGGTTCATAATGCAGAACGAAGGCAAGCTGTTTCAGTCGAGTTATCCAAAGTCTTTCAGGGATTTGGTCGGGAAAGATGGAGTGATCACGGTGCATGGTGATCAGCAGAGACGGCTTCACTCAATTGCATCGAGCATGATGCGTCATGACCAGCTCAAGACTCATTTTCTTGAGGATATACCTGCAGTGATGCTGCAGACATTGAGTAATTTCAAGGACGGTGAAGTCGTGCTTCTTCAAGATATCTGCAGAAAGGCAAGTGACTGAATATGAAAGGTTAATAGAAGAAGAAACCTTTAAGACATTTCTTGGTTTCTGATATTTGTTAGGTTGTGTTTCAGGTTGCGATTCATCTTATGGTTAACCAACTGCTCGGTGTGTCCAGCGAATCAGAAGTCAATGAAATGTCTCAGCTTTTTTCTGATTTTGTTGATGGATGTCTCTCTGTTCCTATCGACTTTCCTGGTTTCACATACCACAAAGCAATGAAGGTAAGTTTCAAACAAACCAAAATGAAACTCCAAACATCTAAGTCAATAGTTGATTTGTGGCTTTAGAGCTTCTTAGCTGAGATTTTTTTGTTGCTTGTCCAGGCAAGAAAGGAGATCATAAGAAAGATAAACAGGACAATAGAGAAGCGGTTGGAGAACAAAGCAGCATCAGATACTGGTGGTAATGGTGTACTTGGAAGATTGCTTGAAGAAGAATGCTTACCAAACGAATCCATGGCAGATTTCATCATCAATCTTCTGTTTGCCGGAAATGAAACAACCTCGAAAACAATGCTGTTTGCGGTTTACTTCCTCACTCATTGTCCCAAGGCCATGACCCAAATTCTGGTACATATAAAGCCTCTTCTTCAATGATAACATGTTAGTTCCTTTTGGTTCTCAGTTATGTTTACCTTCTGAAACAATCTGCAAAATGTGCAGGAGGAACATGATAGGCTCGCGGGTGGAATGCTAACATGGCAAGATTACAAGACAATGGACTTCACTCAATGTGTAAGTAAATCAAGATGACCAAGAAGCTGGTCTGCTTCTTATATCAGATGGTAATAACCGTCACCAAAAATTTTCATGATTTCTCAACAGGTAATAGATGAAACACTCAGGCTTGGGGGAATTGCAATCTGGCTAATGAGAGAGGCCAAAGAAGATGTGTCATACCAAGGTACGTGATAGCATCTTTAATTATTGATATATGCAGGCAGATATGGTTTAAAAATTAACTCTTTCTGGCTCCTATGCAGATTATGTTATTCCCAAGGGATGCTTCGTGGTTCCATTTCTGTCGGCAGTACACTTAGACGAGAGCTATTACAAGGAAAGTCTCTCCTTCAATCCATGGCGATGGCTTGACCCTGAAACTCAGGTATTACTTTTTCTTTGACACTGAAGCATTATTTCTTAAACCTTGTTTGTCTTATTCTGGAAGTTAACATATATTGATGTGAATGTAGCAAAAGAGGAACTGGAGAACAAGCCCCTTCTATAGCCCTTTTGGTGGAGGAACTAGGTTTTGTCCAGGAGCTGAACTGGCTCGCCTTCAAATCGCGTTCTTTCTGCATTATTTCATCACCACATACAGGTCAGTACCTGTTCTGTTTATGGGGTTTGATTTGTCTAAATACAAATTTGATTCATTCTTGTTCCATCTTCTAGGTGGACACAACTTAAGGAAGATCGCATCTCCTTCTTCCCTTCAGCTCGTCTAGTAAATGGCTTCAAAATCCAACTGAACAGACGGGACAATGATCCTCGGAATCAATATTGAACAAACAATCTCCAACTCTGTATTGATGTATATTCCCTGTATAACCAAGTGATTTTTTGTAACTCAAAAACTCGAATAATACTATAAATAGTGTTAAACTCCTAAGTTGCTGAGATCCAAGTACTCTATAAATTTAAACAATAGTAAAACCCAATAACACCTAACAACTAGTATGCTTTTAGAAATCATCTTCATTAGATTCTTTGCTTCAAAAGCCTTTAAACTCTAACAAACCCATTTGGTTTTCACAATTACAACAAGTGCAGGGCTAGATGGCAAAAACTGTATTGAATCCTAAAGCTAAACTCTTGTAAGCTTTCGACATAAATATTAAAGACGACAAAACACGAGAAGACTAAAAGAAGATATAACCCTATTCAGTCTCCATCGATCCTCTCATTCTTCTTCATCTGAACTCTCATACGCTAATCCCAACAAGCCTTTCAAAGCATTTTGACCTTGCCCATTGATTTCCGTTGCATTACTATCATTTCTGTCTGTGCCAGGTTGCTCATCAGGTCTGACCGGTTTCTTTAACACTGTCTTGGCTTCTTCTTTCTGCCTATCTCCCTGAACTTTTGCATCTGTTGGACCTCTATCACTTCTAACAGGGGGAGATAAGCTTGGGCTTGATGGTGTCGAGACTTTTGGACGTTTAGGTTTAACCTCGACAACTTTCTTCAGCAAATCTTGCTGCCTACACATTGGAAACCAGGAAAGTTGGTTGCTGAGTGAAAATCCATTTTATGGTGTAAATAAGGTAGAAAGGGAGGGATTTGCCACCTGATACCACTCTTTGGTTTGGGCTCAACACGAAGGGGCAAGGGAACAGATGCTGGAGATGAATCAGCTTGAGTTGCAGCTTTGTGATATATGGTCAAGAAAAATAAAAATAAAAACGTTTTGGCAGGCATTTAGCAATAAGTTACGCCTGGTGGCATAGTGATCGAAAGGATATTTTAAAGGCAGCAAAAGCCCGTTTTTCAGTTCGTCTCAGAAGGCGTTCAGCATCCTCCTCTGCTTCCATCTGTTCTTTCAGATAAAGTAAATCGTCGCTGTCTAAAGCTACAAGAAACTCAAGAATTATGGCCATGAAACAACTATAAAGGATGAGAAAAAATGAGAGAGATTGGTACCGCCTCGTCCATGAAGATATCCTCCACGTTCACCAGCAACCTCTTGCATCTGAATGCAACAACCAGAAAATGTGGCGGGGCCGTTATCCCTGCCGGGGCATGTTATCAGAAAAGTCGCGTCCCGAAATAGAATCGAACATAAGAATTACTTCACAAGACATCTATATCCAATAATGCTAACAAAGATATCTATCTATTCCACTTCACTAGCAGCTATACCAAAACAATCAATAAAAACCACATACTGACTCAATCCTAGGGAAACGAAGAAACAAGAGCTTAATCGAATTGATGACATTAAGCATACAAACGACACTCATCAAATCACTCTAAAGTATACTGCAACAAAGACCAATTGAACTCAGTTTCTATGGCGAGATAAGCCCTCACACTAAAATTTGTGCAAAAATAAGGTTTGGAAAGTAACAGAGGAGAGGGCGACGCACTAACCTTTGCAACCATCCGTTGGAAAGTGACATCTTCATCATCAATCTTACCCTTCCCTGATTTCTTATCTGCAACAAAGACCCCCAAAATACAAACAGAGCTCAAAAGGGTTTCTCGAGAAACCTACAATGAAACCATATTCAGTCAAATGTCTCACCTTTAGGGTCAGACAGATTTGTGTATTCTCGAACTTCTCTCCCTGCCATCGTCTTCGATTCTACCTTGCTTCAATCCCGTAAATATAAATTCTTGGTCTGCTACTATGAACAGTAAGAATTTCACAGAAGATTAGGGTTCCCACGTTTTCCAGGGGTGGAGACGAAGATGACGATCGAAGAAGGGTGAAATTGGTAATCTTTTTCTCTCCAGCAAAATCGTCTGTAGATGGAGTGTGTGACTTGTGGTTTTTGCGTCTCTCTTTTCCCATTGAGTTTACGATGAACAAATATTATGGGCCTATATATAAGCCCGTTATAACTTTCTGCCCTATACTTTTTTCAATTTTTTTTTTTAACAACAAATTTCATTTTATATGAGTTAAATGATCTTCTAATTCTTCATTAAACTTATAGAAAATAGGAAAAAAACTCAATAAATTTGCAAAAAATTACACCTCTAAGAAATATATTTTACTCTTTTTAATATATATCTATTTCAAATGTTATAAGTCGTTTATGACTAGTTTTGCCATCATGAGTTCATGACATATGTAGTAGCCTTAAGTCCCCCATAACTATCGATCTAATTAACAGTTTAGCCATTATTTTTCAGTAATTCACAAGAGATACCATAATTATCTGTTTTTTTTTTAATATATAGTATTGTTTTGAAACTACTCAAAAAGAAGAGATGTCTAGTAGAGTGGTGGTAACGTGAAGTACTCCTTTATTTCAGGCATCATGGCATGGACCTAATTTAGATAGAAATTACACTTTTACTATATATTGATCGATACATTATTACGAATCTATACATGGATCAACCATAATACCATATATATATATATATATAGAGAAAGCCAATTATAAAACAAAAATAAGAAAACGCACGCTCTTTGAGTTTTATATATAGATAACGAGAATTTTCCAAGATTAAAACAAAAAAGAAAAACCAAATCAAAAGTGTGAAACCATTAAACTTATGAAAAAAATAATAGTTTTTGACGTATTTGACAAATGATAATAAATAAAGAAAAACAAGTAAAAGCCGCACGCACGTAATAACACGTTCGATGTATATGTTTTGGGGCCAAAGGAGGAGGAGGAGGTTTTGGGACGTGACATGATTCTTCACCATAAGTTTTGAACATAAAAAGTGTTTTATTAGATTTGGATCCAATTCGCAAGAGAGAGAGAGAGAGAGAGGGAGAGTTATGAGGATGGGGTGTTGTTTTTATGGTCCGTACGATATATAACAATTTCCTTTTAAAGCCAACCAACCAAAAGAAGATCGCATTTATCAATCTTTGCTGTTTCTTCTTTCTAACTTTCAAAAAAGTCTTCAACTTTGTCAGATTTCATCACCTAACCTCTCTATCTCTCTCCCACCCATAAGTAACAACAACATTTAGATGAGCAAATGGGGCTTAACTTACTTAAGCAGAGCCAGAGACAGAGACCATACATGTATTAATATAGGAGAAGAGATGACCAAAAGTTTAATGCTTTCAACTAAGAAAAGGTTGCAACAGAAGTCAATGCCCGAACCATACAAAGCAAGTCAAAGTTGCATGGTGCGTTCTTGACTTCCAGTTTCTAGCAAAAATTAAAAAACTAAGAAAAAAATACAATAATAATGAAAAAAAAAAGACCCCTAAAAAACTCATAACCACCACCACCAATAAAAAAAAGAAACCAAAAGAAGAGAGAAGAAGAATCCAGCTGTTTTTTCTTTTTTTCTTACAGAAGTTGTTTTTAATGAGGTTTGTCCAAGAACAGAACAGCACCAACAGAAGCAGCAGAACAATTGGAGTTAATGAGCTTCTCTCTCTCTCTCTCTCTCTCTCTCTCTGGCATTGAAGGCAAAGAAGAGTTAATTCCCTTCTCTGATCATTGAAGAGAAAGAGACACCCAGAAGAAAGAGGAAGAGCCTTTAATGGTGTCAAGCTGTTGTTGAAGCTGTAGGCCCGTTCAAGGCGGTTTTAATTTGGTGCACAGTAGTTCCTATGAGGTTATTAACCGTTTCCACTGACTCCATATTCAGTTTTGCCGACGGTAAGTTGCTTACCATTATCTGAAACCCAACTGTTATCAACGAACCGCTTGACGATGACCGTCCTGAGCTCGTCGACGCTCCTCCCACTCCTCCTTGCTCGGACGTTGAGCCATTTCCATCTGGTGAGATTGCGAAACCTGAGGACAAGAGTGGGATGTATGAAGGATCTTCACCACTCATTGCGATGTTTAATGCTGCTAAATCCACGGGACTGTAGATCACAAGTGCTCCTGCTGAGTCTGTTGAGCTTTCTTGTAGAATTAGCATGTTGTTGCTATGTGGTGCATTGGATGCCTAATGTTACAAATACCAAACGTCACTAGTTAACAAACTGTGCTGAAAATTTTGTATCACTCAGATTAAAAAATACGAGACTTACACGTAGAACCGATATGCAGTTTCCAGGATGTGATCCGCTTGAGATGTGAGCAACTTCTTGCACAGAGTTACCGTTTGAAAGAACATCCCACTAATACCACCAACAACAAAGAAACAATTTAAACACTTTGGACGATTCTTTACTTATGAAGCTTTTGTGTTGTGTGTTTGTTACCTGAGGACGGGTTCTTTCATCTTTGAGGAAATTGAAGACATTTTGAGGAGAATTGGAAAGCCAGAAGGTGGTGGCTGCACAGAGGACTGTGCCATTTGGTTCAGGGCTCTTATGAGCAGTCACACGGATTCCAACTTCGTTCAATTCAGAAACGACGGTTGAGCGTGTGTTGTTTGATCGGCTGACACTTAAACAGTAGTTGCTTATCATTCTCTGAGCAAGTCTCATCATGCTTCTTTTCCCTTCCGGCGATGGAATCACTGAAAAAGTTGCAAAAGATTTGTTATATGGAGTTTTACAAATGCGATTACCAATGGCAACTTATGTCTATTCAACGTTTTCACCTCCACCGAGATCACGGGATGAAGATGCTGGTACCGATAGAGACGCGAATCTTTCACACATTCTCTGGAGAGTAGTAAGCCATCGTTCAGCTCCAAAAGCAATCCCTTGGTGAATAATCTCTCTGTATAGCTCATGAATTGGTTCTTTTTCTTCGGTTTCAATATGTTCAACCCAAGTAACCTGTTTTACTTCATCAGTTTGGGGATATACTAACATGAAAACATCATTTTATAGGCAGAGGGAAGAGAAAAGAAAGGCAGTTCACCTTGGAATAACCATTGGGCATGTCCTGAATCAAGCATCCAGATGGAAATCTATAGGACTGAGAGTGAGAAACAAACTGAGGAAGATCATATGAGACATTTACAACGATCCAGCTTCCTTGTTCAATCTGCTGACAATACCGTAGCTCGCAGATTTCACGTGTTGCTACCAATGGCGAAAGTACTTCCATTTCTTCATACAACTATATAGCCAAACAAAGTTATTATATACGAGGAAATCTGAATACCTTTTGATGCATCACAAATCAAGGAGATTTACTATCAATTTTACCAAGTGTAATGCACCCTCATGGGTACCTCCCATTCCTGAAGAGATTACTGCAAGTGTTTTAGACGCTGCTATGATCGAGGGAAAGAGTTCTGCCCACTTGCCCTGCAAAAACAGAGAAACTTAATCAGAAATGCTGCAACCAATGGCGAAAAACATGATGTTGGGAATGTATCAGCTACTTACACAATCCATGAACATGTCAACAAGTGCCATAGCATTCATGAAAACAATTCCAGAAGACCTAGATGCCTCGACTCGAGAGTTATGGTTCTTCCCTCTGTTGCTTGATCTTGGAAACATGTTCTCATAGCTTCCAAGATTGAGAACGTCTCTGCAGCCATCTGCTTTGGTCCACAGAGGTTCATTTGTGTGAAGAAGCCTGAGCAATTCTTCCATTGCAGTCAAAGCCATGTCGGTCATATGAGGCTTATCCATGTCCGATATAGCCAAGTTAGGCTGAGAATGCAGATTATTATGACCAAGAGCCATAGAACTTCCTGGAAGAAGATCAAAGTCCAGTGAAGGACCATGACCACAAGGTCCACAACCAGTTAAACTAGTCATGGACAAATCCAGCGGTGAGATGTGCATTGGATGTAATGAGGAGAGTTGGGATATAGGTCTTCCCATGTACTTTGAAGCAACGGTAGACATTCTTTCAAGCTGTGCAAAAGATCAAATTTTTACAGTCAATTGATGTTTTGAATCAATCTAATATGGATAAGAACTGCAGAAAACAATACCAACCTCTTCTCTAAGATGTGCATTTTCAATCCGAAGCTTTTGTTCATCAAAGTAAGGATCTTCACTAACAGGAGGACCTCCACAGCTAGGGCATATAGCATGCTTAAGTGCTTCTCTAATGGCTATGTTTTCGCATCGAATCTTATCATTCTCTGCCTTTAGTGCACTATTATCTGCTCTCTCATGTTGCGCCTACATAAAAACAATACCACAATCAAAATCAAAATCCTTTCTTTTGATATTCAGAACTACATTTCAAACAAAAGGGAGATAGAGAGAGAGAGAGAGACAAAACCTTAAGCTGAGTTCTTCTGTTCTGAAACCAGAACTTGATTTGTCTTGGAGCCAAACCCAATTCTCTGCTAAGTTGATTCCTCTGCTTCTCATCTGGATGAGGACACTCCTTGAAACTCCTACAAGTTCGAGATTCAACAATTACAAACAGAACAAGAATTTTACTCAAAAAAAAAGAAGAAAAGAGGAAAAAGGGGATTGTATAGTACGATTCAAGGCGTTGAATCTGTTGAGCGGTATGACGATGGTAACGTTTCTTCTTCCTATCAGTTTCAGAGCCGTCGTGATGTTGGCTACCACCACCGTCTCCGCCGCTACCACTCCCACTCCCGCCGACGCCGACGACAAAACTCATATTTTATCACTTTATTTTAATTTTTTAATGCGTCGAGAGACAAAAACAGAGCAGTAAAACACTCTTTAATCTATATGGCTACTAACAAACTTCTTCTCTTTACTTTCACCCAACCACAAACTACTAATGGACCATTTACACCACTGTCGCCATTAACACAAACCCAACAGAGAAACACAACAACAACAACGAAAAATGTTCAAACTTTTTATGCACCCACCCAAAAAAAAAACTAAAACTTTAGGGAAGAGGGATGAAAAGAAAACGAAACGGAAGAGAATCTGAAAGAGAAGATGCAAAGGCGATGATTTCGGGAGGTGAAAGCTGAAAGGGTTCGCTTAAGGCAACAAATTGATTACAAAAAAGGAATTTGCACAAATCCAAAAACCCCAAAATTCAACTAAAAACTTAAAGAAAAATATATATAGGCAGGGTGGAACCTTGAGGAAGAAAAGAGAAAAACGGGTGGGTTTTGTAGCCGTAATTATGTCTCTTCTTAGTTTCTACAGAGCCACCCTAGAAAGAGAAAGAAGTGAGTGATATGATCTCTCTAAAAAGACTTTCACCCTCACCTAAGCCGCCATTAGTGCTCCCAACCCTTTTGTTGCTTCTCTTCAACATTCGTTACCACAGATTCGCTAAAAAAAAAAAAAGAAAAAAAAAAGAGACTCTCTCTCCCAACCTGTCTCGCTTTAGAAATTGGCGTAACTGATGGGTTTTAAATGGTGTTTTGACAGAGGAAAAAGAAATAGAAGAGAGAGAGACGACAGAGAGAAAGAGAAAGAGAGGGTTTTAAAGACTCTTGCTCTCCCCATTACTGCTTAGTAGTACTCTCACCATACTCGGGGAGAGAGAGAGAGAGAGGACCGAACCAACCTTCTTCTTCTTCTCTTTTTTTTTTTGTTGTCTATACAACTAACTCTCTCTCTCTCTTTTGGAGTTCCGGTTGATTTTTATGTCTCCGGTAAGGGTTAATCTATCTACGGGGGTTGGATAAAAAGGAGAAGACTTTATCCACTTTCTCCGGCCAATTTCTCACCTTTGTAGTATAATGACAAATTTTAACTTTTTATTGGGGGATTTTGCTGATCTCATTTTCTTCTTCTTCTCTTCTTATTTGGATTATTTTATTTATATTTTCCCTTTCTCATTTCCCAAGTTTACTTACTTTCCCTAATTTATTAAACAAATAAAGATTTATTAGTATTTATACTTTAGTAGTAAATAATCTTCTTTTAATAAGGATAAACATATATGAGTAAGGCTGTATTTTTAATTACTTTGTGTATATTCATTAATAAATAAAATTATACCACTACAGTAATAGATTCTTTCTTTCTTTTCTCAAAACGCCACTTTTCTATTAAAAATATTGAATTTTTGTATAATTATTTTATACATATATATATATATATATATTTATTTATTTTTTTACTTTTTCTCAAAATAATAAAGATTCTAAGGATATCTAGTTAGTAACTATTGTTCTAACTCGTGATAAATTTCTTACCCACGGATGAAATATATTATTAACTGGGAAGTAAAAATGGTGCATCATAGTTTACACATTGACAAAAACAACTTATCTCCATTGTAATTAAACCGGGTCATATTTTATACAAAATTACGAATAATAAAGATTTGTTTACTGAATACAATGAATGCTTGAACGGTTCCACTAATTTATAGTTTTCTATAAAAGTTTATTATCCATTACCAGATTTAATCATATCTCTATTTAGCAAACATCACACGTTTATCCAATACTATATTTTGCGACTGTTTAATTAGCATAAACTTTATAAAAAATTTCATACCAACTTTTATAGCTTTTTATATGTAATAACTTTAGCTATTTTTAGATTACGTTTAAATAAGTTTTATTAATGTGTTTTAGGTTGTTTGTTGTTGTTGTTATTGTCTTTTTGCCTTTTTTGGGTCGTCTCGATATCTTTGGCTGTGTGTGTCCTACTCACGCGGCCTTTAAAACTCTTTTTTCACTATACGAAGTTCATATCTTAAAAGTCAAACTCTTTTGAAATTAGAAACCTGTGGAAAGAAAGAAATATTGTTGAAACTTGTAAACTTGACAACAATGTGAAATTTAATATTTCAAAATTTTCGTTGACAAAAGGAATATATAATAATTCTAGAACTTTGCATGCGATTACTTAATTACTAATTGTGTTTCCCTCAACAAAGATTATATATGAATAGTACATGATAATAATCTCATAATTAAACTGATTTAGCATAATTTCTGTTTTGGTACATTATTATTCATGTTTTCATTATTGGATGATATAGAAACGTATTCATGGATTTTTATTAGAGATTATAAATGCTATATATATAACTTGAAGTAAATATGAAATCTATTGATGAACTTAAAGATAGTAATGAATTTGTATCATATATCATTCACCAATTCTTTGTTATTGATTGAGATAATCATTTAGGATAGCAATACTAGTTATTTAAATTGTTCATATTATTATCACTTTGGTCTTTAATTTACCCATTCATGTGTGTGTGTGCCTATATATGTTATTCCTAAATTATTTTTAACATTAGTCTGAAAAATGCTAGGAAGCAATTAAATATAGAGTGAGTATTAAAGCAATGATATAAATTTCCCCTCTTACCACATTTAAGTTTGGGACCTTGAATAAAGTGATCCCTTGACAGTGTTCACATACAGTCTTCTCTGCTGCCTTCGTTTGCTTGCTCCATATAGCTATCCCAAAACTTTAATTATCATATGGACCGATTCATTACTTTATTTATTGTCTTTAGAAAATTAATTCAAATGTATCTTCAACAAATTTTCATAATTATTACTACATACACGTGTGTGTGATCGTGTACAGTTTTGGTCAATTTGGTTAACCAAGATATGACTATAAGTATTAATAATTTGCTCAGCCAAATGTATGAGTTTTATTACTTGATGATTTTACATCGATGGTAGTTTCATGAATTTCAGATTTTACAGTTTTTTTCTTAATTTATTTTTCACTTTACTTCAATCATCCAAGGAAGACCTCTTTAATCTTCTTGAGTACCACCAAAGAACCTCTGCTTCAAAATGTAGCAGATGTAGAGACAAACGACGACTGACCAAAACAAGTTCCGAACCGACGAAGCTCCTTGGTTCTGTTGTTGTCCGTACGCAATCTTCATCTTCTCCAGCTTCTGCTTCTCTCCCGAAGTTTCTAAAACTTTCTTCATCCTCTCTGATGCTTCAGCTGCAAGCAAACCCTCTCTTACCTCTCTTTCCCCGACCTTTACATCATGTGGCTCTTGACCATCTTTACTTTTTTGTTTCGTCTTTTCGGTTCCTGAGATTTCCTTCTGCTTGCTTCCTACTCCAAGAGATGACGGTTTTTTTGGAAGGAGGTTACGGAGTGAAGCCAGTCTCAGAGGCAGAGGTTTATCTTCCGGGATTGCAACTTTCTTGGTCTACAAGAAAACATAGCAATGTAAAGTTTAGTTTTGTTAGCTATATCATCAAAAGTAATCTTTATATCAAAAACTCACCAATTGTTTGAACTGGAGATTGTAAAGCATTTCAATGTATCTCTGCTTCGCTTTCTTTTGATCTTCGTTCACCTGTCTCCAAAATCCATATATGCTTCCCATTTTAAGCAACTTCTCTGCATAGATCTTCCATGTGTAACTGCACCGAGGATACAAAATCCACAAATAAGCAATGAATGTGATAACTGAGAAGTATTATGTTTCAATATTATCTTTACGTACCACTCATAGATGCGTTTGAGACCACCCATAGAGATACTATCCCAATACAAAGCATCTGTACGGCATTTGTTGAAGAAATCTCCAATTTTCGTAACAGAGTCATCACCATTGTTGGGATCAATGTGGAAACCAGAGACACCATCAACAATTATCTCCGCTGGTCCACCTTGGTTCGTGGCGAATGTTGGGAGTCCACAGTTCATCGCTTCAATAACAGTTAAGCCAAAAGCTTCATACAAAGCAGGTTGAACAAAGACTCCTTTTGTATCCGCAATGCATCTGTAAAGCTCACTGTTTCTGTATCTATCGGTTTGAGCAGCGATCCATCTGAACTTCCCCTTGAGCTTGTACTTTTCAATTAGATCATGCATTTTCTTGATCTCAGCTTTTTCTTCTCTGTCATTAGATTTCGACATGTCAAAGAATCCAGCAACGACTACAAGGTTAGCCATCTCTCTAAGTCTCTTGTCTTTGCCATACCACTCAACCAAACCAGTTATGTTTTTCACCGTGTCGAGTCTCGCCATTGAGAAGATGATCGGTTTCTCTCTTTCCGCAAGATATCCCCTGTTTTCACATAGGCAGAATTATTTAGTCATATGGTGTCCGACTGTTGAGTGTTGACTAATTCGATTGCAATGAGCTAGCTAGACTACTTACATGTGTTCGGAATTGTCTTTCTCATTGTAAAGCAATTCTTGTATAGAAGGATGAAACTTGGTAAATCGTTTTTGCTTCTCTGTGTAAGGGAAGTATACAGATTGATCCGCCCCAGGAGCAGAAATGTTAAACTTTGGATCAAACACATCAATGCCAGAGACAACTCTACATAAACCAGGCATTGTGAACGCAGTATGACTCTCGTACTGTCCTGGCCTGTCCTTGCTGCAAATCAAAAGGTGCACTTACTTAAGTTTTATGAGTTTGAATCATATATGTATATGTTAATGCAAAAAAAGACGAACCTTCCAGCGATTTCTTGATATGTGCTGGTAATGATGAAGTCAGTGGCATTCATTGCGATTAAATCAGCTGTGAATTGGCATGAGAAATGGTATTTAGGATCTAGTTCCTTCCACTTTGCATCTGAATCTTCATACTTTGTCTTCTCCAACGCATGAGCAATTGTTCCCTGAGTGACACCGAGTTTGGTGGCCATTAGAGATGCAACCAAGTTCCCATCTGTGTAGTTTCCGATGATGAGGTCAGGCTTGCAGTCAAGGCGTTGAAGAATCTTGCTTGTTGCATCCTGTAAATAACAACAATTTGTCAGGAGGTTTGGTTTGCTTTTGTCTTTGAGAAACTATGAAAATCTTCTAAAGAATGATGATTAATTTTTACCTGAGTGAATCTCTCTAGGTAAGGGTAGATATCGAATCGGGAAACCCATTGACGGAGGATTCCTTTATCTGTGACAAAAGGAACCCTGAGAATATGAGAATGCTTGGTTCCTTCAATGGCTTCTAGTTCTTGATCACACTTTGTTCCTCTTGCTTCAGGTATTAACCGTGTCACAACAAGAATCTGAGGCTTGAATCCGAGACCTTGCTGGTTAATTCGAATGAGAAGCTCTTCCTCCAAAGCTCTTACTTGATCCAAAATGTAAACAACCTGTATGATCATAATACACCAAGGGTTTATATAACAAGGAAGTTTCTGTTTGTGAAGTAGTTATCAATTTTTCTAGGTAATATAAAACTGAAGATTGTTTTTGCAATGACCTGGCCTCCGGTATCTGGTAATCCGAGCACGTCTTGCTGGCCAAAATAGCCGTGGACAGAGAATATCACAACGTTGAACACTGTGGGAAGTCTGCTAAAGAGCAAATCTAGCTTCACATTGTCTGGTGCTTCAAGAACTTCTGAGAGCATAACCATTGTTTCTTTCACTCTCTCTGCTGTCTCTCCCCAACCTTTCTCGAATCCCATCTCCTTCAACCTACGAAAGTAATTTTTCAGTTAGATTCTTGTTCCAGTTCCTCATAAGGAAGATATAGAAACCCCGTATATATGTCTCTAGTTTTGAGCAGTTTTTTTTACCTTTGTGCAAAAGTTTCATAAAGCGTGTGTTTTGGGTATGTCGAGACTACAATGACAGCAAGCATCAAAGATTTCTGGAGCTTTGCAACCGTGTTGAGATCATCATTTATCATGAGATTCTGCGGAGAGGAAGCATTGTTCACTGAGATAGGAATTTCAAGAAGATAAATGTAAATAGAAACAAGAAAATAATTCGGTCATTACCTCTCCATGATGGTTAAGGTGAAGCAAGTAGGTCAACAAAGGGTCTAATCGATCTGATTTGCCTCCAAGCTTAGAAGATATAAACTTAGAGATGTAATCAGCTCCCTTTCCAATCGAAGAAGAAAGACTAAGCCCAGGAGTGGTGAAATCAATGGCTCCAAAGTCTATCTCCAATGCATTTTCATCTTTAGACCTACAAAACGTTTCATTGAAGATTACACCAAATGATCAATATTGCCAAAACGCCGTATGTAGATTGTTTACGAACCATGACTCATCGAAAACTGATTCCTTGAGCTTTAAGTAATCAGTAGCAGTGATTTCATCCACTGTTAAATCCTCAGAGTTGACCTTAACATATTCCCAGAAACCAGGATTTGGCCTTGCGGCTAGTGCAACAAACGGTGGAACCACTGCCGCCTCCTGAGTAGTTAAAACAGAGAAAATTGAACCGAGATTTCTCATAAACACGCAACTAAACCATGTTTAATAGCAAAATGGCAATGAAGATATTTGATTACCTGAGTACAAGTGAGAATGTAACCAAACAGCCCCTCCAGGATCTTACTGCGTTCACGGCTATCTTCTATACATTTCTCTATCTCATTCATCAGATGCTCACGCTTCATTAGCTTCTTTCCTCCACCAACAAAGCTACAACATATTTAACACACATAAACATATAACTAAAGAATCCAAATGGCATGAAAATGTAGGAAAAGAGTGTGATCTTGAAAGTTTAAAGAAACCTGGCAAAACATCTCTTCATATGGTACCGGCTTTGTTTCAATGCATCAGGCATTTTGTCAGCGATTGAATCCGATCTTTGAAGCATCGCTGGAGATAAAGACGACATATTTTTCTTTTACAGAAACAACCAAAAGATTCAAGCTCTCCTCAATATTATTGAATGATTGAGATATGAAGTAGTTTGATGAAACAGAGTTTAATCAGAATGTGTATATATAGATACCTTAAGGTAAATAAAATAAAGAATATGCTGTGAAGGGGGACAGGAGTAAAAAGAAGGAGAAGGATGGGGGAGAAGATGATTCGTTAGAAATAAAAGTAGGAAAAGCCAAGTGAACAAAAAAAGAATATTATACGCAAAAATCAGATTTTGTACCTTTAGCTCTTCTTTGGGTTCATGTGAAATTAACATATAAGGTAGGTATGAGGGGGGCAAAAAGAATACTCTGTTTCCCATGGATGCTTTGCTTAAGCTGTGGTCCCTGTTGACAAAGATCTATATCACCATTTTGTGCATATTCTTTAATATGTAGTATTCATATATTAATTAAATGAACCATCCTGATAAGTGTAGTTTAATTTTGATTATCATAACCACTCTTAAGTTAAGGCCAACTTTTTCGAACTAGCTTAACAAGAGATGGTGATCATAACTAGTTCAACTTTGATTTGCACTGATAAAGTATATACTAGTAGTCTACTAATGAAGCATTTGTTGGGATTTTGAGATTTATATACGTACCGCGGGATACAACAACGAACGGGACGAGAAACATACCGGACCGAGTATCAGTTAAGTAGCGAACCAAACCGGTACCGAATCAAAAGTCGGTTAAGCCACTTTCGGTTTTTTTAGTTCCTCGGAGCTGCTCACTGTGAGGGACTCAACGACGTGTCTCCGGTAAGCAGAAGCCAGAAGAAAGCGCCGAAGAAGACGACGGTGGAATAGCCATGGAGATCGAAGAGATAGAGACAGCGAAGAAGCGATGCAAATCGGTTATAAGGACGATAGAGAAGCTTCCGATATCAACAGCCATCACTGCTTCGTGCCGTCGCACTCTCCTTAAGCTCGCTTCCTCTGAGCTCTCCTTCCTCTCGACTCTCTCTTCCGATCCTTCTCCACAGCCTCTCAGGTTCTCTGATTTCAATCATCTCTTTCTTTATCACTCTCCAATTCGCTCTAATTCTGACTTTGATTTTTGTTTCTCTGCAGTGTCAACATTGGCCATATTGAATCAGTTGTACGCATTTTGCAGCTTCCGTCAATCACCGGCGTTTCGCGCGTTTGTAAACCGATTCCTCTTCCGATTGGTGGCGTTCATGTTGATCTCGTATGTACTCTCGGGAAGGTTCCTGTATGGATCATAGTCTCCGATAGAAACCCTAGGTATATCTCCTGGAGTGGAGATCGCCATGGAAGCAAAGGTTTAAGTTTGAGAATCGAACAGATTCTCGCCGCTGCTCACTCCTCAACCACGCTTAAACCTTCTTCGGTGATTCTCTTCTTCGCAAATGGTCTGCCTTCTTTAATTTACGAGAAACTGAGAGACGAATTTGGGGCTGTGTATTTCAATTTCGATGTCGGTTCGGATTTCGAGTGCGACGAAACGGTGGAAGGAGAATGGGTTCACGTCGTGCGAACCAGATCGTATAAAGAAGCAGTTTCTGTTGAGATCAAGCTCATAGATCATCAATGTGATTCACCCTCTACTGAACCTGAAGTTGTAGTTCAAGCAGAGGTCCCAGAGCTAAGCCAAAAAGAAGTTGCTTTCTCTTCTGTAATCTCCTCCATGAGATTGCTCGGCGAAGATTGCTTTATTAATTTCGACACAACAGCTCTTGTTGCTCTTGTTTCTGGAATCAGCAACGGGTGTGCTGAGCGAATCGTTGATATGCCTGAGACCGAGTTAGAGGAAAAGTTTAAGGGAAACACTGTTTTTGTGATTGCTCAGGTACCCCCATTGAGAGATAGAGTCACCATTGTCTATCAAAAGATTCAAAACATAAACTTTTGTGAAATTGACAATTTATATGCAGGCGAGATCTGAAATTGAGAACCCTGTTCTAGTCAAAATGAGAACTGTAGTATCAGGGAAGCGAGGGATTGTATGCGAGAGTGTTCTTTCAGAGTTCAAGGAGCTAGTGTCCATGTACGCTGGACCCAATGAGAAACGCAGAGCTGAACAGTTGTTGAAGAGCCTAATGTAATGCACATCATCATGCCCTGTATCAACAGAGGATCTCAGAAAGTTCTATATACTTCTTTTACTCATTATGATTGCGACTGATGATGGATTGTGAGTGGTTACAGGGTGGTGAATGACAGTCCCACAGATCGTGTGAAGAGCCTCCCAACGACGAGAAAATTAGCAATGAAGAACAAGACTGTGTTTGGGACAGGTGATAGATGGGGAGCTCCGACATTGACTGCCAACATGGCGTTTGTCAGAGCAGTGGCTCAGTCAGGCATGTCTCTCTCAACTATCGACCATAGCCCTCGAGCTCTCACTGGTGATTAGTTAGTTAAACTTCTACCTATTCTGTAGTTTTGTAAGTTCTAAAGACCAAACCATGTACTAGGTAAAACAAAACAAAAAGCTGAACCTACCAGTTAGCTTTGTCTGGTGTAGATTGTGTTCAAGTTAATAACAATGAATGTGAAGCAGAAAGAATCGAATTTTATTGCACTAAACAAACAAAATTACAACAAAATACAGAGAATACAGACAACAACTTCCCATATTTTTATCTGGAAACTAAGCCAAATCCGATTTGGTAGTTCTTTCACAGCCAGAGAGCTTATATATTATTGACATTTGGAGAATCACTAGTGTAGTTATAGAGCTATACCATTTGTGTTTCTATGGCGGCCATTGGCTTTGTGACTCTATAAGGTGATATGCATTCTATTCACTGATCTACCTTTGATTGCCTTTTATGTGATTTGATGTGTTTTTAGTCTGTAGATTGTCTTCAGACCATGACGCATCGACAGAAGGTAGTTGGTACTCATCGGGTTTCAGTGCCAAGGCAAAATCAGGAAGCGTTGGCGCTGTCTCCATGATCCTATAATTTAGCATAAATAGATAACAAAAGGATGAGCAAAATATCATAGAAAAAGAAGAGAGAGAACTGGACAGAGCTTTTAAACAGAAACTCACTTTTCATAAGAGTATAGATCACGGTTTATCCTGACTTTACTTGAAGTTTCTTTCGGTATTTTCTCTGAGAGATATTTCATTGTCCCAAAAAGTGGAGGAGTCCTGAAGAAATGTGGATGGATCTTAATGACTGATAGATAGAGAGATAAAGGCGATCCATCGACAAAGGCACAGAAGACGCATTTACCTTGACGTGGGTGAAGAGGTGTTAAACGCCTCACTTGCTTTCTTACTTTCTTTGAAACACTCATCTGCAGCCTGTAAAGCAGCAACGGCCATGCCATGTGATTTCTCTGTGTTTCCTTCATCAAGAATCAAACCGTGGTAGTAGTAAGCTGCAGCCTGATATAACAAATACACAAAGTTACAGAGGACAAATTTAAGCCGTGTACAGATAACAGAGGGTCTCAATCATCAGTGTGAATACTAAAGATCCAGTGATGTGACAGAGAGAGGGAAAGACGTCCAAATAGTACCTTAGCTTCAACATATTTCCACTTAACAAAGAGCCTATGCTTTTCGCCCCATCCATTTGCTAATTGAAGATTCATCAAGTTATCTTGTGCCTAATCAATAAGTGTTAAAGAACTTTTATCAGTTACAAAAGAGAGTCATTTCTTCCATGACAACTCAGAAAGTGGAGTATAGTATTCACTTTAAAACATATTTCATTATTTATGTTACAACTTATTAAGCGATTTCAGTCCCATTTTCCTCCTCAAACACGAGTGATCAGCAGGCACAAGTTAGTGACACTTTTATATGGTGAAATAACCACTTTCTTCTTTTTGCTCTTTCGTTTTGTTTATGCTTTTTTGTCCCATTGATCTTAAGTGGATAGTACACACTACTTCCATTATGACAACTCATCTTTCTAGCATTTCAATTCATTATAATACTAAAGCGATGACCAAAAAAGTTATACAAGAAAAAAAAATTAATAAAGTAAAGGAGGATCACCTGCTGCCAATATTTCACCATTTCACATGAAAGTCTTCGTTTCACTGCAAGAGTGGCTTTTGCACTATCGATTGCCATCCCGAGTTGGATATCAACACCCTAAATCAGAAAAATTAAACCTTAAACAAAGGACTGCTAATGTCTATTTTAATACTCAAAAGTATCTACCTATATAGCTACATCTAACCTAGGCTGAGTTTCTAATTAGTTGAACATGATGTCGATACTCACAAACAAATAAACTAGGAAACACATGTAGCAACTCATAACTAGATAATATATCCCAACAAAAAGTGGTTCTACCTGGCCTAGTGCTTGCAAGCAAAGAGCCCGTAAAACTCCTTCTGCCAGGTCAACTGGTAAACTTCTCCTGTAGAAAAGGCAAAGTAAAACAACCGCTGTGTCAGCAGATCGATCTGAATCATTAATATTTGAAAATTACAACTGGTTGACAGTAGAAACTAAGTTAAATATGAACCTTAGCTCAGCTGAAAACTGAGGGAAAACATGCTTAACAGCACAGTCAAGGTATCCAGCTGCCTTTAAGAAGATATCAATTGAAGCTCGCCTGTTTTCTATAAAACATTGAAGAAAGCATATCATTAAGCCTGAGGGACCTTACCAGTTACCATTATATTTTAAGTATTTAACAATAAGAAACAAGCTTATCACAAGCAAATTGCAGGTCTTACCTTCTGATACTTTTGGATGATAACCATCACTGGAACCTCTGGGAAGAAGCAGTAAATTGGCTTGTGACATTTGTAGCATTGCCATTAGATGCAAAACCGACAATATTTCATACCAAACGTTTGACATAGCGGTTTCCTGGTAGATGTAAATAATATTGTCATATAGTCAACAAGCTTCAATGTAAAAGTCTAAATTTAAAGTGAAGGAACAAAAAACAGCACAGTTAGAGATAAACTGCTTGATTACCGCACCTCTTCCTCATCCTCCTGATTAACCCAATTAAACTGTACTTTGAATTGTAGATGGCTACCTGAACGTAAAACGAATACATGTCAGGATATCTACAACCAAACCCATCTCCATTTTGTAGCACATAAATAGCATATTACCATCTTTAGTTAATCCTAAGAGAACAGGTAGATAATCTTCCAAAGCTTGATGGAGATCTGCGAGCGTTGAACCTCCTGAAAGTAACCATTCCATTATATTAGAAAGGGGAAAGCAGGGCAGAGAAAAATAAAAACAGACAGTAAATTAATACCATGTTGTGTCTTCCTCCTAGTTCGTGTGATTGTTGGTCCTTCTTGATTTGCCATCACAACTATTCGCGTTCTTAAAGCTGTCAAGCGTTCCACTAGAGTCTTCGGCAATTGATCACCTAGTGATTGAGAAAATTCCACAGGCTTGGGTATCCTTAAACCAGGTACATATACTGAAACGTCCCCGATGCTCGTTGGCTTTCTTCTGTTTCCACCAGTGTCCTTCGGCCTAGATGCAAAGCATCCCATTTCTAGAGCTTAACGAAACTACAATCCCAACAAATGGAAATGGAAACAGAGATTAACCTTGACTCGAATTTTAAACATCCCTTCTTAGCACTGATCAAATTTGATGTGTAAATGAGATGATTCAAGCTAGAGATGATAGAATGAATTATACATGGAGCATGGCACAAAGAGACGAAATTAATTAATGTTCAACCAAAAACAACCCAACTCCTATCTCGTCCACTAAATTCATAAGATAAAGTTAAACTAGCTCACGAGCCATCTGCCGTACTACAATCTTCATAATTCTACGTGACCAGAACTCTCCAAGATTTTGAACACAAATCTACTTTTAGACCAATGTCCAAGCAGAAACAAACAAATGACACCATTAGATAGACGTGGTTTTCCAAAACCGAAAACAAGCAAGAGTTTTGATTTTCTCACCTACCTTATTGACGTTTATCAGAATTATTGGCTAAAAGACAATATAACTCGAGTGATTGCTGCAAGAAGGAAAAAATGAGAGACTTAGTCAGGTTAAAGAACATGTGACTCAGAGAGAAAGCATGAAACTTTAAATGTTCTATTCACGATTCCTCCACTATAAACGAACTCCGGGGAAATAGGGCCAAAGGCATGTATTGGAAAACGAGGATTTTACAACTTGACATGGAAAGATGAAGATTTTGAGTGAAGGGTCATCAAAGATAATGCTAAAAATTGTATAGAAAGATGTGAGACTGCGTATAGAAAGGGATTGGTCAATTGAAGACAAGAAACCTCGTTAACTGATTCAAACAAAAACTTGAATCAATGAAAAAACAAAACCCTTAAGCAACATTGTAAAACGAGAGTCTATCAAATTGAGCTTTCCCAGACTCGAATTGACTCCAGAGAACCAAATGAGAAACCTCAAAAACCCTAAATTGAGGGGGGAATAGTGTATGAATCCAAGAATTATTTGAATTTGAAAAATCGAAACTATACCTGAAAAAACAAAACTTATACTTTGCGAAATGGAAACGAGAGAGAAAGAGATGGTGTTTGATTCCAAAATCGAAATGGTATAAATCGTTGGTTAAGTAGCGAAAGGGAAATGGTAATAAAAGAGGATGGGGCTGCTGAGAGAGGAGGAGAACAGAGAGGATGGAAAATAAGAATGAAGAGAGAAGGGCACAAATTTCAACCTTTTTATTATGAAAGCAAAATCAATGCTCTTTCGTAGTTGCCTCCCTTCCTACCCAGTACGGCCCTCTCACCAAAACTTATTAAAATTTGTTGAATAAACGTTCTTCTTTATAAAGTCATAAAATATAAAGACTTAACTATTATTTTAACCAATACAAATTAATTTAAAATTATAGGAATTTTATGTTAAAATGACCATATGTTTTTTTATTCATTCAAGATGCTATAATCGTTTTGTTTCCAATGTTTAATTATGTTAAGTTAAGATTGGCAATTTGCCATAAGAAAATCTCCCATCAAAATGTTATGTTAACAAAAAAAAAAACTTATTAATTACAAAAAGAAGGTCATGATTTTTTTTATTTTTTTTCAGTTTAAGAGCAATAGCATGCACGAACTACCTAAAAGAATACATATCAAAGGTAACTATATAAATAAATGTGTATGGGAGGAGGATGTCAATGATGTATTGTCCACCATTAATTATGACATGCATACGCATTGATATGGTTGGTTCCCCTAATTCTAAATCACTAATACTAAAATATGTAACCATTCTTGTAATATATAGTAAATTGCCTCGTACGTTAAGCTTTGTTTTTTATGATGAATATGAGGATGAGTACGTATAGTATATGTATATATATTGTTTGTACATGTTACAAGAAAAAGAAAATATCAAGTTGGAGTATATATACAAAGTACAATTCGCCTTAGACCAGAATAAATATGTGTTTTCATGACATCAAAACGACCGTCCCTTTCTAAAATATCATTGAATCTTTTAGATCTTTTTGATTTACAATCACACAAAAAATGTTATAAGTCACAACAAAACAAAAAAAGATCCACCGGCCTATGCATAAGCATCCCACGTACGTACGTCCACTATTTATTTTAGCTCAAATCAAAGTTTTGTCACACACAATGCAAGAAAACAACAATAATTCCTTTTTTGGGTAATATTACCAGTGACGTAACATGCAGGCCACGTGGCGGCAGTGTCAATCAAAAGTGACGTTGTTGCTGCTATGTTTATGGGCGGGGTCGTGGTTATTACTAGCGACGACGTACGCAAGAAGAAAGATATTTGTAGAAACCAGTGGAAAGCGGACACGTGTTGAGGTTCATGTATCGGTTAGGAGATCACCGTCCCAACGGTTTTTGGCAGATGCGGTTGGTGACGACACGCGTCTTCAGACTTCAATCATTCCGTTACGTACTGTTGGTTCGATGTTACACACCTAAAGCTACGGCTCATGCCCTAAAGCTACTTTTGTTTTTGGTGTTCGTTTCGTCTACGACTTGTGTTGGTTTCCTCTTTTAGAAACTAACTTTTCTTTTCATGTTTTCTCTTTTTTCATATTGATACAAGCAACAAACGAATAACCTTAAAAGTAATTTATTCACAAGTAAATCGAGATATTGAGATCAAATTTTTGGTTTATAAAAGGTACTAATCAAAATAAAACCGTATTTAGCATAAAGTAGTATGATACCATACCACTATCATGTTAGTTAGTTTTGGAGTTGTTAAGAAGTTTAAATCCAATAAACCTTCCATGTTAATTAACTGTAAAATTCAAACTTAACCATGGTCATATTGTTTTTTCTTTTTCTGTTGACTACTGGTTGTTACACTAAATGTACATTTATACATTTGTCCCATGACCCATACATCGATCCTAGAATTTATCAAAATATATATGTGACAAAAAGAACGGTGCATGGTACTGCTTTAAATTATATATGGAACCAGGCATAAACCAATCTCCAATTGTATGTTTTGTGTGTTTAATGAATGTGCATAAAATCTTGCAAAAATGCCTCAGCGGATGACGATCATGGAGTGCGTATTTAAGTTAGATCAATCCTCAATTGTATTCTTCCTTTTAATTTGATAAACAAATAAAACTGTTTTGCAATGATCACAACAAGAATCTCACAAGTCAATACTACGCTAATAGCCCACTTGACCAATAATCTGAAGCGAAGAAACATAACTGATAACTTGTTGTCGTTGATATTGGTCATTAGTGAACTGATATTGTTAATTGTGCACCCCTTTTGTTAAATCAGTGCGCAATTTACACCCCTTTTGTTAGTTTAGAGAAGATGGCCCATCAAAAATAAAAAGGCCTCGATAGAAGAAAGCCCACTAAAAACTGAATAAAGGGTTTTTTTTTTTTTTTTTTTTTCTGTTTGTGTGTTGGTATCTCTCCTCCTCTTGTTATCGAAAAACCTAGCAGTGTTTTCTCTACACAAATTTTCCATGGACTGGAGGCTCAAGACATGCTCGACATCTTCTAACGATGTTATTTTCTTCTTCTTCTTCTTCTTCTTCTTAGATAGTTTTGCAGTCGAGGAACTAAATAGCTTTTGTTTGTGTATGTGTTTTTCCTAGCTAATTGAGCAGGAAATAAAAAAATTGAGGAAATCTTGCGAAAAGTTGACTGAAACTTTTGAGAAACTACAAGAGATTATTCTAAACGGGCGCAATCTACCGGTAGTTTCATTCAAGGTATATGTTTGTTTTACTAGATGGTTTTTATATATATGTTTTAAAGAAATTTGAAACTTTTCTTTGTATATTGAAACCAAAGAAATATTGTTTTGTGGTCGAAAGGAGAAAGAAGCCCCCGAAATAAAGGTGCAACCGACCCTTCTCGTTAAAGGATTTGATGAATCCCTTCCTAGGGATGAAATCAAGACCGCATTGTGGAAACATTTCAGTACGTGTGGAAAGGTCACAGATGTTCATGTTCCCATAAACTTTAAAACCGGTGCTCCCTTGAGGTTTGTTTTTGTTTGCATCCACCAACAAACAAAGAAGAATATATGTTTTAATTTTGAGTTTTGATATCTTTTCGTTTTACAGATATGCTTGCATTCTTCTGGAAGATCATACAAAGGGGTTTGCACTCAGAGGAAGTCTTTTGAGGGGGCGAGAGCTCCAAGTTTACATGATCAATAATTCAGATCAATTTGGTTGGTTTCGTAACCTTACTATTTACCGTCCATATAAGCCATCGTTCGCTGTAAGAGACGATTTGATATGTGACATTAGAAGAAAAATCAGGTAAACAAATATAGCAAAATTAAAATTTTATTTCTTTTTATTTGATAGCAAATATTGACATTAGAAGAAAAGTATGATATGTGTTATTAAACGGAAAGACGAATGATTGGTGAGTCCTTGTATCCGTGTTTGTGAAATTTACATTGCTCTGCAACTACATATATGTATTGTTTTGGTATGTATCTAATGTAGAGTCCTTTCGAACCAATCACACAAAGCATTATTATGATATCTGTGATGATTATGGTGTGGGTTGGTTCATGATCATATGGTTTTAGATTGATCTCTGTTTATTTTTGTAATGACAGGTTGAGGGAGGCTCAGAAAAAACTGCGAAAGGCTGGAAAGTTGAGTTCGAAGCAACTTCGAATCAGTCCTCTTTAGAAGAAAACTCAGGTAAACAAATATAGAGCAAAATTAAAATTTCATTTCTTGATCACAAACAAAGTGTGTGTATATATATATATATATATATTGTTAATTCGGGGATGATTTTGGTAATGTAGGCAGAGGAAGCAGATCGTTGGAACTCGTTTTAGTAAGGTTGGTCGTTTCACTGCTTTGACCGTCCTTGTTAAAGACTTGTAATTGTCGCTTTACCGTTTCTGCTAGCTACTTCTTTCTCGACCACAGCGCGCTCTCCATCAAAATATTTAATATCATACCTAATTTGCCTACGAAAAAACGGAACATATATTGGAAAGACAGTTATTAGTCGGAAAGTTCTTGTAACAAAGATTCAAATCTCAAAAGCGCTAGAGCGTAGCAAGAAGAAACAGTTCTAGGGAACAGTGACCATCATAACAGAAGTGCGACTTGAACAAGTACAATATTCTCTGGTCATTCTCCCCAATTGATAGTCGAGTGCAGCTCTACATACTCTAATTATCTTCCACCAACCTTTACTAATATCAGTCCCAACATATCTTCCTCTATTCTCCCGACACATTTGAGCAACCTTGACTTTGATTTAATCATAACTCAAAGCAATTCAACGGTGTGGAAAATAATAATAATAATACAACTTGTTTTCTTAATGTAGAGTTGGGAAAAAGAAAAAGGCTGTCCTCTCTGCCGCTGGTTGCATTTTTTTGTCATCTGAAATTGAAATTATATTAATACTCCACAAGAAAAAAAATTGTATGGTTCAATTTTATTAAAAAAATATATACATCAAATGTTTGATATTTTTCTAACTTTGGGTTTGTAAAAAGTTAAATTGTGTTTTTTTCTCCAAAAATTTCGCAATTGTGTTTTTTTCCCTAAAAATATTGTTAATTTTGCACCCGTTTTGGTAAACTAGCACTAGTGTGCAATTCACACCAAATCAAAACAGTGTTTGTTTGTCAAAGAGAAGATGGCCCATTAACAATGAAAAGGCCTCAATAGAAGAAAGCCCATTAAAAAAAACTTCCAGCTCTCTCTCTCTCTCTCCCCATTACCGTCTCCTTCCTCTGGTTTGCTCTCAGTCTCTTTGGCTAGTAACGTCGCAAAAGATATATATTTTCCGAGTGATTTCTGAATGATGCGAAGGCTGTTCTCATATTTTGTCCGTTCTAGATTACCCTTATATCTTGCGACACCACCACCAAAACAAACGTCCGCACTTTTATCTCATCTGTTGAGTTCTCCTCGTCTATCTTCTATTCAAATCGACAAAATCTCTTCTTTCTCGAGGCATCGATACTGTTCTACGACTTTGTTAGACCCAGAATTTGAAATTTCCCATGGAGAACAGGTTTCTCAAGATCAATCACTGGTTTATTTCAAGGAAAATGATATTAGAACAACGGGTTCTACTCATGCGGCTGGAATCTTACACGAAGCTATAATGGCGAATTTGAATGCGTATGATGATATGGAAAAAGCCCTTGATGAATCTGGTGTGGAGTTGACAACTCCTGTGGTCTGCAAGATCTTACAAAGGCTTCAATACGAGGAAAAGACGGCTTTTCGGTTCTTCACTTGGGCTGGACATCAGGTACATTACTCACATGAGCCTACTGCTTATAATGAGATGATTGATATATTATCAAGCACCAAGTACAAAAACAAGCAGTTTAGGATTGTCATTGATATGCTTGATTACATGAAGAGAAACAACAAAACCGCTGTTCCTACGGATGTTCTGTTAGAGATTCTCAGGAAGTATTGTGAGAGGTATTTGACTCATGTTCAGAAATTCGCCAAGAGGAAAAGGATTAGAGTGAAGACGCAGCCCGAGATTAATGCTTTTAATATGCTTCTTGATGCTCTGTGTAAGTGTGGTTTGGTAAAGGAGGGTGAAGCTTTACTTAAAAGGATGAGGCACAAGGTTAAACCTGATGCGAATACATTCAATGTCTTGTTCTTTGGGTGGTGTAGAGTGAGAGACCCTAAAAAGGCGATGAAGCTGCTTGAAGAGATGATCCAAGCTGGTCATAAACCGGAGAATTTCACTTATTGTGCTGCTATTGATACTTTCTGCCAAGCTGGGATGGTGGATGATGCAGCTGCTTTGTTCGATTTCATGATAACCAAAGGCTCTGCAGTTTCTGCTCCAACCGCAAGAACTTTTGCTTTAATGATTGTGGCGCTGGCGAAGAATGACAAAGTGGAAGAATGCTTTGAGCTAATTGGGCGTATGATAAGCACTGGTTGCCTTCCTGATGTGTCAACATACAAGGACGTAATTGAAGGTATGTGTATGGCTGGAAAGGTTGAGGAAGCGTACAAGTTCTTGGATGAGATGAGCAATAAAGGTTACCCGCCTGATATTGTCACTTATAATTGCTTTCTTAGGGTATTGTGTGAGAATAGAAAGAGCGATGAAGCACTTAAACTTTATGGGAGAATGGTAGAGTCATGTTGTGCTCCTAGCGTCCAAACATACAACATACTGATATCTATGTTTTTCGAAATGGATGATCCTGATGGGGCATTCAATACATGGAAAGAAATGGATGAAAGAGATTGTGTTCAGGACATTGAGACCTATTGTGTTATGATCAATGGGCTTTTCGACTGTCACAGAGATAAGGAGGCGTGTTTTCTGCTGGAAGAGGTTGTGAACAAAGGACTCAAACTGCCATATCGAGCGTTTGACGCTTTTTTGATGCGTCTATCTACTGTTGGTAATCTCAAAGCAATCCATAAGCTTTCTGAACATATGAAAAAGTTCTACAATCATAGTATGGCTAGGCGTTTTGCACTCAGTGAGAAGAGGAAAAGTACGAATCTCAGAGGGAAGTAATGGGAACTGAAAACCCGTGGACCATATCATCATACTAAAACAAAGAACCATTCTCAGCAGTGCGATGACAATGATGTGATGATTCTGTTGTCTCGAGAGGAGCTCTTCGTGATTCTGATATGAAATTTCACCCCTCACAGTCCCCAAATCTGGACCAAGAATCATGGTCTCAAAAGCAAAGAAACCTATCCAGGTCTGTTGTCTAATGGTAATATTGGTTTTCATGGAAAAGCTCTCACCACACACAATATGTTTAAGATGTTCGTTTAAAGTCATTGTATTGACCATTCCGTGCATAGAGCGGAACTTTGTATGATCCTTAGCAATGTGAGAGGCCAGTTTTCTTTATGGCTCATGACTATTCTGGTTTGCCTTCTGTTTTTTGCTCTCCTTATTCTCGAGTTTGATGTGAGATTCTTGAAATATTCTGATGCTAGAACAGTGTTGGCTTCATCGTTCAACTAAGACAAACGAGGTTTCACCAGTTCTGGTAACGGGTTCAAGTCTGAAGAACTCTTGGTGAAGACTGAAGACATGACAGTTCGTCTGTCAGCAATTGGTGGAAGTAACCGTACATTAGTAAAATGCAAACCGAACTGGACCGGTTTATTGGAATCAGGATACGGTTTAGTTGAATGAGTTATGTATGTTGAAGAAAATAGGTTTAGTTTAGTTATGATAGGTTCGAAACTGAACAAGGCTTCTCTCCTAACTACCAATAGAACAAATTGAAGTTGGTTATGGCTTCTTTCCCAACTAACTCTCTCTGTTTTTATATTTTTTTTCCTACTAAACTTTACCAGCAATTATTTTTGGTTTTTGCATAAAGAAAATAATAATTAAAAAAAAAATCAAAGAAATGTTCGAATTAATTCCCACGGAACATACAATGTAATAACCGATTCTGTTTTAGTCCTCAAAGTACGAAACCTATAAAGTTCCGTTTTGGACAAGAGAGAAAAAAAATACAAAGGTGCTTGGAGACCAAATATTTTGACCACCTATGTATTTTTTTACGACTAAAATGTTTGACCACATCACAATTAAACAAATATTTTTAGCTAATATACTATTTTATTTGCAGGTTATGAAAAAGAAATTTATAAATTGTAATATATTATTCTTCACTTGTTTTACTACTAGTAATTAAAAAAAAAAAAAACAGAATACATATTTGTCCCGTGATGCCTCATCTAGTAAGTTAAAAACTTAAAACCAAGTTAGTTTGTTAAGCCTTGGGGGGTTAAAAAACTAAATTAACATATCTGAAAAAGGTTAGTTGTATTGTCTCCACGTTGGCCGATATATTCCGAATTAAGGTTTGAGAAAACACTGATTAGGTCTGAAAGGTTATCAAAAACCTATCCATCAATATTTATATACCACCTGCCATTTAACCAGAAGTCCACAACATTGTTACCAAACTCTCTCCTTTTGCTCTTTTTTTTTTTTTTTTTTTTTTCTTTTTTGGGATTTTGTTTCCATAATTGATATTTCAAATTTGTCTTAAGCAATTAAATCAGAATCCCCTATTGACTAAACTAACAAAGGCGATATATACTGGAATGTCAAATGTCTTATGATCCATATCGAATGCTTGTAATGTTTCAAGACATAACATGACTATAAACAAACATACGTATATATCGGAATATATCTTTTATTTAATTATCAACGAGTTAACAAATAATATTTGGTATTATAATATTATGTAAATACGTACGTAGATTGTCCAAGAATCAAGATTACACAAAACGTAGATGAGTATTGGTGGCTTGAAGTAGCGGGTGTAGGTTAGAACTTAGAAACAAACCTTAGATTAATTAAATACTATACAAAGAGACGTTGAGAGGTTAACGAAATGCTCAGCCCACACGAAGCAATCTCTCTACCCTTATTACATTCCATGAAGTAATTAAAATCTAAAGTTATAGAAATAAAGAAACGAATTAAGAAAAAGGTAGATTACTTAAAAGGAGGTGTTGTGTTGGTTAGGGAAGACGTTGGCATCAGTCGCCGGTAGAGAGGTCCGTCCAAACCCTCCCGACTCTCTAACGGATTTTATCTATTTTATTTTTCTTCATATATTGTATTTATTTTATACTTTCTATAATATATATATATATAAATGTATACGTGCAGGTGCTCTTCAGCTTTCTTCTTGTTCCCACATACCCATCTTCCCCAACCTTTGGCCAAGAAAAACAATCTTTAGGGTTTTAAATTTCGATATTTATATAGTATGCAAACGCACCAAAAATATTCGCGTACGTTATTGATATAGCATCTGTGTGTTTTTTGTGGGTACTATTATCTCCTTGTTCTTGTATCGGTTTGGATCGGTAAAGTTAGTTAAAAAAAAAGAAGAAGTAATTAGCTAGATCGGCGTAAAGAAGAAAAGGATCGATCATGTGCAGTCGAGGCCATTGGAGACCAGCGGAAGACGAGAAGCTGAAGGATCTGGTCGAACAATACGGTCCTCATAATTGGAACGCCATAGCCCTCAAGCTCCCTGGTCGATCTGGTAATAAGTTATTAATAATATCTTATAGCTAGGGTTGGTCCATATATACAAAAGACTAGCTAGGGTTTGATATATAATATATATACATATTAATTAAGTTGCGTTGGTGTATGTTCAGGTAAGAGTTGTAGATTGAGATGGTTTAATCAATTGGATCCGAGGATAAACCGAAACCCTTTCACGGAAGAAGAAGAAGAAAGACTTTTAGCGGCTCACCGGATCCATGGGAACAGATGGTCGATCATTGCAAGGCTCTTCCCCGGAAGAACCGACAACGCCGTCAAGAACCATTGGCACGTCATCATGGCTCGTCGCACACGCCAAACCTCCAAGCCTCGTCTTCTACCCTCCACGACTTCTTCTTCCTCTCTGATGGCGAGTGAACAAATCATGATGAGTTCTGGTGGTTATCATATTAATAATAACTCCCGTGATCCCAAGAGTGTACTCGGAGACGTTATCAAATTCCCTTACCAATTCTCTCATATCAATCATCTTCAGTTCCTTAAGGAGTTTTTCACTGGCAAGATCGCTTTAAATGCCAAAGGTAAGTAAAGTACTCAAGATGATGAAGAATTATCCAATTATCCATTTCCGATAAAAGTGTGTGCATGTTCGTATGATTGTTGCACGAATTAATATAATGATGCAAAATTATTATGTTCCAAAAATTTTCATTAATTAATGGAGTTTGACAGATTTTTTTCATTGCATAATATCAAAATTTTGTGACAAAAGTTCATTTTTTGTTGTTGTAGTCGTAGTCATATATCAGCTTCGTCATTACCTTGAATAATCTCTATGTATATTTCTTTCATAAATTTACAGTTTCGTCATTAGTTAGCTTGACTAATTTTGATTTCTATCAGATGGGATCGCAGCAAACCAGAGTAAACCAATGGAGTTTTATAATTTTTTACAAGTAAACACGGATTCATCAAACAAGAGCGAGATAATTGATCAAGATTCAGATCAAAGCAACCCCAATGACTCGGACAACAATAACGAAAGTCGTGTTCCCTTCTTCGACTTTTTGTCTGTTGGAAACTCTGCCTCTTAGGATTAGCATCTTTCGCAGAACACCGTACGTACATTTCTAGCTTGACTATTTAGTCCGTACAAGTACGAGACTCTAGCTAGATCGTTAACATGTATGTTTGATGTGTAAAATTAGTGAGCACTTGTCTGATAAATATGCGAGAAAAGAGACCTACTATGTTAATATATGTACATGTACCCATCAAACTTAATTATCAGTATGTTCGATACAATTTGTTTATTCTCTCTCGTATATGAAGTTCGATAATACGTACGTAATCATATAATAATTGGTGACCAAATGAAACATTAATCATACAAAATCTTGTATGACGGCGTTGTTATTTTAGGAAAAAACGGTTTTGTGGTAAACTAGAGAAGAGAACAAAAGATGTCGTGTAGCAAAAAGAAATAGATGCATTCGCATCTGCGGACTAATCAAATATATGTATAATGTATATCGCTTACGGTCAAGATAATGCACGAATGAAACCCTTAAATGATCATATAGGTTCCTTGCAACTACATATCCATATATAACTGATGTGATCACACACTGACACACACACATATATATATATATATAGACATTGGATGATATATAACTCTCTGTATGTAGAAAGAGAGATCTAAATCATGTAACACTATCAACTTATAACTCATTATATATTAATCAACTTTTTAATCTTTTAAGTCTAATTTGTCTTTTAGAAATCTCTTTTGTAATGATAGTTTGTTAATTTCATAACATCAAGTTTCGAATTATATATAATTGATAAAGTAAACGTTTTATACAATATTTAGTTACAAGTTAGCACTATATATATTCAGGATATTACAAGATTGATTTTTTTAAGGATATTACTAGATATTACAAGATTAATTGAATTATTTGTTTTAGGATATTACAAGATTAATTGAAATCTGATTAGCTTAAGGGAAAAAAAAAGAGTTCCGAAGTCTTTAAAGGGAAAAGAAATTTGAATGCAATGTGATTGTAAACGTACAAACTATATATATAGAAGTTTTGATAACTTCGGGTTAAACCTTTTAATGGTGAAGTATGATAATGGGAAAGACGAAATGGATGTTGGAGTAGAGACGTAAACTTGGGCGTAGTTATCAGCCACCAAGAAATATATATCATAACAATACACCAAAGTAAAAGTAAATAAAAAAATAACAAAGCACAAATCTTAATGGAATGTAGTTGGAAAAGAAAAAAAAAAAAGCACAAATCTTGACAGTTGACACCACTTATAACCACACTTTGTAGTTTGTTTTTCAAAATTCAATTTTTATTCATTAAAATTGTATAACTACATTAAAATATCTAAAGTGAAATTTGAAAGAACTTAAGGATTAAACTTGCAATTGACATATTTGATACATTCTGCTGATCTCGTCGCACGTGTAAAAAATGGTCTTGTATTGGAAACTCACGTTTCGCGTTTACACCAAACGCAAACGCTGAAAAGCGTTTTGTTTTGGTTCTTGTCACTGTAACTCTTGTCTGAATCGCAAACAAATGAACACATTTTCAAGTTCAAAAGAGCAAGTATCGATTACGCTCTGATCAAATCAAAGCCGAGAGATTCATAATTTTCGAAGGAACCACCATAGTCCCATAGATGATGGCGGCAAAGGCGGCTTCGTCTTCCAGCCTCCCCAAGTCTGGAGCCATCTCCAAAGGCTACAATTTCGCTTCAAACTGGGAACAGGTAACCGCACAATCTGAGCTCGAGATCCATCCATTGATGAGTCTAGTGTCCGGTGTGCCTGTATCTTGATCCTTTGTTCAGATACAATGGTTGGATCTTAAAATGATAGCTCTGTTTGTTGAGAATATACTGATTTGTAATGTGGTTAATTCCCGTTGCAGAGCGCTCCTTTGACAGAGCAGCAACAAGCAGCTATAGTTTCATTATCCCACGCAGTCGCTGAGCGCCCATTTCCTGCCAATCTTGTGAGTCTGCGGTTTTTTAGTTTTGGATGTTGTTTGAGAAATGTTTTCCTTTTTTTCTTTTTGGTTTTGATGTCAGTGTTAGTTCATGGTTATAGGTGCATGAGCATGTTCCCCGTCCCGAGAATGGCTTGTCTGTCTCAGCAGAGGACACTACTTTGGGAGATTCTGGAGCAATTGAAGCTGTTTTGGTTAATACAAATCAGGTAATTTCTTCTCCTGCAACTTGATATTCCAAAGATTTGTGACATCTGTGGAGAAAAATTCATGCTTAGTTGAAATTTTGTTGTTGCAAGTACTATAGGAGTTGCGTTTGTATTCGTGGGCATCCTTATCTCGCATCTTTATATGTGTACTAATGCTTCTTCCCATTCGACTTATGTTGTTTTTATGACAGTTCTACAAATGGTTTACTGATCTTGAATCTGCAATGAAGTCTGAGGTTAGTGATATTCTTGTTGTTCCGAGGTTAAATGTTGGAAAACATTAGTTGAAATGTTTCTAAATTATTTGTTCTGACATAGACAGAGGAAAAATATCGGCACTATGTCAATACTTTAACTGAGCGCATCCAAACGTGTGATGATATACTTCACCAGGCAGGTTTCCACCAAGTTTTGCACATCACTGTGGACTGTGGTCTTACCTTGCCGGTAAGTTATTAGGCATTTCCTTCATTATTGACCTTAAGATTTCTCCTGTGCAGGTTGATGAGACACTTGACCTATTTAATGAACTGCAGCTTCAACATCAAGGAGTTACAACAAAGACTAAAACTCTTCATGATGCATGTGACCGGCTGGTATTTTTTTCTCTGTCTTTTATGCAACAAGATGATTTATTGTTTCTCCTAACTCTTGCACGTTTAATATCAAAATGACAAACAAAAGATGACTAGCTATTGATTGTTGTAGTTTGGTTGCATGAGCTAATTTTCGCTTTCATCTACCTTTTCTAGTTAATGGAGAAACAGAAATTGATGGAATTTGCAGAAGCTCTAAGGAGTAAGCTCAACTATTTTGATGAACTGGAGAATGTAAGATTTAAATTCTGGTCTACCTGAATATATTTTTGCCACATATCAAAAGTGTGTAGTTGCTTGAGGTGTCTCCTTGTCTTGCTCATTATTGATCTATTTGAATTTCACCTGGGGTACTGAAGTTCATTATGTATGTTTCTTACTGAATACTGACTGTAAATTTAAGAGGAAATACCAACAAGGTAAAATTGCTCTAATATCTTCTTCTTTCTTGTTTTTCGCAGATCTCCTCCAATTTTTATTCTCCAAATATGAATGTTTCAAATTCAAACTTTCTCCCACTACTGAAACGGCTTGATGAGTGCATATCGTGAGTAAATGATGTTGCATTCAATATTATGAAATTTACAGTCACTACTTAGCAATTTTCTAGAAGAATGCCGCACCTAAGTTCTTCCTTCTTCCTTCTCCCTTGAGCTGGTTGTATTTATATGAACTCTGTAGGTACATCGAAGATAATACTCAATATGCGGAGTCTAGTGTTTATTTGCTCAAATTTCGTCAGCTCCAGGTACTAGAAGAGCTTCCCCCTTTCTCCCTCACAGAGATACATGTGGTTTTACAGTTCTTAGTATGCACAAACACAGAAACTGTTTCCAGAATCATACGAGAGATCAGTAACTTGTAATTAGTTCTCGAGAAGACTAACATTTACAATTTTTACATTCACGGGCCTTGGGCATGATTCGAACTTACATTCTTTCAGTGCTCAAAACTGCTGCTTCCCAGGTATTTTTTTTTTGTAACCTGCCTCTATTCCTGCACAGCTTACACAAAGCATGTATATAGTTCTAGTGACTAATTATGTATATTCATATATATTGCATATCTATATGCATGTAATCTATGCAGGTAGAGTGAATTTTGTAGTTATGCCTAGTTTCCTTAAGACATACATGTTAAATGCATTGGCAGGTTCAAGCAGCATTTCGTGGGACAGGTGGAAACAAAACATCTGTCTCAGAGGGTGTTGAGGCATCTATTATATATGTACGCTTCAAGGCTGCTGCAAGTGAGGTGATAATATTTGGCTTTCTTTCAATGTTAGTGCAGAAGTGCTAGGGTCACAATATTAGATAAGAAAACAATGAGAAATAGCTTTGGTAGCATCATTCATTGTCAATTTTGCTACTTTAGTCTTAGCATTATGATATGGTTGTATTTTCTTTCTTTTGACATTGAACATCGAAAAAATTATTTTCCAGCTTAAACCTGTATTGGAGGAAATCGAAAGTAGGTCAGCAAGAAAGGAATATGTTCAAATTCTTGCAGAATGCCACAGACTATATTGTGAACAACGGCTCTCACTTGTGAGTTCATCTTCTGGAATACAATATGGTTTAGTTTCTGTCTGCAAAAAACTTGAATTGCCTGTTTACTCTCATTTCACATTATCAGGTAAAAGGCATAGTTCACCAACGAGTCTCTGATTTCGCCAAGAAAGAAGCACTGCCATCTTTGACTAGATCGGGTTGTGCATATCTTATGCAGGTATATGAAGGAAAGTAAAGGGAAAAATACCCCACTTTATTCATGAGGGATACTAGGAGCTGTACCAGTTTAGTAGAAAAAGGTCCTTTCATCATGAGGAATAGAAACATAAAAGAAAATTGAGAATGTTAGTATAGCTATTAATCTGTACTGCGATTTCAAAGGTCAGGCAAAGGTCTGTTTGAGAGAGAGAACGGCTGGATGATCAGCTTTAGCAACTGAGGATTTTAGAGATGCTTGATGGAATTGGTTTTGTAAACATGAAATTACTGCACTACATGTCTTTAACCTCAATTGTGATTTTCAGGTTTGTCATATGGAGCATCAACTGTTTACTCATTTCTTTCCAGCATCATCAGAAGAAGTTTCAAGTCTGGCACCTTTAGTGGATCCTTTGTAAGTTTATATTTTCCGTGCTTTCACCATCTCTAATTCTGTACAATTTATCCCTAAATAATTTTTTGGTGCTTTTTATACTGAGATACAGACTGAATTATTTAGAGCCATAAGCATCTAATATTTCTACTTGAATATTTTTCTTAAAAATTGAGAAGTTACGTTTAGTCTGCTTCTCATTCTCTTCACACCGTTAGGCATTTGGAGCCGAAAATTCATCCCAATATCCCATCATTATTTCATTTGTGAATTAAGAACCTACTTTTGCTGTCTTTGTCTCGATAATATTATCTTGATTTGTTTTTTAATGCTAATCCTTTTTAGAGATGGAAAATTTATATAGTCGTTTGATCCACTATACTGTAGTCAGTGTTCTTTGAACCTGATAGTAACTTCTCAAAAGTCTAGATTCAGAGAAGTGTGTTTACATAAGTGTTCATGTTTGAGTATGGAACAAGTGTAGGAAAAAAAAAAAAAAAAGAGTATGGAACAAGTATGAATTTTTCTGGCTAGTATCTTCCAGATTGATTTGGTTTGTTATATCTTGTGCAATACTTCCAATTACAATGTAGTTGTAGTCAGTGGATGCACTACACTGTAATCAACTTTCTTAGAATCTGATTTTGGCTTATTAATTGTCTAGGATTCAGAAACAATGATTAAGCGTAAGGAATCCAGATTGTTTTCGTTTGTTATATCTTATTTTAGTGCATCAATTTATCATATTTGTTTGTTCCCAAACAGGTCTACGTACTTGTATGATATTTTACGCCCAAAACTGATTCACGAAGCAAATATTGATCTTCTATGTGAGCTCGTTCATATCCTTAAAGTTGAAGTCCTGGGGGAGCTGTCAGCTAGACAGAGTGAACCCCTCGCTGGACTGCGGCCTACATTACAAAGAATTTTGGCCGATGTCAATGAGAGATTGACTTTCCGTGCCAGAACATATATTCGAGATGAGGTGCAGTATCGGTTTACCATGACCTTTACTTCCATATGTGTCGTCTTCTCATTTGCGATTATATAGAAACAGGAAACTTTGTATGCTGTCACCCCTAAGATGAATCACTCTACTACTGATAAGATGAACTGTTATAACTGTGGCACTGATCAACCTTTAAATAGAGAAATTTGCTAGAGTTTTGGCTGTGTTATCCTGTTTCGTCTTAGAAGACTTTACTTTTCTTGAGCTGCTCTGTTCGAATCCCCTTCTTACTTGTGCAGATAGCAAATTATATTCCTACTGATGAAGATCTGGATTATCCTGCAAAGCTGGAGGGGTCTCCTAATACAACATCTGAAACTAATCTCGGGGTAGAACGAAATTCTCAAATTATTCCTTTGGGTTTGTTAATCTTTAGCTATATACTTATTTCTAAGATGCAGGATGATGAAAACGCTGATGTATTTAAGACTTGGTATCCACCTTTGGAAAAGACTCTCTCTTGTCTATCTAAATTATATCGATGCTTGGAGCCTGCAGTCTTCACTGGATTAGCACAGGCAAGACTATCAGTAACTTTATTGCTTCTCCTTCTGTCAAAGAAAATACACCAATTCACATTTAGGAAAACTTGTCTAACAAACCTTCTCTTCTGTTCTACAGGAAGCTGTTGAAGTTTGCTCTCTGTCAATTCAAGTAAGCAAGCTAGAAACCCAGATTTTTCTCGCCTTGATTTTTGTTCTTTCAGTTGTCCTTATTTAGTGTTTTTGTTTTCTTTTAATTACCAAGTTTTTACATCTGCTTCACGTATACATAGTTGAGATGTCCAATATTTTGTCAAATATGCAACAGAAAGCCAGCAAGCTTATCGTTAAGCGATCAGCTACAATGGATGGCCAGCTTTTCCTTATGAAGTATCTTCTTATCTTGAGAGAACAGGTTAAGGCTAATTTATCTTTTGTTTGCTTCTTTTGCTATTAAGTAAGTCAATGACATTAAAAATTATTGTTTGTTTCCAGATTGCGCCTTTTGACATAGAATTTTCAGTCACCCACAAAGAGCTTGATTTCTCTCATTTACTGGTTAGTTCCTCAACATTCAAATGACTAAATCTACTTTGTGTGATAGATCTTTCTTTCTAGCCTTCGAGAGAAGCTTCTTTTTGGTGCACATTTCTGATCTTTTTCCCCTTCAGTTTCTTTCTTTGCTGATGACTTCGCTATCCTCTGATTATCCATGTCAAAAATGTGGTTAGGAACACTTGAGAAGGATACTTAGAGGTCAAGCGTCACTTTTTGACTGGTCTAGGTCAAGCTCCCTAGCAAGGACCCTGTCACCTCGAGTTTTGGAGAGTCAAATAGATGCCAAGAAGGTTGGTAATTTTTTCTCTTCCATCAACAATCAATTGCAACTGTTCTTCATGTTTACATAAGTTTGCCACTCAGATGTGTTAATCACATTGTAAAATTTAAATCTTGAGCATCTTCCTGCGAGACTGATGTACAATATTAGTGAAAGATTGAGAATTTAATTTCATAGTCTGGGTTATATTTCTGCTAAGACGTTAGGCTCAAGAGATATGGCAATTTTTTTGGTTGTATCTTGCTTACCTGGATGTCTTATTCTATGCCTGGGTCATTGCATTGCTTGATATGTGTACGGGAATGATGCATAGACCTTTATTTTCGCAGGAACTAGAAAAATGTCTTAAGACGACGTGTGAGGAGTTCATCATGTCAGTCACAAAGCTAGTTGTGGATCCTATGCTTTCATTTGTGACCAAGGTTGGTTTCTCCTTTCCGTTATTCTGGGAAAATGTTTTTCAAAGTTTTGTTAAGACTCTAGACGTCATCGGAAAAGTTAAACTCAGCATCCTTTGCACTGTTTGATATTAAATACAATGCACCGATATTAAGAAGATGATCTGTTTTTCCTCTCCTAATGGAATACTGTAATAGTTTTGCTATATATATACATTGTATACTTGTATATGCAGGTCACAGCCATAAAAGTTGCTCTTTCCACCGGAACTCAGAATCAAAAGGTTGATTCTGTCATGGCTAAGCCGCTGAAGGAACAAGCTTTCGCTACACCGGATAAGGTGGCTGAACTTGTTCAAAAGGTATGAGATAGATAATTTACTCTTTAGTTATTTCTTTTTCTTTTTCTTCAAGGTATATATCTGAGAAATAGAGATGGCAGCTATTTCTGGTTCCCTTTTACTAAGCTCTGAGCCATGATACTGAAAACTCTGTTCATAGGCAGTTTTAGCCTCTAAGTACTAACAAATATAGATGCCAGTGATACGTTGAACATGCGGTTGTGGTTCCTTAGGTAGTTATCTTACTGTGATAAATATATAACACGCAATGGAAAACCAAATCCCTCAGCAAAAAGGGAAAGGCTGATTTGTATTACATGACTTTAACCAGGTATATGCAGCAATACAGCAAGAGTTGCTTCCGATTTTAGCAAAAATGAAACTCTATTTGCAAAACCCATCAACAAGGACCATACTTTTCAAGCCAATCAAGTAAGTCCATTTCTCGAAATTTGATCAACCATCTAAACTATCTTTGGCTGGTTTACATATCTGTGTTTGTCCTAATCCCTCGCGTCAGCACCCAAATATCTTGCTAGTTTGAATACGACAAATGGATGATCATATGTATATGTTTTTGCATTCAGGACAAATATAGTGGAAGCTCATACCCAGGTGGAGTCCTTACTTAAAGCTGAGTACTCAGCAGAAGAACAAGCCAATATCAATATGATCTCTATTCAGGATTTGCAAACCCAACTCGATAATTTCCTTTAAGGTCATGGCTCAATCAATACCCAATATCCGATTTAATTATTTTTGACTACTTTACAAGAGTTGGCTTTAGAGGATAACATATAGCATTATTATTATGTAACAAAGAACTCTTCACACACTTTTGACCTCGAACATTCAGTCTATTTTGTTCTTATGCTTATATGAGCTAGCTGTCAAGCTCTTCTTTGCTTGCTTCATGGATGGTATAAATACGGACAAACAAAAAACCATGGTACTATGTAAGAAAGAAACAATTATATATATGTCAATCTCAATGTCAATGTAATGTAATTTGGGATTATATATCAACTTGGTAAGATAATAAACTCAGGTGCCATATAAAAGAAGTGATTTTCTTAAATAATGGAATGGGGCTGTTTTCCCATGAATAATCCACACTTTAAAACATGCTAAAAGAGATTTGGACCCGACTTTAGGAGACCACTTTTTAAAGGTTTAAGATATGTATTTTTGAATATGATTTAAATCGCTAATCATTGATAATTTGAGCTTAGTAGAAATGATTCGTTGATAACTGGTTCTGATTCGGTCTATGAGCTTGAGCGCCGCAAGATACTTACCATACAAAAGTAAACTGATTTGGGCTATTAACAAGTTAAGACTATGTGATTCACATTTAGTGATCTCCAGCAGATTGATCTTGCAAGCGCAAAAACTCGAATCCAGTCAAAAAACTTACTCATCCGGAAACGTCTAATGTGTTGACTAGTTCTGGATTGTTTTGTATGTAAATACATAATTTAAGATATTACCAAAAAAAAATACATTTAGATGGAAAAACAAAATATCGTCTAATAAATAACGTGAGATTTTAAAGAAAGCTATGCGAATCCGAATCTTATGGAATTTTTAGGCAATATCATTAAAAAATTTAGTAGAACATCATAATTTTATGCTTAAATATATATATGTAAAGAGCACACAAAAAGAATAAATATTGGAAAAGAATGAAAGAACCCTAATTTAAATTTAGGAATTTTATTTGGTTTTTTTAAAATTAAAGCAAGTGAATGTCCGAAATCATTACATCCATTGGAACCTCTTCTCACCTTTGCTTTGTTCATCTTCTTCGTTTTGATCTGTAAGCGCATTTCCTTCCCCTGTCACACCTGAAGTTTTTTTTTTTTTAATCTCTCATTGGATCCACTCTTATTCCTCCTTGTCTTCTTAAATTTGGGTTTTTTTTTTCTTTCATTCTATTGTTTTCCTGATCTTCAGCTGTATTGCAGACTCTTGTCTACGATGGCGCCTTTGGAGCATAATTTCTAAGGCTTTTTAGGGTTTAAACGTGCTTGTTGAAGTTCACATCTGCCTGTATGAGCAAACGTGAGTCTTTGTTTCCTGTAAAAATCTTCTCTTGGCTTGTTTCTGGAATGTGATTGTAATATTGGTTTTGGGCAGATTTTGATTCTCATTTTATGTTTTGGGAGAAAAAAGTTTTAATCTTTTCTGTTGGTTACAGGATAGGTGGAAGTATTCCTCTAAGTGCTTCTCCTGTACATTGGAAAAGGTCAATAAATGACGGACCAAGGCTCTGTTGATGATATTTTAGAGTTTCTTAGGAAGAATCGTTTCTCTAAGGCTGAGGAAGCTTTGCGTAATGAGCTTAACAACCGCTCTGACATTAATGGCTTTCTTCAGAAACTTAAGCTGGAGGAAAAAGATTCCAATGATAAGGCTGCTGGCAATGAACTTCGGAGGTCAGGTTCTCGAGATAGTGAAGTCTCCAAGGAGCTGGTTGTGAAAGAGGTAGACTGTGGCACTAGCACCAATGGGTCTGTAATCAAGTGGGAAAATGGTGCCGCTGCTGAGAAACCGAGCAAGAAGGAAACGCCTGTATCAAGTGAGATGAGCTTTACACTCTCCAAAAATTCTGGTGATGCTGCTGCTCCTGATACGCATTCCTATAAATTTACTTCCGCAAATGGTACCTTGGAGCCTTATCGAAACATTGATGATAGTAGTAGTAGCAGCTTGGTGGATTCATATGTCTTCGAACAGTCGAGGCATGGGAATTTTACTGATATCGATAAGAAGATAGTGGAAACTGGCGAAGATATCGTTTTCTTCGGCAATAAGAGTACTTCATGGTCTGGAAATACCAGTCATGGTAACTCTGGGTCCAAAATAAAGGAAACAAATGAGATTGATCGGCTAGTTGAAAATATTGGAAAGCATAACAGTTATAAGGGAAGCATTCTTCTAAGAACTGAAGATGTCGTAGATACCTCCGAGAACTGGAAAGAGTGTTCTGTTAAGACTCTTTTTCAATCTTCAAGAGGGGATGCATCAACCAGTTACAATCTGGTTAGCAGCTCGGACAAAACAGAGGGAAAGAAAAAGGCAGACATTAATGATGTGAGGGCGGCAATCAAGGAGCAGGAGAGCGAAGTGGCAAGAGCTTTATTCTTTGGTAAATCTCAATCCATTTTTGATGACAAAAACATCAGCAGCTTAGGTTTTCCACTTGTCTATGATACCCGCAAGGAAGAGTTTCCTAGGCTGCCTCCTGTTAAGCTCAAGTCTGAAGACAATCCTTTGAGTCTTTACTGTGAAGAAAAATTTGAACGTAATGGTTCAGGTCTGAGGCTAATGAACGATGAGGAGGCCCTTCTCATAGGCTCATACCTTGATGTTCCCATTGGACAAGAAATTAGCTCATCAGGTTAGCTTGCATGACACTGTAGCCGTACAAATATAAAGTTTCTATTCTGTCTGCTAGATGATGGTTGTTTTAAGAGATAGTGCATGTGATATCGTATTAATGATTTTGAACTTCTAGATAGACTTCTAAAGACATGCATTTTTCTCATATCCTTCATTCTTTTAGGATCTACATTTTTTTCTGCGAATCTGCAGAAGTAACCTGTTTTAAGTTGAATGAACTCATGCATTGACGAGGTAGTGAGGTATTGGCATCAGTTCCAAAGAAAGCAAGTAATGATTAGGCTTTTTTTTTAATGCTAGAGTATCTGAAATTGTTTGCTCTCACCGTCTTCCTTTACACCTCTGCTTTTTGTTTTGAGTTCTATAAGGACCATGTCCCTATACTTTCTACTTTTTGGGTTTAAACTTATCAATTTTACTTGAGATGTGAAGTAAGTTTTAATATCCTAATGATTGCATTTAGGTGGGAAAAAATCTGCTGGGGGAAACTGGCTTTCAGTAAGTCAGGGAATAGCAGAAGACGCATCAGATCTTGTTTCTGGTTTTGCTACTATTGGTGATGGTTTAAGTGAATCTGTTGACTACCATAATGAATACTGGGATTCTGACGAGTATGAGGATGATGACGACATTGGTTATGTCAGGCAACCTATTGAAGATGAAACATGGTTTCTTGCCCATGAAATTGATTATCCAAGTGATCATGAGAAAGGAACGACCCGTGGAAGTCCTGATGACCATGGAAGAGATGCAAACAAAGACGAGGATGATCAGTCTTATGCGGAGGAGGCTTCTTATTTATCCGGTGAACAGTATCTCCAAGCAAAAGATGCCGAACCTATTTCTTCAGAAAATGACCGAAGGCTTACGGTCTCAGAAATTTATCCAGCTAGCAAGAAAAATGATTTGATAGCTCAATATGATGGACAATTGATGGATGAGGAGTTGCTCAATTCAATGCGTGATGAGCCTGTGTGGCAGGGGTTTATAGCTCAGTCAAATGAACTTGTTATGTTAGGTGATAAGAAAGGCATAAATGTCCATCGAAAATCTCATCTTGATGATGTTTGCCTCGAAGATGATCAGCATGATTCAGTCAGGTCAATTGGTGTGGGTATTAATAGTGATGCAGCTGATTTTGGTAGTGAAGTACGTGAAAGTTTGGCTGGAGGTAGCAGTGAGGGAGATTTTGAGTACTCCCGTGATCATGATGCTGTAGCATCTAGGTTTAAACAGCTTTACTCTGAGTCAGATAAGAAACATATTGATGGACCAAACAAGAAAGCAAATAAAAATGATGGTACAGGTTACATTGTAGATAATGATCCAGGTGCAAGTTTTGATGTGAAGATTCAAACTGATGGAGGTTTTTCATTTGGCTCGTCACAGAAAGATGGGAAGTTAATGCATGCAGAATCTAGTAAATCATTATGGTCAGGCAATCGCGAAATGGTAACCAGAGATAGGAACGCGGAACGTTTGAATGCTTCAACAGCTACGGATGATATGGTTACAACTTGGAGACGAAAAAGTAGTGATTCATCAAGTTCTCAAAGTTCTGTGAAAGAAAATAATGCAATGTCCATAAACTCTGTAAACTCATCTCCCTCTTCTTTATCAAATTATGCTTGCGAAGAAAGAAAGCATGCTGTGAAAGAAGATGATAGAAATGATAGCAATGAAAAAGAGGAGGACCAGACGACAGCACTTGATGATGAAGAGGCAGTGGCTGTCCAAGAGCAAGTTAGACAAATTAAGGCCCAAGAGGAGGAGTTTGAAACCTTTGACCTCAAAATTGTGCACAGAAAAAACAGGTAAGATTTTGACTCATCATAGTTTCATATATAGCTGCTCTCTTATTACTTGTTTTATATTGATCAGAACTGGTTTCGAAGAGGAAAAGAACTTTCACGTGGTTTTAAATTCGGTCATTGCTGGGCGGTATCATGTCACTGAGTATCTTGGTTCAGCAGCCTTCAGTAAAGCCATACAAGCGCATGACTTGCAGACGGGAATGGATGTCTGTATAAAGATTATTAAGAACAACAAAGATTTCTTTGACCAGAGTCTTGACGAGATAAAACTTTTGAAGTATGTCAACAAGCATGATCCTGCTGACAAGTACCATCTTCTACGGTTATATGATTACTTTTACTACCGGGTAAGTGATCACATCCTGTTTGTATATTTTATATTGCTACAATATATCGAAAGAGAATTGTGTAAAGGGGTCGTTTCCTTATAAACAAAAGTAGCGTACCAAAGTTCTTATATGAAATGTACTAGGGTCTGTAGAAAACACGTTCCATCTTTATGAAGTTCTTCTATATTATCCTTGGGAATTTTATGCTAGCAATGGTTAAGTTTTCCACCGATTGAACAACTTGTCGTTGGAGCTTATTTTAGATTTGTTCAGCATGGCCTTTATAATTATGCGTATAGCTCATGTGATTCGTTTTAAAATCAGTTGTTAGTGGAAATTATGAGCTCTGCAATCTGTTTATTCATCTCTGGATTAGTATCTTTCTCTTCAACAAGTTTACCACACGTATGAACCATATGCCCTTGGTACCCTATATGTAATACTGTGCAATATTTCTCTTTGTGGATTGTTTGGAGTAATGGATTCCCTGGCTTTTCTTCGCAGGAGCATTTGCTAATTGTATGTGAACTTCTTAAGGCCAATCTATACGAATTCCACAAATTTAACAGAGAATCAGGTGGTGAAGTTTATTTCACAATGCCAAGATTGCAGGTTTGTCCGCTTCATCATTACAATTCGGCAAAGATACATAAACAGCCGATTTCTAATCTCATTTGGACCCTTTTTTACAGTCAATCACAATCCAGTGTCTCGAATCACTTCAGTTTTTACATGGCCTTGGACTTATACACTGTGATTTAAAACCTGAGAACATATTGGTGAAAAGCTATAGCAGATGTGAAATAAAAGTCATTGACCTTGGAAGTAGCTGTTTCGAGACGGATCACTTATGCTCCTATGTCCAGTCTAGGTCATATCGAGCACCAGAAGTCATTTTGGGACTTCCTTATGATAAAAAGATAGATGTGTGGTCTCTTGGGTGCATTTTGGCTGAACTATGTACAGGCAACGTAAGTTCTTCACTTCTACTAATCTGATGTCATTGCTTCCTCATATCAATGTATTTCTCGCAAAAAACATTTGAAAGAGAAACCACATTACCACATCTTTAATAGCATATTAAATAGTGCATAGCATCAAGTGTGGTTTATTACATAGGGAATTGATTCTCCAGCTATAAAACAAATAAAAATTTCAGAAACTTGTGAATAATTACCAACTTTGACTGGAGTTAATAGGTAGATGCTTCATTGATCTCTCTGGAGTTTAGAATAAATAGATTGTCTGGGTTGGTTGTTGATTTTCGTGAACAAGAAAGTGAAATTGTGTTTATTATCGAGTTACCTTTGCAGGTTCTTTTCCAGAATGATTCTCCAGCCAGTTTGCTTGCAAGGGTAATGGGAATCGTAGGATCTATCGATAATGAAATGCTTACCAAGGGACGTGATTCCTACAAATACTTCACAAAAAACCGAATGCTCTACGAGCGAAATCAGGTTAGTTTTTTCCAGAGACCTTAAAAGAACATTCCATAAATCCCAAAAACTATGGAACGCGTAATGTTGAATGGGATAAGCAAATGCTAAGAAAGAACATTCTCTCTCAAAAATTGGTTTATTACAGGAAAGCAACAGATTGGAGTACCTGATACCTAAAAGAACATCATTGAGACATCGGCTGCCAATGGGAGACCAAGGATTCACAGACTTTGTGGCTCACCTTCTTGAGATAAACCCAAAGAAGCGTCCTTCTGCAGCAGACGCTCTGAAGCACCCTTGGCTTTCGTACCCATACGAGCCAATCTCAGCTTAGACCATTGGTCTCTTACTTGCGCTACTAAAAAAAGGGTGCAAAAACTGCAGGCAGATTATTGGAAACCTTATCTGTGCAAGGGTTCAAACCCCTTTAGGTGGGTGACTGTCACCTGTAATACAAGTTTGTGGCTGTCTTGCTCAGTCAAATGTGAGATGAAGTGAAAAACTTCTGTGATATTTTTGATTAGAATGTAACACATGTGTTGTCAAAGTTGTGATTATTAGTTATTCTCTAAGAAGTTAGAACAGATTAGTAGTAAAAAAAAACTTTTTTTTGTATCATCTACTGATCCTCAGTCCCTTGATTATGAATTTATGATTCAAGATTAATTTTGCAATGTATTATATTACTTTTTTTGGTTGCAATTTTAATTATTCAATCGCTTAAACCGCTTTTCATGATTAATTTTATCCCGTATAAAATGATGTGTTGAGTAATGATTCTGATTGGTTGAACGAGTAATAAAACTATTTTTAGTGAATACTAAATACAATACCAAAACTTTTAAGAAAACCAAATCAATCATAACTACAACAAAAATTCTACCAAAAAAGGTTCCTTTTGGCTTTGAAGAATTATTTTCAAAATTTAATATATATATATATATATATATATATATATGTTCCAACTGGCTATTTTTAACTGCTAGCTGTCTATTGAATGATCTAATTGATGATACTTACAGGAGTCTTTTTACAATATAGACTAAAAATATGTATATCTTTTAGCTCAACTAGTGAAAAAAAAAAACATAACTTTTGATATGAATAAAAGATTACCTTTAAATTGAAATGAAAATTTCTTCTAATAAATAAGGTTAAAATTTTAAGGAAGCAATTGGAATCCGAGTTTTTGGTAAATCTCATTTGTAGGTTCCTTTGGAAGATTTGTTATCTTTGGTTCGAGTTTAAGCCAATTTATTTATGCTTTTAGTCTAAGATTTTAAAGTTTCAATTTTTTATTGAATTCGAGTGTTAATCGTTTCTTACTACTGGATAGGATTTTATTAGTTCTCAAAAAATTACATTTTTTATGACTGTAATTCGAAAAAATGTTCAGTAGAACACAATGTTTGCAATATATATTGGAAAAGAAAGAACCCTAATTTAAATTTAGGATTTTTAAATTACCAGTGAATGTCCGAAATCATTACATTACATCCATTGAAACCTGAACCTGTCTTCTCCCTTTGCTTCTTCTTTCTTCGATTGATCTGTAAGCAGCGCATTTTCTCCTTCGCCATACCTGAAGTTGCATTTCTCCTTGGATCCACTTCCACGTCTTTCTCTCCATTAATTTTGGTTTTTGCTTCTCTCTTCTCCGGATCTTCAGCTATATCGCAGACTCTTCGATTGGCGCGTTTGGAGCATGATTTCTCAAGATTTTTAGGGGTTATTGAAGTTCGCATCTACCCTTATGAGCAAGCGTGAGTCTTGTTCACCGGATAATCTTCTCTTGGCTTGTTTCTGAAAGCATTGGTTTTGGGCAGATTTTGATTCTCTATGTTTAGGCTTTTCGTAGAGGGCATTGCGTATCTGAACTTTACAAAGTTTTAATCTTTTTCTGTTGGTGGTATACAGGACTGGTGGAGTTCTCTTGCCAGTGCTTATTCTGTAAACTGTAAAAGGTCATTAAATGACGGACCAAAGCTCTGTTGATTGGATTTTAGAGTTTCTTAGGCATAATCGTTTCTCTAAGGCAGAGAAAGCTTTGCGTAATGAGCTCAATAACCGCTCTGACATTAATGGCTTTCTTCAGAAACTTAAGCTGGAGGAAAAAGATTCCAATGATAAGGCTGCTGGCAATGAACTTCGGAGGTCAGGTTCTCGAGATAGTGAAGTCTCCAAGGAGCTGGTTGTGAAAGAGGTAGACTGTGGCACTAGCACCAATGGGTCTGTAATCAAATGGGAAAATGGTGCGGCTGCTGAGAATCTGAGCAAGAAGGAACCGGTTGTTGCAAGTGAGATGAGCTTTACATTCTCCAAAAATTCCGGTGATGCTGCTGCTCCTGATGAGCATTCCTATAAGTTTACTTCCGCAAATGGTACCTTGGAGCCTTATCGAAACATTGATGATAATAGTAGTAGCAGCTTGGTGGATCCATATATCTTCGAACAACCGAGGCTTGGGGATTTGGCTGATATTGATAAGAAGATAGTGGAAACTGGTGAAGATATTGTTTTCTTCGGCAATAAGAGTACTTCATGGTCTGGAAATACTAGTAAAGAGAACTCCGGGTCGAAAATAAAGGAAAAAAATGAGAGTGCTCGATTATCTGAAAAGTTTGGAAAGCATGACAGTTATAAGGGTAGCATTCTTTTAAGAACTGAAGATATTGTAGATACCTCAGAGAACTGGAAAGATTGTTCTGTTAGTACTCTTTTTCAATCTTCGCGAGGGGATGCGTCAACCAGTTACAATCTGGTTAGCAGCTCGGACAAAAGAGAGGGAAAGAAAAAGGCAGACATTAGTGATGTGAGGGAGGCAATCAAGGAGCAGGAGAGCGAAGTAGCAAGAGCTTTATTCTTTGGTAAATCTCAGTCCACTTTTGATGACAAAAACATCAGCAGCTTAGGTTTTCCACTTGCCTATGATACCCGCAAGGAAGAGTTTCCTAGGCTGCCTCCTGTTAAGCTCAAGTCTGAAGACAATCCTTTGAGTCTTTACTGTGAAGAAAAATTTGAACGTAATGGTTCAGGTACAAGGCTAATGAATGATGAGGAGGCCCTTCTCATAGGCTCATACCTTGATGTTCCCATTGGACAAGAAATTAGCTCATCAGGTTAGCTTACATGACACTGTAGCCGTACAAATATAAAGTTTCCATTCTTACTGCTAGATGATGGTTGTTTTAAGAGATGGTGCATGCGGTATCGTATTAATGATTTTGAACTACCAGCGAGACTTCTAAAGACATGCATTTTGCTCATATCCTTCATTCTTATAGGAACTACTGTAGTTATCACATTTCTATGTGTGATATTTTTCTCTGCGAATCTGCAGAACTTTAAAAAAATAAAAAAATATGAACTCGCATTAGAACAATGCATTGACAAATTACTGATATCAGTTCGAAAGAAAGCAAGTAATGATTTGGCTTTATTCATGGTAGAGTGTCTGAAAGTGTTTGCTCTCACTGTCTTCCTTTCCTACTCTGCTCTTTGTTTTGAGTTCTGTAAGGACTATGATCTTTATATTTTTTTGGGTTTTAAATTCCTAATGATTGCATTTAGGTGGGAAAAAATCTGCTGGAGGAAACTGGCTTTCAGTAAGTCAGGGAATAGCAGTGGACGCATCAGATCTTGTTTCTGGTTTTGCTACTATTGGTGATGGTTTAAGTGAATCTGTTGACTACCATAATGAATACTGGGATTCTGACGAGTATGAGGATGATGACGACATTGGTTATGTCAGGCAACCTATTGAAGATGAAACATGGTTTCTTGCCCATGAAATTGATTATCCAAGTGATCATGAGAAAGGAACGACCCGCGGAAGTCCTGATAACCATGAAAGAGATGCAAACAAAGAGGATGATGATCACTCTTATGCAGAAGAGGCTTCTTATATATCAGGTGAACAGTATCTCCAAGCAAAAGATGCTGAACCTATTTCTTCAGCAAATGACCGAAGGCTTACGGTCTCAGAAATTTATCCAGCTAGCAAGAAAAATGATTTAATAGCCCAATATGATGGGCAATTAATGGATGAGGAGTTGCTCAATTCGATGCGTGATGAGCCTCTGTGGCAGGGGTTTGTAGCTCAGTCAAATGAACTTGTCATGTTAGGTGATAAGAAAGGCATAAATGTCCATCGAAAATCTCATCTTGATGATGTTTGCCTCGAAGATGATCAGCATGATTCAGTCAGGTCGATTGGTGTGGGTATTTATAGTGATGCAGCTGATTTTGGCAGTGAAGTACGTGAAAGTTTGGCTGGAGGTAGCAGTGAGGGTGATTTTGAATATTCTCGTGATCATGATGCTGTAGCATCTAGGTTTAAACAGCTTTACTCTGAGTCAGATAAGAAACATGTTGATGGGACAAACACGAATAAACAGAAAGCAAATAAAATTGATGGTCAAGATTACATTGTAGATAATGATTCAGGCGCAAGTTTTCATGTGAAGATACAAACTGATGAAGGTTTTTCGTTTGGCTCGTCACAAAAAGATGGGCAGTTAATGCATGCAGAATCTAGTAAATCATTACGGTCAGGCAATCGCGAAACGGTAACCAGAGATAGGAACGCGGAACGTTTGAATGCTTCAACAGCTACGGATGATATGGTTGCAACTTGGAGACGAAAAAGTAGTGATTCATCAAGTTCTCGAAGTTCTGTGAAAGAAAATAATGCAATGTCCATGAAATCTTTAAACTCATCTCCCTCTTCGTTATCAAATTATGCTTGCGAAGAAAGAAAGCATGCTATGAAAGAAGATGATCGAAATGATAGCAGTGAAAAAGAGGAGGACCAGACGACAGCACTTGATGATGAAGAGGCAGTGGCTGTCCAAGAGCAAGTTAGACAAATTAAGGCCCAAGAGGAGGAGTTTGAAACCTTTGACCTCAAAATTGTGCATAGAAAAAACAGGTAAGATATCTCCCCAACTTTTATGGTTTGGACTATAACAGTAAGTCCCTTTCTTTTCTTATTGAAAGAAAGTAGAAAGTTACCTTTTCTCGCTTTTTTCCTGTTTAGGAGAGCTTGTGTTTCTGAGTCTCTGGTTCCTGCATTCAACCCAGAAACGTGATGTTATGTAAATCTGTGAATATAGCATATTTAAGTGAATTAACTACATTGCTTATTTGAAGTTGATTACGTTCACCGTAATTACCTTGGATAACTATTTTCTTTTGAAAAGTTACACCCAAGATTGAACTAGTAAACAAATTTTAACATTGTCATAGTTTCATATATGCTGCTGAGTTCTGCTCTCTTATTACTTGTTGATATTTATCAGAACTGGTTTCGAAGAGGAAAAGAACTTTCACGTGGTTTTAAATTCGGTCATTGCTGGGCGGTACCATGTCACTGAGTACCTTGGATCAGCAGCCTTCAGTAAAGCCATACAAGCGCATGACTTGCAAACGGGAATGGATGTCTGTATAAAGATTATTAAGAACAACAAAGATTTCTTTGACCAGAGTCTTGACGAGATAAAACTTTTGAAATATGTCAACAAGCATGATCCTGCTGACAAATACCATCTTCTACGGTTGTATGATTACTTTTACTACCGGGTAAGTGATCACATCCTTTTTGCAAAATTTTATTCTGCTACAGTATATCAAAAAGGACTAATTGTACTCTAGGGGAGGTCGAAACCAATTAATCAGGTAATAAGGCTAAGAAGCTGTGGCATTACATCTAAAATTTTTCACATACGCCAATTTATAGAAATATAAATGGGATCATGGAATATCAAGTAGGTTTTTTGAAAGGAAAAAGTGGTCGTTTCCTATAAACAAAAGTACTATACCAAAGTTCTAATATGAAAAGTACTTGGTTCTGGAGAAAGAAGTTAATTACTGGTCGACACTGTCCATCTTCATGAAGTCTACATTTACTAGGAAAATTATGGTAGCAAATAGCAGTGATCAACTTTCCCACTGATTTAATAGATTCCTTATGTCATGGTAATGGTTCATTTTCATGGAGTCATTGGGATTATCCAGATTTGTTCAGCATGACCTTTATAATTTATGCGTATCTATACATCATTTTAAAGTGTAGCTTTACAAGTTGTACATTCATCTCTGGATTAGTCTATTTCTCTTTAACAATTTAAGCACAAATTTAAACTACCTAATATTAATACTGTGCAATATTTCTCTTTGTGGATTGTTTGGAGTAATGGATTTCCTGTCTGTTTTCTACAGGAGCATTTGCTAATTGTCTGTGAACTTCTTAAGGCCAATCTATACGAATTCCACAAATTTAACAGAGAGTCAGGTGGTGAAGTTTACTTCACAATGCCAAGATTACAGGTTTGTCCGCTTCATCATTACCATTCAGCATAGGTACATATATGGCCGATTTCTAATCTCATTTGGACCGTTTTGTACAGTCAATCACTATCCAGTGTCTCGAATCACTTCAGTTTTTACATGGCCTTGGACTTATACACTGTGATTTAAAGCCTGAGAACATACTGGTGAAAAGCTACAGCAGATGTGAAATAAAAGTCATTGACCTTGGAAGTAGCTGTTTCGAGACAGATCACCTATGCTCCTATGTCCAGTCAAGGTCATATCGAGCACCAGAAGTCATTTTGGGACTTCCTTACGACAAGAAGATAGATGTGTGGTCTCTTGGGTGCATCTTGGCTGAACTATGTACAGGCAACGTAAGTTTTGCATTTCCATTGACTTGGTCCATGTCATTGCGATCTCATATATTTTTTTTCTCATGCGAAAACATTTGAAAGAAATACCACATTTCTACATCAAAGTCCGCATAGTAATAGTTCTTATGCATCAAGTGTTTTATTACATAGGGACTTGATTATCGGATTATAAAACAAAACCCCTTAATTTGTCAGGAACTTGTGCAAAATTACTGAACTTAAACTGTAGATGCATCATCGTTCTCAGGAGATTAAAATAGTTGAATAGTGTCTGGCTTGGTTTATTTTTGTGAACAAGAAGTGAATTCGTGTTTATTATTGAGTTACTTTTGCAGGTTCTTTTCCAGAATGATTCTCCGGCCAGTTTGCTTGCAAGGGTAATGGGAATCGTAGGATCTATTGATAATGAGATGCTTACCAAGGGACGTGATTCCCACAAATACTTCACTAAAAACCGAATGCTCTACGAGCGGAACCAGGTTAGTGTTGTCCAGAGACCTTAAAAAAGCAAGCCCTGAATCCCAAAACTCTAGGCATATATATATGCTAAGAAATAACATTCTATTACAGGAAAGCAACAGATTGGAGTACCTGATACCGAAAAGAACATCGTTGAGACATCGGCTTCCAATGGGAGACCAAGGATTCACAGACTTTGTGGCTCATCTTCTTGAGATAAACCCAAAGAAGCGGCCTTCTGCAGCAGAGGCTCTGAAGCACCCTTGGCTTTCATACCCATACGAGCCAATCTCAGCTTAAACCATTGGTGTCTTACTTAAGCTACTAAAAAAAAAGCTGCAAAAACCGCAGGCAGATTAGTGGAAACCTTTTCTGAGAAAGGGTTCGAACCCCTATGGTGGGTGAGACCGTCACCTTAATGCAAGTTTGTGGGTGTCTTGTTCAGTCAAATGTGAGATGAAGTGAAGAACTTTTGTGATAATTTTTGATTAGAATGTAACATTTGTGTTGTCAAATTTGTGATTATTGATTATTCTCTTAGAACAGATTAGTAGTAAAAAACCTATTGTGTATCATCTGCTGATCCTTAGCCCTTTTGATTATGAATGTTATTGTTTTACTGTTTCAACTAATGTTGTTATATATTGTGTGTGTTTCAAGATTAATAACTTCGCAAGCAAATCAAACTCTAAGAAAATAATTAAAAAAAAAAACAAAAAAAAGGAAATAAAAATGGAAAAGGAAAATGTGAATAGTCAGTCAGTCTCTCTTGTCGTAGTTCAGTCAGTGAGTGATTCAGATGATGACCACTGTCTCCGTCGCCGGCATAGCTCCTCCGCTTCATTCCCCATCCTCTCGTCATCTGAGTCTGACCAAGCTCTCTATTCAAGTACTCTCTTCCTCTCTCAGTGGGTGTGTCAATTTAGGTTTCATCTTCCGAGCTATCTTTTTTCGTTGATTGTGATTGTGATTGGTGAAGATTTCTAGAACCGGCTTGCGGAGGAAACAGCTAGGATTTGCTTTAGCTTCTGCGACGGCTTCAGAAACGCCATCGGAAGGTCCGAGAGGAAGCTCTTTGTTTCGCTCATATTCCTCCGTACATTGCAATAGCGTTTTTGTTAACCCTGTTAGTGTGAATGTTGGATTTGCCAGCTACTTTTGATCCAGAGCTCCGTTTAGTTTTCGAGCTCGCCACCGATTCAGAGTTGTATGAGCTTGAGAAAATTCTTTTTGGTCCCAGGTAATATTTTTGTGATATAGAGATTCAGAGTCTTGATTAAACCCTTCAAATTATAAATGGTGGTTTTTGTGCTCTGAGTTGTGTTTTTGGGGTTGCTTTTTTTTATTGATGATCAGCTACTTCAGCCCTTTGCTGAAATCAATCCCAAACAAAGGAGGAGGTGACCGCCTAATGATTGGCCAAGATATTGAGGTGCGAGATGGTTTTATCGAAGCTCTTGAATCCAGATTCTTGTTTCTTGCTGCAGATGCTCGCTCTACACTGAGGTAGGCTTTGCTTCTTCTGTCCTTAGTCAATCGATAGCTTCTTATTTTGGGCTCCACTAGGATGCGAGAGCTAGGGTATTAAGTTTTCAATGAAGTAGATACTGAACTGGATTTTTCGGGAGCAACCTGTTCCATTGACTCTGTTGCCAACTTCAGTATTAATCTAGGTGAAACTGTTGCATCATCTCTTGCTATATTTGTTCCTGGGAGAGTCTGAACCAAAGAATTTTTATAATGCTTTAGTCTTTCATTTTTATAGGGGTTGGAGGCCTTCATACAGAAACGTTTTACTTGCAGTGAGAAATAATTTGAATATTCCCTGCTCCAGCCAATTACCAACCGAAGACCTAGAAGCAGAGATTTTTCTTTATCTTGTCGACAATTTCTCTAGGTATTCGGAGTTACTCATTAGTTTTGCTGTAAGCTTTTTCAATTGAGTGGGGTTTTTGAACCTTTTTTCGCTGCAACTTCTAACTTATCCATGTAGTGAAGCATCAGGTGTCTTTCCAGGCTTGTGGGAAAATTCTGAAGTCACAGAGGCAAAGGGAAGCTTAGAACTTGGACTCAGTAAATGGAAAGTTGAACTACTTGCTGCACTACAAGTGGGTGCTACAGAGGTCCAATCTATGATTCTGAAGGTATTCTTGTTGTTAAGGTCTTTCATCTTGAGAATGGCATGTTTGTTCTCAGGCTTACAGGTATTTTCTTGCAGGGTGGTGGCATGATCACATTTGCCAAAGTTTATCAGTTGGTATGAAATCGATTTGTGCGTTAAAAGTTTTAACTTCTTTGTCTTCTTCCCTGAGGAGATACAATAACTGTGTGTTCTGGCCCTATATAGTTGGCTAGGAAACTATCTGGAAAAGTATTCCTTGAAGCTGCCAACTACCAGATGAGGAAAGAGATGCTAAAAAAGGTTTGCTTGCAGTTGTATTTATTTCATCATACTGCAAAAGAATCTTTGCATCACATCACCACTCAGTTGACAATAAAGCGTTACATGTCAATGATATAACAATATGCTGATACATCAACCTCTTTCTACAGGGTGGACAGTTAGCAGCCATTAACCTGGAATCTCGAGCAGGTCTGCTTGCAGCAAAGCATGTAAGCGTATTTCCATGTATCTTTTTTTCTTTCCCTTCCTTATAGCATGTTGAGTTATCTTCACTCCATGAACTATGTTTTGATATATAGTGTGATTACATTACCCTTTAATTGATCACAGGGATTTGCAGGAGCTGCATCCAGATACATAGGCTTAAAAACAGCAATGCATTTACTCGGCCCTATGTAATATACACTGCCATATTTCTCGAGAACAATAGCATTCAAATTACATAAGCACATGGATACGCGTAATTTTCTTCTTTAACTTGTTTTTTTATTCGGAAAAAAATAATTGTGGAATCTGCAGGATGTGGGGGACACTACTAGCTGACTTGGTTATTCAGATGCTCGAGACAGACTATGCTAGAATCTTACGAGCAATTTACGCATTTGCACAGGTACTTCTCTTTACACCGAAGTCTGCATTTTTTGTTTTGGCACAATATACATGATTTCTATATGGTTGTTGCACAAACACAAAGAGGGGTTAAAAAAGGATTGTTTTGTTTTCCAGATTCGGATCACGAGGACATACAGGCTACCTTGTAAATGAAGTAACAGTATGCTTTTCTCAAGATTCTCAATCTCAGTGTCCTCACGAGTTATGTCGGTAAATAATGATTATCACGCTGTATCATACTCGCTTGTGGTTGAAACGAAATTAGACGCTACTCGAATAGAATAGATGAGAGAGTGGTCCACCTTAAAAAATTGTGAGCGTTTAGGAAACATGTATAACAGATTTTTTTTTTTTAAAGAAAATATACTCCCTAGTTAGTGGCAACGAGCGGATAAGCGACGTGAGGAGTTCTTTGTGACACATGTCTGGTCCTGACACAAGGTAAAAGATATATAGTCCTTTGAACGCTTAACACGTGTCTGGTCTGTGTAACCCCTCGAAAGCAACGGCTCTTGTTTCTTTCTCAACGATGACCCGCCGCGTCTCTCCACGTGGCGTTTTGTCAAAATTCCAGACTATTCCCATTATTATTATCTTTTTAATATTGCAAACAATTCATTAGTTAAATATATAACTGCGTTAAGCTGTTAATACTTTAATAGTCGCGAGTTGCGACAAATAATAAATAATTAAGGCTTTGTTTAGATCTTTTTTCTCCCTAGGCAGCCGACTTGATGTAAACCCCATTAATTTATACCTTAAAATAACTCTCGCAGTTTATAGTAGAGTGAACATGGGTATTTGGGTTTAGCAAAATCCTGGAGTAGTGATTAGGACAGTTTTGTTTTTGTGGTTCTTATTTTAAAGCATGTGTGTGATTTTATTTGTGGCCCTTGTTGAAGACGAAACTTGTCGGGTTTTTTCCTCAGAAAGATGAGTAAAATTCAAATTGAATTTGATATATCAAGAAATCGTCCAAAGCATGACGTGACGTAGGAGCCAATGGTTAAAAGATAACTAACATATAGTTGGATCATATCCAATACTCTTTTCTCTGATCCAATATTCTCCAAGACTTGTGGCGTTAATATGTTTATTAGACATTTTTTAAGTATACTTTTTTAAACACATGTGATGTTTATAAATTACTTGTGTTTTAATTACTGTTGAAAGTTTTCTTTTATGGTATGCCATGATTTATTTTCTTAACTTGCAATAAAATGTTTGAAATTGAGATTTGAGAAAATTCATAATTGTTAGAAAATACTTTTTATAGATAGGATCATATGATAGGACGGTCTTTTAGGGTAAAAAAAATATTGGCAAATTTAATAATAAAAATAATCAGTGACCTTACACGTGTTAATTCTGGAAGAATCTACTCGTCTCTTCCGATATATCTCATCCCAAAGCTACGAAGACAACTCTACCAAGTTCCTAAAACAAATATTACCAAAAAAAAAAAATTTTAAAGTAATATTTACATTTAAAATTTGGTATTTTTTTCAATCTTTAAAATTGTTCATTTTCCTTTAAAAAGATTATTCTCTCAAATCCTTGTTTAACTATCATTCATCATCTTCCCTTCTTCTTTCTTCCTCCTCTTCATCAGCTATTATAAAGCTCTGTTTATTTTTTGGTACCTTGTTTATATATAAAACAGAGGAACCCCCTAAATTTGGCTTCTCCCCCATTCCAAGTTTTCTCATTTCGCTAATTTTGGAGAAGAAACAAACGATTTTTTATTTTTCATATTTTTCTGATACATTTGCTTGGTTTATGATCTGTTCAAGCAAAGGAACAATCTTAATCGCTAGAGGTGAAAATTCGAATTCAACCCCCAGATTAGGCCTAACAGTTTCATCCACAGATTACGCGAATCGGATTCCAACTCGAAACAATCCAATCAGCGTCAAAACTTTCCGGCGATCATCGTCACCGTCAATGGCGGTGGAAACAATGTCGATGGGATCAGATTCTTCAACTTTGATTCTTACCTCAGGAGCAAGCGGTCGCGTTAGGGTACTCTTCTCGATGCGAGAGCTCAAGCGTCTCGTTACCATCATCCAATCTCTTATTCTCTTCCTTCTCCTTCCTTTTCGCGTCGTCGTTTGGCGGCGGAGGACCGGTTCCACGGTCGTCATCAGAGACGATAAGCAGGAGAGGAAGGTCTGGTCTCCGCCTCAGATCGTCGTGAGGAAGAGGAGCAGCGGCGGCGGCGAATCCGGTGTAAGCGTTTCGCCTCCTTCTGTTCCAGCGGCGGTGGTGGATGAGGAGGTTGCGGTTAGACGGGAGCTGGCGATTAGGCGAGTTTTGGAGGATGAAGGCGGCGATGGAAGCTCCGTCAGAGATTATTCACTTTTCACGACCAAGAGAGGTGATACGTTGTTCACTCAGTCATGGTCACCTCTTTCCCCAAATCACAGGTCATTCTCGTTAACACTCTTTCCATTTCTTTTATATTTTCATGTGTCAATTCATATCATTTACGAAATCTGTTTAGATGCTAATTAGTACAAGCAATTAGTGTTTGTTTGTTATTTAGAAAACTAATTACGATAACGAAAGAACTCAAAACTCTGATATTTGGTGGTGGTCGTTCAGGGACCTTAGTTAGTCGTCTCTGCTCAGTGCGCAAAGAAGATATTTGTTGTGTTTTAGATTTCATGTACGTTTCTTATCAAATTGTTTCTTTTGTCGTGTGGTCCTGTTTTGTTTTTTCAACTTGAGTTGTTTAATATTGAAGTGGTGGATCCCCTCCTAGATATTATTATGTTTCCTTGCACCTATCTATATTCGATGCGTTTGCTTAACCATAGCGTCATATATTTTTGTTGAGCTAACCATCAATAGTGATGCTAATCTTTTAACTATTAAGAATAGATTTAGTAATTTAGATTCTAGAGACTTTGTCAATAGAGGCTATCTGGTCTAATGTTTCTTGCACACTATCACTTTCATTTCTTTTTATATTGTTTTGTAAGCTTATCTGACTGTTGTTCTTATATAACTTTCAATCATTTTTTGTTATTGGTCTGGTTTCTTATCTATCTATCTATATGTTCTTGGCTTCTTGCAGGGGACTTGTTGTTCTGCTACATGGACTAAACGAGCACAGGTTTGAACTTATTTCTCAAGTTATGCACCATTTGCTTTGATTTTTCTTGGCACTAAGAAGCTTGACATTAGTTTATATTCAAAATTTTGACAGTGGTAGGTATAATGACTTTGCAAAGCAGCTAAATGCTAATGGGTTCAAGGTCTATGGAATTGACTGGATTGGTAAGCCAAATTCTCTTTCACCTTTTGTTAGCATGCTTCGCTAGACTGTAAGCGTTGACGTTTTGTCCTCGTCTCTCATTTGTCAGCTAGGTTAAATAAGAACTCTTTTCCTTGCATGTATAACGAAGTACAAACCTAAACATTGATGATATCGTAGGTTATGTTACAGTAAAGTTTTTGACATGGTAGTAGTCTTGGTCTTGAACATTTGGTGGGATAGTTGAAACATGTTCTTGATGCATAGAAATGGACCTTCGTACCTTAATAAATGCAAAAACACGAGTGTGTGATTACGATGCAGCTGTTTCATACTTTCGTAGGCTAGATACAAAACTCTTCAACCATACCTCTCTGTGTTTGGATGTCGCAGGGAATTGTGATTTTTGTTGGGGTGGTGCCTAATTCGTGTGGAAAGGTGACACATGAACCCATCTTTAGCTTTATTCGCAACTTAGGAACTGTGATTTGTAATGTTTGCAGACACTGTGAACATCTTTGAAATCTTCCTATATAGGCTGTTTCTGACATTTCCCTGAATAATAAACATCCAAGTCTTTAAAGTTGACTGTGATGCTCCATTTTTGGTATCAATTGAACAGGTCATGGTGGAAGCGATGGACTTCATGCTTACGTTCCTTCCCTTGATTACGCTGTCACAGATTTGGTATAGCTCTTTTTCTATCTATATATATAATTCTGGCTTCTGTATCGATTTCTTGTTGCTGAACAAACTTCCCCCACCATCATCTTTTCAGAAATCATTTCTGGATAAGGTATTAACAGAGAATCCAGGGCTCCCCTGTTTCTGCATTGGACACTCAACAGGAGGAGCGATCATCCTCAAGGTAACGAAACATCTTTATAATCCACTAAATTATTATTGTATCAATCAACCGAAAATACAAAATCCTAAACAATGTTAAGAACAATTTATAAGTGCAGGCTATGCTGGATCCAAAGATTGAATCTCGAGTTTCAGGCATTGCATTGACTTCACCAGCTGTTGGAGTCCAACCATCCCATCCAATCTTCACAGTAAGTTCATCCGTAAAAGACATAGTCATAATTTATGCTTTTTCAGACAATTCTTAACAATCTAATCGGTTCTCTCTCTTGTATTTTTTTCTCAACAGGTTCTTGCCCCAATCATGGCGTTCCTCCTGCCCAGGTACCAAATAAGTGCAGCAAACAAGAAAGGAATGCCAGTTTCTCGTGACCCAGCAGCTCTCGTTGCCAAGTATTCTGACCCATTAGTCTTCACCGGATCCATCCGAGTTAAAACCGGCTACGAGATCCTTAGAATCACTGCTCACTTGCAACAGAACCTGAACAAAGTGAAAGTTCCTTTTCTTGTGATGCACGGAACAGACGATACAGTGACCGATCCCAACGCCACAAAGAAACTCTACGAGGAAGCTTCGTCGTCAGACAAATCGATCAAGCTCTACGATGGGTTGTTGCACGATCTTCTCTTTGAACCCGAGCGAGAAATCATAGCTGGGGAGATTTTAGATTGGCTGAACCAGCGGGTTTAGCTCGTTCAAACCAAAAGTACTGTCACAACGTCGAATCAAGAATCATAAGAGTGTGCAGCATTTCTCAATTCGGCGCGGAATCAAGAATTTCTAAGATTCAGAACATTGAAAAATTTAGTTTCTCTGGCATTTTTCTGAGTTATTTATATGACTTGAGAGAAACGTGAGGGAAAACAAAAAGTATAGTTCTTGGTCGATTCAGCAACTTCTGGGCTGATTTTTTTCAACCCAGAAGTAAGAAAGAAGATAGAGAGAAGAAGAGACCTCCCAAATCTGGACTCTCTTGCTATGCTTCTTGATGTTGCTAATATGTATTGTCATATAAAAACAATAATTTTGTAACCTTGGATTTTAATATCTTATATATCTACATTTTTGTACCTGTATTTTTGGTTTAACATTTCGTCGCTATATATGATTTTGTTGGCGACTTGGGGACTAATCTATGTTGTATTTTGGAGAAAAGAATATGAACCTGAAGAAATATTGTAGGAACAATTATGATTACTGAAGAGAGGATGATGCGACCTAACATAATTATTCCTAGCACATGTGTTCACGTTATTTTATGCCAGGGAAAATGGCTAATACTAATCATTATCATTTATCTTAATAAAGTACACTACCGTATATGCTAACCAACACCCTTCCTTTAGTCATTATTTCTTCTTCCTTGCATAAGTCACTCTCAAATCTCACCATTGACGTGTAAGATTTCAGATTTGATATACCGGATTGAGAATCCTTAATGGTTAAAAAATGATATATATATATATATATATATATATATATATATATATATATATATAAGATCTTAGATTCGCTATGATACAACATTCTACTATATCTATCCATTGTAATTTAGAGAAAAGAGAGTATAAATATATCACTTAATAATTTAAAACCAAAACTGATGTACAACCAGTTTTCTTCTAAAAACATAACACATCATGATATTAAATATTTTGATGAAGAGCTAAACTGAATGTTTAGCAGCAACGGTAAAACGGCAATTACAAGCCTTTAACAAGGACGGTCAAAGCAGTAAAACGACCAACCTTGCTAAAGCGAGTGCCAACGATCCGCTTCCTCTGCCTACATTACCAAAATCATCCCCGAATTAACAATATATATATATATATATATATATGGCGCAAATACACTTTGTTTGTGATCAAGAAATGAAATTTTAATTTTGCTCTATATTTGTTTACCTGAGTTTTCTTCTAAAGAGGACTGATTCGAAGTTGCTTCGAACTCAACTTTCCAGCCTTTCGCAGTTTTTTCTGAGCCTCCCTCAACCTGTCATTACAAAAATAAACAGAGATCAATCTAAAACCATATGATCATGAACCAACCCACACCATAATCATCACAGATATCATAATAATGCTTTGTGTGATTGGTTCGAAAGGACTCTACATTAGATACATACCAAAACAATACATATATGTAGTTGCAGAGCAATGTAAATTTCACAAACACGGATACAAGGACTCACCAATCATTCGTCTTTCCGTTTAATAACACATATCATACTTTTCTTCTAATGTCAATATTTGCTATCAAATAAAAAGAAATAAAATTTTAATTTTGCTATATTTGTTTACCTGATTTTTCTTCTAATGTCACATATCAAATCGTCTCTTACAGCGAACGATGGCTTATATGGACGGTAAATAGTAAGGTTACGAAACCAACCAAATTGATCTGAATTATTGATCATGTAAACTTGGAGCTCTCGCCCCCTCAAAAGACTTCCTCTGAGTGCAAACCCCTTTGTATGATCTTCCAGAAGAATGCAAGCATATCTGTAAAACGAAAAGATATCAAAACTCAAAATTAAAACATATATTCTTCTTTGTTTGTTGGTGGATGCAAACAAAAACAAACCTCAAGGGAGCACCGGTTTTAAAGTTTATGGGAACATGAACATCTGTGACCTTTCCACACGTACTGAAATGTTTCCACAATGCGGTCTTGATTTCATCCCTAGGAAGGGATTCATCAAATCCTTTAACGAGAAGGGTCGGTTGCACCTTTATTTCGGGGGCTTCTTTCTCCTTTCGACCACAAAACAATATTTCTTTGGATTCAATACACAAAGAAAAGTTTCAAATTTCTTTAAAACATATATATAAAAACCATCTAGTAAAACAAACATATACCTTGAATGAAACTACCGGTAGATTGCGCCCGTTTAGAATAATCTCTTGTAGTTTCTCAAAAGTTTCAGTCAACTTTTCGCAAGATTTCCTCAATTTTTTTATTTCCTGCTCAATTAGGAAAAACGCACACACAAACAAAAAAAACTAGCTATTTTAGTTCTCTCGATCGAGTTCAAGTGGCAAAAAAAAAAAACAAAACTAATATAAAGCTAAAGGATTCGTGACCTTATTCACATCATGAAGTGATTTAACCTAAACATCCGAAATAACAACAAAGTTAATAGATAGTAAGTTAGAAGAAGAAAGCCGCAAGAAGATAATAATAATAAGAAGAAGAAGAAAATAACATCGGTAGAAGAAGTCGAGCATGTCTTGAGCGAGCATGTCTTGAGCCTCCAGTTCATGGAAAATTTGTGTAGAGAAAAGACTGCTAAGTTTTCGATAGCAAGATGAGGAGATAGACAACACACAAACAGAAAACCAAAAAAAAAAACCCTTTTATTCAGTTTTGAGCTGGGCTTCGCTGTTGTTGTTTGGGCCTCGTGGGCCTTAACTTTTAGTGTCTTATGTTTTTGACCATCATCAATCATCTTCAAGAAATTTTCTATGTTTGGTTTTTGTTCACAATTTATTAATATTTTTATTTTTTAAAGTAATAGTTTTAAGATGCATCGTTTCACGATCTTACATGTTTGAAGAGTTTCATTTCTAGTATGTTTTGGTAATACCATCAAGCCTGATGTTTTTGTCTGGGCCTTGACTTGTGGGCCTTGACTTTTGTGCTGATTTTTGTGACCATCATCACTTCAAGAAATTTTCTTATGTTTGGTTTGGAAGTTGGTTGACAATTCATTTTTGTTTTTGTTTTTAAGTATTAATTTTAAGTTGGATCGTTTCAGGATCTTACATGTTTGATGATTTTCATTTATAGTATGTTTTCGTAATAATACCATCAGGTATATAGCGTATGATATGCTTCTCACAATAAAAGAAATTATGTATGCCCACTTATGTATAAAATAATATTTTTATACTGAAATAAGTGAAAGAAAATAATACAAATGGATTAAAGAAATAATAGTATTTTAAAAGAAAACCAGTTTGGAAAATTTGGACTTATACAACAAATCTATGATCAAGAAATCACAACAACAACAATTCAAGGCTGGATAATAGATATTTGATATTCATGCAAGGATCTAAATCTATTAACTTGCAATCAAAAACTTGAAAAGCATGATGATAATATCATACCATAATGTGAGCCGCCTTAGGTTGCAAGTTCTCTAAGGTAGATGTCGTTAATATGCAAAAAACACAATTACATGTTTTGAATCGTCAGTCTCAAAGATATTTATTTTTAAATTATTATTTGGAAAAAATTTCGTACAAATTCTTGAAAACATTAAAATATAATATATTTTAAATTATTATTGTCTACCAAATTTATTAGAGATTTTCTTTTCCAACTTTATCAAACCAATTTTACATTTAGAAATGATTTAATACAATTTTCAAAGTGTATTCATTTCGACATACCTAGATTGTAATGCAAGGGACTACGAACACTTTGACAGACATATTGTCTTGCTTACTAGGTGCGATATCAGCTGCAAGATGGAAAGTGGGTAGAGTTTTGGGAAACTCTGGATTACTAGAGGAAATAACGGGAGAGAATGTAGTTTAGTCGTCAGTCACGTCGTAAAGGGCTTATTATAATAATAGTTGAGTTAAAGATAAAATATCTATAAATATGAAATAAATTGTTAGTTTCTGTGAAAACTAAACCCACTAGTTTGATTGATTACATGTATTAAGAGAGTTCACTGATGAATGTATTTGTTTGGAATATGTGTTTGGGTGCTAAACGTTTTAGATTTTTTATTTTGATTTGTCATATTTCAGGTGGTTGGTCTAGAACCATTACAAGAGTCTACCAAATCCACGAGTTCTATCCTGGTGTGGTCTATATCTTTTAGCATGATTTGCGTTGTTTTTTCTATTTATAATCTCAATCTCCAAAACATGTATACGTGATGAACAAAACATAGCCTGATGAACTACTACTGTCCGACTAAAATTATTGGAGAAATTATGATAGTTGGTTTTTTCTTAAATATTATTATTACTTTGTTAAATATTAAGATATTTTTCTAGATACTAATTATTACAAAATTAGAGCGGTTGGTAAGAAAAAGCAACGGCTAATTTATGCATAAAAATGATTGTAAATATTGATATACCGAAAGAAATAGAAAATAATATGAATGGACTAAGTACATAGAAATGAAACCCAATTAAGTATTTTAAAAGAAAACAAAATTGGAAAATAGGACATATATAACAAAATTTATCATCAAGAAGTCACAACAACAACAACAAGTCAAGGCGTGACCTCCTTGTTAATTTCCTTTGTCACACACAGACACACACACACGATTCAACTCAAGAGAGTGACACCTAAAAAGGCTTTTCTCTCTTGCATGATTCATCAATGGTAACGTAAGCCACTACGTCAGCAGTTACATAACAAATCCATTACTTTTTATTTCTGAAGAGTGATAGTGATTTATATAGAGAAGTTGTAGTAGGAGGAAATAAGAATAATAGTAATAATAAAGGTGTTGTGTTGTTATCATAATCATCATAATCAAGATATCAACTCTTCCACTTGCCCAATTAGCTAAAAACAAACAAAATATTTCGAATTTTCTCCGAACATGGAGAGCTTGTTGCTCAAGCAAGTGGACCAGACGAGACCAGACAGAACAGACCCATCCATCCATCCATATCATATTAATTTAATTTAATTAAAGTAGCAACTTCGGCCGCCCTCCCTCTTACCTTTTCTTGTTTTATTTTGTTTTTTAGGAACGTGCTTTTTATCAGTCCACCCAAAACAAAAACGAAAATAACTAAATCGTTGATACAAAGATAACTTATAATTAAGACTAACATAGTTTGGGTAAGTTTACCGTTGCAACATTCATTTAGAGATTCTCGTCAATTGTCTTGGTTATCTCTTCACCTATATGTGTTGACTGACCATTGTAATATTTTCCTAGAGCATTTCCATTGACTTAATATTTCCTGTGAGCAGAGAGAGAATATTCAAAATCACTTCTTATTTAAAAACTGACTATATACAAAACAAAACTACTTATGAACATTAAATATTGACTTGTAATGGATTTGATTTTGTCAATACGTTTAGTAATATAAGGAGAAATTAAACGTAAACTATATATATAGTTATACACATAATAAACTAAAGGACTGATGATTATTATGTGATTTTGCCGCCATGCATGACACAACATTCTTGATTCTACAATAATACTACACGATTAATATACTAATATATCATCAAATAAAATATGATAACACTTGTCAAGAGTGACTATTACTTTTTTGGTTTTATATGATTTCTCTTGGGGTCTATCTATAGTAGTATATGTTTATCTTGGAGTAAAGAGATTTGCCAAAACTTATTATGTAGATCAATGATTCGACTTAATGCATCGATACTGAAGAAATTCATATATATTTGGATTACTGAATGATGTTACTTACAAGTTACAAGAAGGATTAATTCCCTTAGCTAGAATCTGGAATGGTGGAGTTGTATATATCATATACATGTACAAAAAAAATTACCATCATAATATATATAGACAGATCTCCACTAAACTCTACAAAAATTAAATCTAATGAACATTCGAATTTTTTTAAGATTACAGATTCTTTTTTAAAGAATCGAATCAAAGATCTTCCCGGAGGAAAGGATGAGCAAGAAGCTGCGACGCCGTCCATCTCTTACTCGAATCTTTACGTAGACAACACTCTACAAAGCTCTTAAACTCTTCCGAGCTTCCCTCCGGCGCTCTCGGCGGTTCTCCGAAACACACCGCGCACATCAGCGTCGCCCAGTCAGGTCTCTGCCCCTGCGGAAGCAACGGGAAGTGCCCTACGAGAAGCTCAAGCATCATCAATCCGAAACTCCATATATCTCCGGCGTATATATCGGAGCTTCCACCGGAAGATTCCGAATCGAATCTCTCCGGGCTCATGTAAGCGCAAGTCCCAACGTACGAGTTGCACGAATCTAACGATCTGACTAAGATCTTGCTCACTCCGAAATCTGCGATTTTAACTTCGTCTCTCGAATTGAGAAGCAGATTCGCCGGTTTGATATCACGGTGAACGATCTTGAGAGCGTGTAGATAGCTCAGTCCTTTCAAGATCTGTTTAGCGAATCCGGCGAGTTTCCGCTCCGTCACGGCGCCGCGGAGTGATTCCAGCGTTCCTCCGTCCATGTACTCCATCAGGATCGACACTTCGCCGACGACAGGTTTCTCGAAGATCCCGTGGCATTTAACGACGTATGGTGAATCCGTGCGGCGGAGGATCTCCATCTCCCGCATCAACTGCCTCGTGAAAACGGGATCCATGTCGCCGTTGACTGTTTTCAAAGCGTAGATCTCAGACGTGTTCTTGTGACGGACTCTGTAAACGATCCCTCCGTTTCCGCATCCGAGAACGTTCAGTTTCTCGAGATCGCCGGCTGAGATGTTGTTGTTGTTACAGACTGAGGAGGTAGCAGCGACGGAGGAGGAGGAGGAGACGGAGAAGCGGCGGTCGGAGATAGGAGGCAGAGGAAGACGGAGATTGAGCTGACGACGTTCACGAACCAAAGCCATGAGAATAAAGAAGAAGAAAGAGTTGATTGTTGTGATTCTGAAAGAAGAAATAGAGAGAAGCTTCAGATTATATATGATTTTATCAAAGTTTAGACTTTGGAGTGTGAAGGAGACTACGAGGAAGGTGAAGATGAAGATTACCTAATTATCCTCTCTCTCTTTTTTTTTTTTCCTTATATAATTTCTTCTTATCTTAAAATGGAATTTAATTTTTTTTTCTTGGCACTATATGTCGTTAAAAATGCAACTTGTGTGAGTGTTTTGGATTTACGCACGTGGTTAATTGCATCATACTGTAATTCATGTTCACATTATTATATTTTATGTCCATGGAAAATGACTAATCCTAATCGTAATCATTTATTCTATAATGACGATAAGGTTAATGGAAGATTTTGTCCGGCTTTTGGATTATTAAAAAGTGCAAGAAATTAACGGTAGTAGTGGTAACACTAATTAATAATAAATGATAGTTTGTTTTTGGCCAACAATGAAACTAAACTTAACTTTAGAAATGAAGACTCTGAGAAGATTCGATGAACCGAAGGAGGCTAAAAGGACCGAGAAACCTAACGACTAGTGTGAGGTAATGAGAACGACCAAACAGCTTCTAACGTGGATAAGCTTCTAACAGCCATCTGTCTGATTTCTGCGGCCATCGCATTCAAATTTGTTTGGCAACTTTTTCATTATACTATTTTGGATATGTTTTTAGATTCAGATAAGATCTATGAGAGAGGACGGACACATAAAGTTTAGTTATAGTTATTTAGCCTTAATGCATGTGTGATGTGCCAGGTGTGTGTAACTCATTCATGCACATGCCTAATTATAACACCTCCACACATAAAATATTTGGAACGAATAAAAAAGTAAGTAAGTTTAAACGATGTATTTATTTTAGTATATAAGCGAAATTAATCAATTTCTTAATGAGGTTGGAACCTGAAACTTCGAATATATATTTAAGTTTATGTTTTGATTCCTTCCCATATATATGTAGTAGAGCATTTAGCATGTGTGCATGTGTCTATTTTATTGAGCACATTGTGATGGTTTTTAGTTACAAAATTAATTACTTTTTTTAATTCCTTTTAAAAATTTCTTAACCAGACATATCTTCCATGCAGTGTCGACAAAATTATATCATCAGGGTACGTGTGCACTCTTAGTAGTATTATTGTTTTTTTAATTAGTTAATGAAATTTTGATTTATGTGTTCAACTTTGACAAGATAATAAACTTGGTCTTAGATAGCTGACGCGGAGCTCGGATTTGGAGTGGTCGTTTGAGCCAACGACTTTTTGGTACCAGCATGGTTGGTTTCAATCAGACAAGATTGAAAGAATCTTATTCGAGCATTCGGAAAATGGCGAGATATATATTAGAAAGGTTAGATTAAAATTTTCGGAATCTATCAACGTGAAACCGGTTTGTCGGAGAATTGAGCATTTTGGGAGATTTGTAGTGGGTTAGGTGGTTCGTTAGAGTTAAGGCCATGTTGAAAACCGGATTCTTTTGATATTGGATTATCTCAGTCGCTATCGTGACAAAGTCGTCGACCTTGAATCTGATGGTAATAATGTTCGGACTTTCTGATATTGGTAATCAACAAGTTCAGAGTTTCTGATTAGGTTTTCGACCTCTTTTTCAATTTAGACTGTTTCATTTTGTAAGGCCTAATGCCCAGCCCATTTTTTTTTTTTTCTAGCAATGCTCTGTAGTCTGTACGAACCGGGATTTGTATCTAAAGAAATTTTTCACGTCGATTCTGCTTGGGCCTGACGGGCTCTTACTCTTCCAATTTAGTTTCTTTTTTGGTCCAACCATATTAGTAGTTAAGTAGACTGGGCTCTTACAATATTCTTGATATTACTATTGATACTTTGGGTTAGTTCATGATGACCATGGATATTTTTCCAATTACGTCCATTGAGTTTTAGAAGAAAAGAGTATGATGAACGAATCCAAATATTATAATTGAGTATATTCACTTTTTGAATTTCCTTGATGTAGTGGCAATTGCTCGCAAGTTGGAACTTAATTTTTTCTCATACACTGTAGATTAACATATATATATATATGGACTCTGTTTTTCTTTTTTTCTTTTTTTTGGGTCTCCATATGGATTATGGTTAATACTATCAATCTAGTAGATTTGCTTTACATAAAGAAAAATTTTATTTTCTGTCAACAATTTCAATTTACCAAACTAAAGCGCAGAACGAAAAGAAAGCAACATATCCAAACAACGAAAGACATAAACACACGAATTGTTCAAAAAACGCATGCAGACTCAGATGAAGCAATTAAGTTTGGACAATCAAAGTAAAGAGAAATCAATGTCGACGTCTTCCATGTAGCCACCAAGCCATGGATCCGACCTAATCTCCCATGTTGGATCAAACGATTCCCATTGGATACTCTTGAGTTCTTCCATCGAAACCCCTAGATCCTCAAGGGTCACGTGTTCATAACCCTTATTCCTTGTAGTACTACTCTCACCGACAGTACTCTCGTGCTTGTTCTCCTTCATCGGTAATGATCTCTCATCCTCGTTCTTATTGTTCGCCTCGTGGAGATCAAAAGAAAAGTAATCCGCTATTGATGCAACACCATCGTCGCCCTTGGCCTGCGGTAACCCCTTGACAACGCAACTTAGTTCGTCGAATGGGTCGACGTTGTCCCTCCGAGACCCGAATCTCGGCTTCTTCTTCTTCGGCTTTAGGGTTACCATCTCATCGTCATCGATGATGATGATTGCATCAGTAGAAGGTTGTGATCCCGAGGAGTTGTATGTCAGAGAATCGAAGAAGCCGAGTTTATCGTTACTGGTGTTATTACGACGTTGCTTCGAGAACAAGGCGACTCCGTTAGGGAACTCGTTAGTCTCTTGTCTCTCTATCGCCATGTGTCGTTTCGTATCGATTATCAAAGAACCAAATATGAATTTAAGAGAGACAATATATCAGATTGAGAGTCGAGAGATTGTGAAGTTTAACTCTCTTGATTTAGTTTATATATAGAGAGACCAAAGCGACACGTCTCTCGCAAAAGGAAAAGGAAAACCTAAAAAAAAACTGGGAATTGTTTTCTCAGATAAGGAAAAAAAAAGAGGAAAGTTCTTCTACATCACTTCTGTTCAAACGTATAGCAAATATATAATCTTAAGACCAAACTAAACCCTACATTATTAAGAATCTTGAATAACTACTTCTATTTGTACCAATATAATTAACACAAATAGGTAGATTCTGAAAATAATAAGTACACTGTTTGTCATCTAACTACAAATTCATCATAGCTAAATCCTAATTTTGATTTAAATTTATTTCTTATCAAAAACTAAGATTCATAATTAACATTAATTGTATTAAAGTGGTTTCTATATTTTTAAATATACAAGTAAGGAAAAATTAATTAATCATGTATTTTGATAAAAAAAATAATTATATTAAAGTAGTTTCTATATTTTTAAATATATATATATATATATATTTTTATTTTCATATATCATGTTTTGTTTTCCTATATACCTAATTTTAAATATATAAATAATTAGTATTTAAAATTGTTAAAAATAATGAGATGGCTAATCGTAATTGTTCGTTTAAATGATAGCTTCATAAATTTATAGTTTATACTAATTTTATATAGTATAGGATAAATTTGTTTCCCATGAGATTGGCTTTATAAATCATAAAAAGGTTTGTTCAAAAAAAATAAAATAAAAATCCTATAAAGGTGAAACTTCCCCTGTGAATTCTTTTTTTTTTGGAATTGGAACAAAAATTTCGAATTTTTTTTGGAAACAATGAGGGAAAGAAAGAAGCAAGTTAACTGGTCGGAGCTTTGTCCGGATCTGCTGCGATGTGTCTTGGAACGTCTGAGTTTCACAGATCTTAATAGAGCTAAATCAGTTTGTTCGTCTTGGCACTCTGCTTCGAGAGGCTGCGTCCCTAAACGAAACCAGATTCCATGGCTGATTCTCTTCCCTTGCGACAACAACAACAACAACAACAATGGTAGTTGCGTGTTGTTCATTCCAGACGATAGAGAAAGAGTTTACAGAACGAGAGATCTCGGTGTTGACTTTGTGCGGAGTTGTTGTCTGGCCACTTATGGCAGCTGGCTCTTGATGATGGACCCTATGTGGAACCTCAACATTCTAAATCCCTTGACTGGTGAGAGGATTGATCTACCACTTTCAGAGCCTGTGGTGCCTGAAATTGCTAGACCAAGCTTGAAAACAGCAAGCAGCCTTGCATGTCTTTGGGTAGATGAGAAAAGCAAAGATTACCTAGTGGTGTGGTCGATGAGTCAGACGTTTATGGTCTATACAAAGAAAGGAAATAACACGTGGCGACGGATGATCACTAACATGGAATGGTCTAAATCGGATAAACACATGGTCTACAACCACAGAGCTCAAAAGCTCTACGTCTATCGTAACGCTGAAGCTGTTCGTATCTGGTCTTTCCGTGAAGATCATCCACAAAGAGTTTTTGAAGCCAAGTATTATTACGGAATTGGCATCAATTATAGTGATTTCCTCCCTCTTTGGACGCAAGAGAACATGTTAAAGTGGAGAGAAGAAGAGGATGCCTATTTACGAGAGTTTGTTGACGACGGCTGGGTCAACATTGCAACCACGGTATCGGGACAAGTTATCAAGGTATCTAGCGTAATGCAGCGATCCAAAAGATGGCTCTTTAGCATTTCCAAGCCGCAAGGTCGTACCAACCGGTGGGGTAGAACGAATTCCTTGGGCGATGAGGCACTAATCTTTGACATGGGTATCACTGTTGTGGCCAAAGACATCCCAGGGGTCATGAGAAACTCAATCTACTTCAGTGGGGTGGGTTATGGCAGAAAGAATCCAGATCATATATTTGTCTTCAATCTCACAACCAACAAGGTCGAACCTTTGCCTCCATGTGTTTTCTCATCCATTCCCTTCTCTGATGCTCGATGGTTCTTCCCGGGTTTAAGTGATTGATAAGTCTTTAGAGTTAGTTTCTTCTTTTTTTTTTGCTTCCATTTTGGTTTTACAATTGTTAGTGTAACTTGCTCATGAGGGAGAAGAATATTTCTGACTTATATAAACAATATAGCTGAAACAGAGTCTTCTTGTGTTTTTCTGAATCATTACACCATGATTTACTTTTGCAACAAGCTATTGAAGAGCTTTGTTTTTTACTTTTCTAATAAAAATGGTTCCACACTCTTTTAATTTTGTAACTGTATTATTAGTAAACAATCTATACCAACCACATCAGGGACCTAACTCAAGGACACACTCTCTTGAGATTTTGCTACTCTCTTACATGACTGCACAGCCGCATTTATTCATCTTCGGGTCACCTTTAGGCTTATTTTCTGTTTCAAACATAGTAAAAAACAGACAACAACCGCATGTGGAATGATGTTTGTAAGCCAAAACAGGAAGGAGGCTTCGATAATGGAAGTTAATAAAGTTTGCTGTTTCAAACTAATTTGGCGTATTGTTTCAGCAAAACAATCTCTGTGGGTGAATTGGATTCAACGTCAATTGATCTGCTCGGGTTCTTTTTGGCCTGTTCAAGAAAATTCATCTAGTCGAAATTAATCAATTTGTTAAAGAGGTTGGAACTTGACACTTTGAATATATATATTTAGGTTTATGTTTTGATTCCTTCCCATATATATGTAGTAGAGCATTTAGCATGTGTGCATGTGTCTATTTTATTGAGCACATGTGATGGTTTTTAGCTTCAAAATTGATTACTTTTTAAATTCCTTTATAATATTATTAATCAGACATATACTCCATGCAGTGTCGACAAGATTATAGCATCAGGGTACGTCCAATCTTAGTTTTTTTTTTTTTTTTTTTTTTTTTTTTTTTTTTTCATTTTTGTTTGTTCAACTTTTACTTATGTGTACAACTTTCATAAGATAATAAACCAAATCGATAGCAATACTCTGTAGTTTGTACCAACCGGGATATGTATGTAAAGATATCATCACGTCGTTGCTGCTTGAGCCTGATGGGCTTTTCCTCTTTCAATTTCGTTTTTTTTTTTTGTTCAACCATATTAGTAATTTAGTAGACTGGGCTTTAACAATAATCTTCATTTTACTATTGTTACATTGCTTTAATTAATGATGAACATATAGATATCTTTCCAATTACGATTGAGTTGTATACAATCTTAGAAGAAAAAAGTTTGATGAACGAATCCAAATACTAGAACTGAGCATATTCTCTTCTGCAAATCCATGACGCATGTAGTGGCAATTTAGAATTGATCGCAAGTTGAAACTTAATGATATCAATCTATAGTAGATATTTGCTTTACATAAAATAATTGTCGAGAAAGATTAAAAAAAGCGCCGAATGAAGAAAGTACCATATCCGAACAAGGAAATAAACACACGAACTGTTCAAAAAACACATGCAGGCTAAGAAGAAGCAATTAAGTTTGGACAATCAAAGTAAAGAGAAATCAATGTCGACGTCTTCCATGTAGCCACCAAGCCATGGATCCGACCTAATCTCCCATGTTGGATCATACGATTCCCATTGGATATTCTTGAGTTCTTCCATCGAAACCCCTAGATCCTCGAGGGTCACGTGTTCATAACCCTTATTCCTTGTACTACTACTCTCACCGACAGTACTCTCGTGCTTGTTCTCCTTCATCGGTAATGATCTCTCATCCTCGTTCTTATTGTTCGCCTCGTGGAGATCAAAAGAAAAGTAATCCGCTATTGATGCAACACCATCGTCGCCCTTGGCCTGCGGTAACCCCTTGACAACGCAACTTAGTTCGTCGAATGGGTCGACGTTGTCCCTCCGAGACCCGAATCTCGGCTTTTTCTTCATCGGCTCTAGGGTTACCATCTCATCTTCATCGATGATGATGATTGCATCAGTAGAAGGTTGTGATCCCGAGGAGTTGTATGTCAGAGAATCGAAGAAGCCGAGTTTATCGTTGCTGGTGTTATTACGACGTTGCTTCGAGAACAAGGCGACTCCGTTAGGGAACTCGTTAGTCTCTTGTCTCTCTATCGCCATGTGTCGTTTCGTATCGATTATCAAAGAACCAAATATGAATTTAGGAGAGACAATATCTGATTGAGAGTCGAGAGATTGTGAAGTTTATCTCTCTTAATTTAGTTTATATAGAGAGAGACCAAAGCGACACGTCTCTCGCAAAAGGAAAAGGAAAACCTAAAAAAAAAGTGGGCATTGTTTTCTCAGATAAGGAAAAAAAAAAAAGGAAAGTTCTTCAATAATCTTGAGACAAAACTATAGCCTAAACCCTAAATCTTTCATAACCACATCTGTTTGGACCAATATAATTAACACAAATAATGTAGGTAGATTCTGAAAAGAATAAGTAATTTTTTTTTTTTTTCTTTGTCATCTCCTACATTATCATTGATTCGTCATCAATACGTAAAGCCTAATTTTTGATTTGAAATTATTTTGTATCACAAACTGTGATTTTTTTTTTTTTTTTTTTTTGATCAAACACAAACTGTGATTCATAAGTAAAATTATTAATCGTAAGGAAAATGTATTTTAAAGGCTATATTATGCATTTTTTGACATGGCATATGTTATTTTTTAAAATGTTAATTTTAGTTTAGACTAGTAAAAACTTGGTAGGAGTTGACAAGTGACTCCATTGTATAATCTAAAAAAGTAGATCAAAATTTTACAATTCAGTACACAGTATGAAGACAGAATCAAAACAGCTACCACGTACGAAAGGTGCGAGGTTTTGGTTGAGCTTTGGGGTAGTCTGGTCTTGGTTTACCTCTGGAGATATCTGATCTGCTTTTAGCTTCTTCTACGAATATAACCTTTCCATCCAAAAACTGTATAAACACCAAATCAGAATTTGCTACTAACCAATATCTTGTTATCAATCACCAGTAAAACGATTTGAAGTATGAAGACAAGGCTGTGATGTTGAGCTGCATACCTTTCCGTGCATCCCTTCAATAGCTTTCATAGCCTCCTCCTCTGTGTCATACCGTAGGAAGGCAAAACCTTTTGGTCTATTAGCTACCTTATCCATCACCAAGTTCACTACACGAGGGGACACAAGCAAGAACATGAGTTACACACTTGTAGAATTTGGACAGAAGTAGAACAAAAGTGAGCTTTTATGCCGCTTACTGTGTACAAGCTTGCCAAACTGTTCAAATGTATCCCGTAAGGTATCTTCAGTTGTGCGGAATGAAAGCCCTGTGCAAAAAACATCAAAATCAAGTTCGTATTGTTTCGAGTTCAAGTCTCATGTGGTGAAAGCAGAGAGGTGGAAAGTGGATAAAACCATAAAAGAGAGGTGAAAAGTGGATGAAACCATAAAAAAGCATTAACACTGTCTAAAGCTCTAATTAACCACGATTCAGCTATAATACTGAGTGATACCACAAGGGTCCACAAACGAATGAAAACAAACACAATTAACACAGTAAAGATATCAATCTCCCCAGATGATCAGAAGTTCAAAACTTCACACCCATTTATTCTACTTCCACACCAACCAAAATCATTCCCTGTCTTTACAACAAATCTGACAATGTCTTAGGTTGAAACACTGTAAACATATAACAAGTAACTCTAATAGTCTCCAATTTCAGAAGGAACCAAACAGAGACATTTCCTCAAGGAGTCAGGCTATATCACAACAAACTGAAAGGTTCTACACCCTGCAAAAGTTTGTCATTCCTTTCACTCTTCATTTTTAAACACCCAACAAAGGATTTTAACATGTAACATTGTTAACTATATAATTGGTGACAAGCAAGCGCCACAAATGTCATCGCTCTTAAGGTTTTGGAGATATTCTAACTTCTAAGTTTATCAAAGAAAATGACAGGGTTGCTCTCAATGTCTGTATCCTCAGTGAACAGCTGCAGGATTTAATTGCATACTACTTAAAAGAAACACTAAAAGAATCACAGAGTATATAACAAGAAAAATTCCATAACATAAACATCTTTCACGAATTGGGGTGATGAGCAGATGAAGAAACTGAAAACATAAACTTACTTACCACTAACAAAGAGTTTCGTCTTTGGCACAGAGGAAGACGATGGCGAAGAAGAAGAAGAATCCGAAGAGATACAGCTAGAAATCATTAACCCGCCCATATCACGGCGTCGGCGAGCCGAAATTACGCCGGATTCGACATTGATTCGTCCGCAAGAGGCGCTACAGACGGCCGGAAAGTTAGATCTGAAGAGGCGATCTCCGGAACACGACGGAACGACAACTATCCCTAAGCTCACTGCCATTGTCATCTTCTCCTTATTCGCCGGACCCTATCCCCTCAACTTACTACACAAAACTTTGATTTATCCCCTATATAGTAAAAGAGTAGTACACTTTTCTTTCAAAAAAAAAGTAGAGTAAAATTACAAAACAACCAAACTCCTAACCTTCAACCTTCATTGTCATTAAGGATAAACATGTAAATAAATCAATTCGGATCGGGTCAATTTTGCAATTGTAACCCAAAATTGCCAATTGGATATTTCCAATGTCATGCTATTTTTCCGGCTAATAAATGCCGATCCAATTGGATATCCATTTCGATATTGCAAGGAAACTAACGATTACTCCATTCAAATTTTTACTATTTTGGAAGTTATACAATACCAAATAACCCACGAATATCGTGATTAGTTCGTTTGCCATATTATCTACTTCCACATATAGCAACAAATTAAATAACTTCCAAGAGAAAACTTGGTAGACAAAGATCTTATCGAATATGCCTTATTATTCTCTAGGTTTTTAAGCTAAATGATGTGTATATAAGAGACAAACGAATCGTAGTATAAACATACCTTCAAACAGTTCTTCTTACTCCGATAGCGATTGCTTTTAATTCCAAATTGCAATCATTCCTGCATTCATAGATTTATCATCTAGCAAACCATTCAAAACCAGCTGGAGACCCCAAGTGAAGATCATTCATTCTTGGAAACAATACAATCAATATGCTGGAGAGACTTTAGAAATGATTTTAGCTGACCCAACTGTAAAAACAGTGTAATATTCTTCGTCTAAAGACCCGATCATCTAGAAGCATAGGAAACTGACCTCTTTCATGTTTCCGGGTGCAAAGTCAAGTTGTGAAGCTGTAATTTGTTTTGATGTTAGTTAACATATCCATGAAATCACCTAGGTTGGAAGTCAACTTCACATAATTAATAATTAAACTCATCCAAAAATCAAATTTCATATTGTATAATGAATCTTTAAAAACTAACGAAATTAGAACTAAATTTCAATATAAATCATATAGACATTGGTTACTCTATTCTGGGCATCAAGATCCTGGAATAAAACCAAATTCAATAAACCTTTGAGGTTAGCCGTTGTATAAAATCAAACCGGTTTTCCTTAAATCTATTGTCGTTAACAAAGATAACAAACAATTACTATATACAAAACAATACTTTTTTTGAATCTACAAAATTACATGTTTCCTTTAACTTTTATTCCCCGTTCTGAGAATGTTCTAGCAGATGCCTTAGCAAAGGCTGCTGTCCTCTCTGGTACCAACCCTCTGTTTTTCTTTCTTCGGTCTATAAATTGATAGTTGGTCCCAAAAAAAAATCTACACAATTACGAAAATACAGACGATGGAATCAAGTAGGAATCTAAATACTTGGTAAAAATATTTAAGCCCTATAACGACAAATGTTAAAGTGGAATAGCATATCATAAATTGGATATTAGAAAAACTTACCCTTTCAATTGGCTCTTAAATTGGATGAAGAATGAGCTACAGCCCAATTCTCATTTTCTGAATTTAAATCAACACCACGAAAATGAATCTACGGAGACCACCTCACGAACTCAACTTATTTAACCCTCCGAATAGATTTTTGTATACAAAACGATTGATTCGAATAATCATGTAAACGAATTTGGAGATAACGAAATCACAAAAGTAAGTGTTTTGAAGAAAATCGGTTCTGCATAAAGATAAAGGAAACGAAAGTGATGAACCATACGTTTTCTGTAAATGTCCATTTGTATGTCTCTTTGATTAGATTTTAATTTTGCACATGTGTTGTAAATAATGAAATAAAAAATGGGCTCTTTAGTTGGAGGCCCGTTTATATTAGTTTTTGTAAAATGGTGGACTTCAAGTAAACAATACCACGAGGCCCATTAACTATGTATAAATTCATAAAAATAGTAAAAACATTTATTTACTAACCTACAAAAATTAATAACCACAGTTACTACTACACAATCAAAGAAAAACATTATCAATTTTAACATTTCTCCACACAAAAAAAAAGAAGGAAAGATAGCCAAACATAAAAATGTAATGTGGGAATTCTATTAAATACCATTAAAATGGGAATTTTTTCAAATATACCATTATGAAGTTTATTTTCCAAAAATACCACTAAATTACAATTTTTCCAAACATACCACAAAATTAAAACTTAAATTTTTAAGTTAAACTTAAATTTTTCAAAATTAATTCTAAATCCTAAACACTAAAATCTACCCCTAAAAACTATACCCTAAATGTAGTCAACCCAAACATTAAAAAAAAAAAATTCTACATCTACAAAATTCAATTTTTATGTTTATGGTACTTTTAGAAAATTAAATTTTTGTGGTATGTTTGGAAGAAAAAAATTGTGGTATTTTGGGAACAAAAACTTAAAAATGCTATCCAAGAGAATTTCTCAATGTAATATTACAATTTGGTTTCATGTATACTAATATTTAATAATTATTATAAAATATAGTAAAAAAACCAATCAAAATTTAAATTATATTACTAATGACCATAAAATATTTAAGCCCCACTCCCAATTGAGACTATTAAACTAGTAATGCTTCTCTATCATGAAAATTACAAAAGGCAGATCTCTAGGAAATAGGAATAGAGACCTCTAGGAGTAAAGGTCAAAATTTAAACTATATTTATCAACGAAAACAAAATATTAAGCTCCATTCCCAACTGAAACTCTTGAACCAATAATGCTTATTTATCATGAAAATTATCAATACAACCGGCAATACCCGCCATCATAAAAATGTTTGCGTTTTACACAAAATAAGGTTCACATTTTTCCTCCGCGCTGTAGCGCGAGTCCGACTCTAATTGAGGGTAATTTTGGTACTTCACATATAAGTTTGATATCCTTTTTTCTCAAGTCTTAAAACAACAAAAGAAACAAAAACTTAAAACTGAGTCAGAGTCGATTTAACAACTAGAAGACTGATCCATTATATATATAATTATATATGTACAAATTAAAGCCAAAGATTCGAACAATTAGTGATTTTATTGAATTAGTCTATACCTAATATGTATATCAACAACAAATGAATGAATCAAATCAGAAGACTAAACTTGAGTTTGCTCTACTTCAATTATATATGCATCAGTTGAATGTTTCTACATTATCTTTGTTCTACATTATCCTTAGTGAGTCTGACATTTCCGGTCAATGAATGCTTCCAAAGCTTCCCTCATCCACGAGTTCTCACACAACTCGACCGCTTCAGACAAAGAAACCCATCTGCGCTGTCTGATTTCAGCTTCAGGCCATTGCTCAAACTGCTGGCTAACGAGCAGTGGGAACATGTAACCGTCGTGAACCATGCTATGTCTTTTGCTTTTGTATTGCCATTTCCCAAGTGATTCTTCAAGCTGACCCGTAACACCAGCTTCTTCAATGGTCTCTCTCAAAGCAGCTTCTTCGATTGATTCATCAACCTCCCAACCTCCTTTAGGTAATAACATCCCTTTCCCTTTCTTCTGTGCGCTTATCAAAAGCACTTCAATCTCTCCACCACCACACCCATGATTCTTGTATCTGTAAGGTACACATCTGCTCAAAAGATAAATTTTCGAATAAATTATTTAAGATTCCAATTAAAAAAAAAAATCATTTTCCCCCAAATTAGGAAAAAAAAATTAGGGTTTGAGAAATTGAACATACCCGACGACTTGACGATGACCAGAGCTATTGTAACGTTGCAGATCTCGTCCGGTCCGAGAGACTAGAGATACAACTTTCTCAATCGGTGTCGGTACGATCTTCTTGGAAGGGATGTTATCAAACGTCGGAGATAAGTGCGATGTAACGTTTGAAAAGTTTGATATGAATAAAGACACATAGAATCCTGTCATTTTTAAAAAAAATTTGTTGATGATGTTGTTTTCTTCTTGCTCCGCCGCAATTTTTCCGATTCGAAGCAAAGATCGATTTGATTGGAGTGTATGGATAAAAAAGGAGGAGGAAGATGATAAGAGATGTTTATGAAGAGGATTGGGTTTCTGGGAAAGCTTCTTTATATATATAGTAAATGTTCCACGCGCTTCAGATATTTTAACGCGCTTTAATTAGTTCGGGTTAAATGAATTTGAGATTCGGATTTTTTTCATTTGATTCGGTTATTAACTCTTGTTTTCGGTTAATATCGTTTTTGAGATGATGAGTTCACGTGACAACTCTTCAAAACTCTTTACTAACAAAATTCAGATTAGAACGAAGAGGGTTATAACCTCATCATACTAATCTCCAATTGTACACTAAACTGATTCATTATTTTGAGCAAATAAAATTAAATATAAAAAAGAAACGAAAGTCCAAATTCCAAAGAACGCGGGATAAGAAGAAGAGAGTTGGGAGCAGACGCGCGTGGAGAAGCAAAGCAAGTGGGAAGTGACTCGTTTGTCTGATTCTTCTATATTCCCATTTTCCCACACAACATGGACACGTGGTGGTTCCAACACGGTATTTACGGAGTTTATATTTTTTTAGCTATGACTTTTAAAAGGAACTTGAGCTTATAATATCATAAACTGGTCTATCAAAATTATTTAGGTGTAAATAATATTTTATTTAGTACCAATATATATATTCTCGAATAAACAATTTTTTGACTTTATTTGAATCTATACATAGATCTGAAAACTTAAGAATTTTCTTTTCAGTGCTTATCAAAACATTTTGAAAAATTTCTCAACAATCAACAATTTTTTTAATGAAACAAAAGGTTTAAGAAAGTTATAGTTTTCAATGGGTATCCGATTTAAGATTTATAGTATGTGTTATTCATATCTTTTATAACCGGATATCCTAAAACATATTCCAAACTATTTATCAAAGTCTAACCGGAAATTTCATTTTCTAAACCCTAGAAAACCAGATTAAAAGCATTTCCATCACTGAGAAACTGCCGTGTGCTTCTCATTTCCTTAGGCCACCAGGTCATTCAAAAGAAACATAACTAAAAACACATTTCTGAGAATTACAAAAGAGAAAAAAATAAATCAAAAGAAGATCATCCCAAGAACAGCAGATACAAAGCTATTTCCCAAAACACTGATGCCAAGTGCTGCTGCATTTCTCTTGGTGCTTCCTGTTTCAACAAGAGGTTCACATCACTTCATCACTTTATCAAACTCAAACAAATATATATACATAATCCACTCAATTCATATCTTTTAATTTCAAACTGAAGTAGTACCAACTCCAAATTGTATAATTTACATTATTTTCGTCATTATATGTATCCAAAATTTAATTATGAAATGTTAAAAAATAGCACATAATCCAAAATATAATTTTTGATTAGAAAGCAACATTAAACCAAAAAAAAAAAAAGAGAAAGTAAATGCATGCATACCGTTGCTCGCAGCTTCCGGCAACGCAGATGGCGAAGAAGCTACGTACGTTAAGAAAACAAAACATAAAATATCAGAAGAGCGAGCGCAGTTAATACAACAATCACATATTCATAATACACAAAGCTAGCTAGGGGTTTTTTATATTAAAAAAAAATAATAATAATAATAACTCACGATTGGTGGTGCAGAGTGACAAATCATAAGGAACACCACATGAACTAAGGAGATTAAGAGCGGACTCTTTGGTGAGAGCAATGAATCTGAGCATTTCCGGATGGTTGAAAGCGGCGCATAGACACGTCGAGTTGTTCTCGGCTATCTCTTTCATCGGAGTGCAACACCACGGCGGCGGAGGAATCGACAAGTGGATGTACGGTCCACACGGCAACAGTTTTGTCACGCATCGCATTGCCTCTTGAGCTTCTTCGATGATTTGCGCTGTTACTTGAACGGAGAAGAGTGTGATGACGATGGTGACTACTACGCCGAAGATTCTTGTAATACCCATTTTCTTTTTTTGTTATATATATGAAGTTCTGTTTTGAGAACTTCTTTTCAGATAACAATAAAAAAAATTGTTTTAATTTGCTGAGTAATACTACTATCTTATATACAGAGAGAAATGGTGATATTTTTTTCCAAGGGGGTCAAACATGACGGTGAGTTTTGTATCCCAAGTTAGTATAATTTTAAAATTACCTGATTTGTTATGGTAATAATAACTGGCGTAGACTACTAAATAAAAATTTATGAATATGGATATCTGCAAATTGACATAATATCGTCTTGTGCATGAAAACAAGTATTTCATTCCTTATATTCTTGTTATTTAGTATCCAATGGAGAAGAAACAAAATATCAGGTTTTTAAATATACCAGCATTTAGTAGTATATACAATTTGTGGTAAATATATGTATTCAAAAGTAGCATTTTAAGATATTTGAGTTTTATTGAGATTTTGATGATTTTAGGGAAATTTATATGATTTATTGTAAAATCTTTTTAAATCCCACCTAAAACTATGAGATTTTGATTCTTGTATTTTTAACTAAGAAAGTTATCTGAAATCCTCTCAAATCATTTAAAATCAAATCCACAAACTGTTTTCTCAAATCATTTAAAATCAAATCCACGAACTGTTTTCAATAACAGTGGATTTTAAATTGATTAGTTCAATAACACTGGATTTCATGAAACTTTTTAAAATTCATGATTGAATAACAAAGGATTTGTAAACTTTTTACAGATCACTTGAAATTCCACTTTGAATACACCCCCTTAATTCTAGTTGTAACGATAAGCCATCATTTTGAGAAACCATGATTAACACATTTATTTCCTTCATTTTAAATAAAAAGTGTCGTTTTATAATATATTTATTCTTTTAGAATAAGTGTTTATTTACATTTTAATGCAGATTTAAAATTGATTTGTTTAAAAAAATATGTGTGGTAAAACCTTAAAAGGCACTTGACTGAAAACTGAGAGAATATCAATTTACTTACTGATCAAAAATGAGAAGTAAATTGTTTGCTTATATTTTTACTATTATTTCGTATGATTAGCTTTATCAGAATTAATTTAACCTTTTTAATGTTTTTATGATATAAAACTTTACAAAATGTTTGAAATACATAAAATGAAATTACTATCTAAAAGAAAAATTACACTAGTTGATTATTTGTTACTTCACTTTTTGCAATCGAATGTCTCAAACACCAGTGGTTGATGATGGTCATGTGGTGGACTCTTGACCACTTTAGCGCGATATCGTCTTTGAAATATCAATGTTGGTGATTTCATTTAGGATTGGCTGAAACTTATGTTCTTTCTAAACGAAAAATCATATCAAGACTGACAATATAAAATATGAAAAGTATATAAAAGATCAAACCAAGAGTGCTTAAACAAATAGTGATGACAGAAATATAAATAAACATACATTGTAAATTACAAATAAAATACATGGCATAATTAAAAGAAGATCATCGCCACAAAAGCAGAGAGAAAGCTAAATCTATTGAAGCTGATAGAAGAAGCGGCGGAGGTTCCTGTCAATGATAAGGCCACATCAATTAGCTTGATACAAAATCATTAGAGTTCGTGTATTTTTATGAAATTTTTTAAAAAAATTTCTTCAAAATAAAATGTAAAATCAAATTAAAAATTAAAAATATGAATTAGTACATAGTACATACCGTTGGTTGATCCCGGCGACGCATTAGGCGGAGAAGCTTCATAAACAAGAAAGAAACATATCATTTACGTTCCAAAGATGTTAAAATATAATTAACACAATAAGTTATATTGATCAAACAATCACACTACTCACAAGCGATTTTGGCGCAGAGTGAAACGTCAGGATTGGTTCCACAGGCCTTGGGCAGATCGAGAGCGTTCTCTTTGGTGAGGTTTAGGGCTTTGAGCATCTCCGGGTTGTTAAAAACAGTGCATAAACATGGTGCGTCTGTTTCTACCATCTCTTTCATCGGCCCACAACACGACAGTGGAGGATTCGGATTCACCGTGTGTATGTAAGGCTGACACGGCAACAGTTTCTGCACGCAAGCCATCGCCTGAGGGTTTCCTCCTTGTGCCTTTGCCTGGACGGAGTAAAGGACGACGGCGGCTACGACCACAGCTAGAATTTTGCTAATCTCCATTGTTCGTTTTGTGATTTGTCTTTGAGTGTTCTTTTTTTCTTTTTCTTTCGCCTTCGATGAGTACATATATGCGTCTTGTTCTTATAAGTAGAGAATTACATTGTTCGGTTTGTGATTTGTCTTTAAATGTTTTGTGTTTCGTAGTTAATTATGAAGGTGAGATTTGTTTATGAATTTAATGGATATTATTACCTGATTTGTCTGATTTGATTTTATATAAAACAAAGTGCATAGACTATATACTATTTAAACAAAACAATCCATGCTGATGCCGATGAAATAACAAATTGTATAAGACCAATTGAATGATAGTAGATTTTATAATATGTTTGAACCAAAAAAAAAGTAGATTTTATATTAATTTTAGATATTGTTTTTTTCAATTTCTCCAATATAAGTTTTCAGAATAAATAGATTATCTAAAAATTAGGAAAATATTTTTTAGTTTTTTCTTATTTAAATTAAAGGTAACACATTAACACTTGTCATCTATTTCTCTGTTTTGTAATTAAAAAGACAAACAAAAGTTAAAATCAACATTCAATATAAAATTTCTGAAAACTATAATCTATATAAAAAAAAAAAAAACTAAAAACCAAAAACTATTTAAAAACCTGCAACCATGTCACTGATACTAATGGTCATGATTACGTGGAGGATGAATATTGGATAAACGATAATAATCTGGCGTGGCATAATAAGAGCAGCTCCATTCAGTATTTACCCCATATGAAATTTAGATAACACTATAATGGTTGCATATATGGAGTAGAAAATACAAAATGATAGTTTAAGGATTATCTCGACTTTGGTCAAATGTGGCGTTATTAACTTGGTAAGTGCCGAGCTCAAAGTCGTTATATGTATAATATTAAGTCGTTATATGTATAATATTGAGTCTCACGAAATCTGTCGAAACATATTCACCCTGTTTCCTATCCATCGGTTTGACTAATTGATTGTTTCTTTCATTCTTGTCAAATCGATCAAATCAATGAAACTGGAAAAGCAGAGCAACAAAGAAACTAGAGGAAGGTACTAGGTAGAATGAGAGTATCATGTTACAGGATCGTAGTCTTGTTGTCTCTGCTCAATTTCTCGTTGGCGCAATACTTGGTCCTCAATTTCTCCGATGACATCTTTCTGAGTGGCTTCGATAATAACAGCACCAACGCATACTCTGACTCTGACGGTGACGGGTTCGGGCAATCGGAATCAACATCCGACCATGAACATGATCCTGGCTCTTGGCGCCCAATCTTTGAGCTGGACGACTCTTCTACCGTTGACCTCACGTTGACGCGATACTACTCTGGCCTCCAAAAGATTATCTCGGCGGCTAGCGAAGGAAACACTAGGTTTATGGAGGAGGGAGTTACCGAGCTAGAAGTGTTTGCATCAGCGGGAGATCTGCACGCAAAATCTGTGATGGGGTTTGTGTATGGGATTGGGATGATACGGGAGAAGAGTGAAGCCAAGTCGTTTCTGCAACATCAGTTAGCGGCAGAGGGAGGGAATATGCAATCGAAGATGGCACTTGCATACAGATATATAAGGCTAGATGTAAAGCAAGCTTAACTGGGTCACTGGGACTCGTCAAAATTTGTTTGTTGATAAAATGTTCTTTCTGGCTAATAAGTGTGTGTTTTTTTGGATTCTTTTGACAGATGCATGATAAAGCTGCACAGTTATATAGTGAACTAGCAGAGACAGCATTCAATAGCTTTCTGTTCTGTAAGGATTACACCACGTTTGTACCAATTAGAATTCATAGAGGACCAGTTCAAGATACCGGTATGCTAAGGAAATTCCACGGGGAAGATAGTGAAGATTTCAAGATAATAGAATCCTATGCACAGATTGGTTACCCTTCAGCAATGAACAAAACTGGTTTATTCTACTACTTTGGTCTGAGAGGATTAAGACGTGATCATGCCAAGGGTATACTCTGGTTTTCGAAGGCATTAGAGAACGGAGAGCTGAATTCAATGGTAATCATGGGTGATATATACTCCCGAGGAGCTGGTGTTGAGAGAAATTATGCCAAGGCGTTTCAATGTCTCACACTTGCTGCAGAACAAGGTCTCTCTATTCAGCATTTAATGGCCTCGGCTACTTGTATCTCAAAGGCTATGGAGTAGACAAAAACTATACTAAGGTCAGTAATATAATAAAGCAGAGGTGTTTCTTTCATTTTCGTTCCTTCAACAATAATATATCTTCAATTGTAGGCAAGAGAATTTTTTGAGAAGGTTGCTGATACTGAAGACCTAAGTGGGATTTATTACCTTGGAATGATGTATCTTAGAGGCATTGGAGTCAAAAGAGATGTAAAGCAGGCGACCAGATACTTCCTCGTGGCTGCAAATGGTGGACTACCAAAGGCTATTTATCAAATGGCCAAGATGTTACATGTTGCCGCCAGGATCAACAAGAACCTGAAGATGCTGAAATTGGTAATTAATATTCGTGACATGAATGCTAAATGCAATAAACGTTATATCCATATGCTTTAAGTGTTTATGAAATTCTTAAAAAAATAGCAATACTTCAATCTCTGGCTCACTGTTGCAAGTTCTCCCATTTTCTTAATTTGAGGTAGTAGTTAAAAGGGTTTAGGGGTGTACGTAATACACTTGTCTGTACTAATAGATAGCAGTGTCTCTGCTATTTGATTTTCACTCTTGTCTTGCTTAAATATGTAAATAAGCATTTTTTTGAGGAATTATTTACTTTGATCGTTTATTCACTTTACTAGCATTTTGATTGCAGGCTGCGGCTCTTTACAAGACAGTAGCGGAAAGTGGACCATGGAGTTCTATGTCTAGATGGGCTCTTGGAGCTTACGTTAAAGGTGATGTGGGAAAGGCTTTTATATTGTACTCAAGAATGTCAGAGCTCGGTTACGAAGTAGCACAGAGCAACGCTGCATGGATCCTCGATAGATACGGTGAAAAGAGCATGTGCATGGGAGTTTCTGGATTTTGTACGGATAAGGAGAGGCAGGAGCGGGCTCATGCTTTGTGGTTGCGTGCCTCTAAACAAGGAAACGACTATGCTGCTCAGCTTGTGGGCGAGCTCTTCGTGGATCCTGACGTTGCACAGCCTCTCATTATCTCTGATGCTTTCCCCAACTGATCTAGATTTGTTTATATGTACAGGTCGATTAATACTTAAGTTCTTTATTTGTGACACAGGTTGGTTTCTACTTGTTTTATATGTATAAATTGGTTTGTACTTTCTCTCTAACTCACGTTTGATTTTGATATATATATTATCTTTACTCAAAATGAAATTTCCCATATGAGAATCGAAGTAGTTACGTGCGGTGTACATATATTTCTATAGACAACAATGGTCCAAGCCGTTACTAGTAGACTTTGATGTCAAACAAAAAAACGTGGTTTGCAGGAAATGGTCCCTATGTTTATGACTTGCATGTATTTTAATTTCTTCTTTATTAAACTGAATCAAAGAATAATAATACGAATTCCACCAACTTCCTTTTAAGCGGTACTCACGTTCAGCCAAAAACTAATAATGTGATCCCCACCAAAAAAAAAAAAACTAATAATGTGATAATAAGTTAATAACAACAAAATAAATATGCATATTTTAAACTCCAATGAAAATTTCGCTCCTTATAATAATCAATAGCATTATTCGAAGTTAGTAGCTACATTTCAATTTCATTTTGTTAGAATCAATTAATCGTCGTCTCGTCGGAGAAAGATGTCGTTGATGGATAATCTATTAGGTATCCTCCGCGTTCGAGTAAAACGCGGTGTCAACCTCGCTGTACGTGATGTCTCTAGTAGCGATCCTTACGTCGTCCTCAAGCTAGGTCGCCAGGTTCTGATCTCTCTATCTCTCTGTCTCTCTCGATTTTTCACGAACTCAGAATGCAAAAAAAAAAAACCTTTTTGTGTGCAGAAACTCAAAACTAGAGTGGTAAAGAAAAACATAAACCCACAATGGGAAGAAGATTTAACATTCACAGTCACCGACCCTAATCACCCGCTCACTCTGGTATAGAAATTTAAGTATATAACTCTTCAGTTTCGAAACCGGTCCGGTCCTAGAATTATAATATCGTCTTTGGTTTGAAAACAGATTGTGTACGACCACGACCTATTCAGCAAAGACGACAAAATGGGAGACGCAGCGATCGATTTGAAACCGTACATAGAAGCCTTACGAATGGAGCTGTCCGGTTTACCAGAAGGAACCATCATAACAACGATCGGTCCGAACCGCGGAAACTGCTTAGCTGAAGAAAGCTACATCCGTTGGATCAACAATAGAATCGTTCAGAACATTTGTCTCCGACTACGTAACGTCGAGCGTGGTGAAGTCGAGATCGAACTCCAATGGATTGATCTCCCCGGTTCTAAAGGCTTGTAAACCAAAAAAAATTATATACAACTGTATTTGATGTTACCTTATTGGGCTTATTACTCCTAAATGGGGCTAAGCCCATTATATATATTATAAAGCCGATCAACACGAGAGTCCGGTTTGGTTCGGTCTGAAGTCTGATGATTTTATTTTATTCACAAAATAAACAAACATATGTGTGTGAACTGTGAAACCATTGGGGCTTGCGTCTCTGCACAAGACGGCACGAATTTTAGTGATTGATGTTTAGTTCAAAGGAATCATCAAGTTATCGAAAGGACAAGATTTTGATATTTTTACGTTCGTATATTCTCTCTTTTGAATTTTCTTTTGTTTTTTTCCTTTTAGCGAAGTGAAGAGAAAAGAAGTTTAATAAAGATAACTTTTTTTGCAGCAATAGCCAGCTTTTGAGGAACACATTTTTTTTTTTTTTGAAACTGAGTAAGAAAAAAGTTGGTAATTTTTCAGGATACTTTATGATATTCTCTGTTCTATTTTCTTATATATTCTTTTATAGGTTCAGCCTTTTAGAGAACCCAAAACCGTGCAAAAGAAAGAAGATTAATTCATATAAGAAAAAATAAAAAGGTTTTGTGAAAGCATCTCTATTTGTGCTTTTTTTATTCAGTGATTCATAGCCGTAGATCGGTATTTGGTCTGATGTTTTTCTTTTGGTCGGGTAAAACTTTATATATTGTAAAGCAGACCCCTTTATTCTTGATTTATATCATAAAAACCCCGATAGTTTTGTTGTACGATCTTGATTTGCCCAAGAAGACTAATGAGGAAAAAATAATCCAGTGAAGGCTGACTAGAGTGCCACGCCTCTACTTGGAATGTTTATTTTGTTACCCTCAGGCTCATCATCATTAACCTCTCCTACGCATGCCCTCCTGAATCCTGATCCTCACTCTCTACTCTTTTTTACTTTTATATATTTTTGTTGTTCAATTCACGTTTATACCTATTTGTTAATTACTTTCACTTTAACATAGTAACAAAATACAACTATATAAAGTATAAATACTAATAATCAAGGAATAAATAAAGATGAATATATATACTCACTAAGGTTGAGTATACGGAATAAGCCAAATCAATCTCATAAATCCAATCAAATTCTTTTGTAAATTTAGATATATGACAAGTCATTTATTTGCACAATAATATCTTAGATCAGTCAAAACTATTTACCGAAACAAATTTTATCACTTATGTGATATGTTTTAAATAACTCGTATGTAATATGTTTTAAATAACTCGGTATGATGATAATTGTATGAGAATAGCTCACTTTTGCGGATATTTTCAAAATCAAAATTGTATGTGGTCAAATTTTGTATGTGTGTCTTTGATATTTTCTTCATAAAAAGCTAAAAGAAAAAAATATTTCAAATCAAATAGGAATCTTAAGTGTAGTCATCATCCGTTCATTAGTGGAGAAGTATTTGATTAGGCCACAAATTAGAAGGCATGCTTTTAGCGAAGCGTGTTAAAGCACAAACGCATGGACCTTGAAATCGAAAACACATTATTTTTTCGGGTTGCGTGAGATGCATATGCATACATAATAGTAACTTTTAATGAAATTTTTAAATCATATATATATACTTCATTACATGTAGTCATGTAGACGATAATGAGTTCTGTTCTGATTAGTAATCAAATTGTGAGTTCTATTGTTTTCCCTTTTGTGATTCATTATCATCCATTCGATCTATTTCTATTTGTTTCTATAGTCACCAATGAGACTCATGTTTAGTTATGGCAAAAACCCATGGAAACAGCGCTTTTGTAATCTTTAAACCGCATGAGAACGATGTATAAAAAGTGAATGATCTACTTTTCAAATACAACGGCTAGCTCCACATCTTAGAAGTTTTTTTTAATTGGTTTTGAAAGAAAAGAACTGAGTACTTTATTTTCATGAGAATTGTTTTTAGGTTGTGGAAAAATAATCAAGTAGTGTTCTATCTATCATGCATGCTCTTTTTTTGGGTTTTCACATGCATCTTATAAACCGAACCGATGAGATGAATCAAGAAAGTTAAAAAGAAACAACGGGAAGCTTCAAATCCAATGGTCATCTATGTAGCTGGTTTCAGATTCACATTTAAACCATTGACGACAACGTCAAATAATTGCGAAGACTCTGTTTCCAGTCTCCAGAAACCTTTTGTTATGAATGAGTTTTTGAGAAATGAAAAGGAAAGCATAGAAACATGTATCACGTACTTATAAATAGTTAGCACATAATAAGACACACTTTAATTATATATTGAATATTAAAGCAAGTCAATCTATAGATCCTAGAGAGTGTTAATTTGTAAAACAAATGTTAAAAAAAGGTTTTAATTAGTCAAAATTTGCTTTACGAAAACCTAAAAATTCTTTTACCCTCTTTTCCATTTTCCCGTTTATAGTGTTTGGTAAAAGGTCAATTTATAAATTTCATGTTTCAAGTGTTTTTGCTTAAAGGTAAAAAACAAAAACAAAACATGGCAAAGGAAACTCTTAATTTGTTCTATTTTAATATGTAGAACAACACCTAAACAATATTTATATTGTGTGCTTGTAGAAAGAAAAAAAAAGTTGAAAAAACATTGGAAAAATAAAAAGCTGGAAAGAAAGAAAAGAGAAAGAAGATGATGAGCTAAAAGAAAATAAAATGAAAGAGCAGAAGCAGTGACGACTGGGGTTGATGGAATATTGTGTTTCCTCAAATATGAGCAGCTTGCAGCACTCTCCTCATCATATCTATCATCGACCAACCCGATTGCTTTCGTACGGACTTCATTTTTTTTATAGATCAAAGACGCACATTAGACTGATCATCTCTAATATGTACACTTAGGTATGTCAATTAGGGTTAAAGCCCGCGGGTTAGTTTGGCCCGGTCCTGAAAAACATCGGGCTCGGGCTTAAATATATATGTCCAGAAAAAATCGGGTTTTTTGGGCTAAGCCCATTCGGAATAAAGGGTTTTTTGGGCTTAGCCCGGTCGGGCTCGGACCGGCCCGAAAAGCCGTTATACAAATATATTTTGAATTTTTTGAATATTTTAGTTTGATTAAAAGATTTGATTAATGTTATAGTTTTCATATTTACTTACTAGTCTTACTTATTACTTTTAAAATCTTTATACAAAGCTAAAACTAAATATATATAAGTATCATGATTTTGAAATCATCAAAATATCTATTAAATTTTGACTCTATCTTATACTTTAAAGTATTTTAGTTCCATGTTTTATTGGGTTAAAGTGTAAATAATTTATTTGGCTTTTATTTTTTCTCTTAAATTAAGTTAGTTTTATTGAATATTGATAAGTTATTTATGCATTATTTTTATAGTAGACTTTTAAATATAGTTTTTAGAAAACTATTATGAACTTAGAAATTGATTTTTTATCGGTAAATAAAGCCCAAAAAAGCCCGAAAAGCCCTATAGCCCTGTTAGGGCCGGGCCGGGCTTTGAAATATAGGCTCGGAAATTTTTCGGGTCGGGCCGGACCGGACTCACATATATGAGGGCTTTACGGGTTTCGGGCCGGGCCGGGCCGGGCTAGCCCGATTGACATGCCTATGTACACTAACCCGAACCATCCCTCTTTTCAATATCTTCTTTTTAATGGTTTTTTACAAAAACTTTTTAAAACTAAAAATATTGAAATCTAAGAATAATATTTGTTTACTAAAATCGTCAACCGGCGAAATTACCCACCGATGAATTACTCGGTTTTATATTATTAACATAAGTTTCACACTCTAACAATCCACATAAAGAAAAAGAGTATAAAAATTGTGTTATTGGTTTGCTTCCCTTCGCACTTGATTTCACAGAAGTTTTTACAATTTGCATAATGTTATACACAATAGCTAGATAAGCATTGATTATACTCGGACATTTACGATTTGCATAATATTTCTTTGCAATATGTCATCTAAGATTTTACAATTCAGACATTTTCATTGCTCCCTAAACCCAATCAATTCCTATAAATACGTTTTTTTGGCAAATTTTAACCAAATAGATGTAAATAAGTCCAAAGGTAGAGAAGATAAACAAACTAAAGATCGAATCATCCATAAGTCCTAAATCTTATGCACAATTACAGCTTCAAGCCTTCAAGTGATAAATCCATGGCCCATGCAATGATAACTCAACACACATCTAGTATTTTTAAAAGTGATTTTGATTTTATGTTTATGATATCACATCTTTTTCTTTCATCCCTACCAACTAAGTATCCAATTAGGATCTACTTCGTCTACTCACAACTATTTTCCAAATACATTCAACCCTTCTTAAGAAACTGCTTTTCATCTTTAAAACTAATTTTCTAAGTTCATATAAACACCCAATTGAGTATATTTTCTATTGTAATTTATGGTTTATCATTAAAATAAGGAAAAATAATCTCATCTTACTATCTAAAATCTAACCACTATAATTCTTAACATAGTGAGGATCCGAACGGTAATAAATAATTTGTTAGTATGATATTGTTGAACTGCGATACATATTTAGAAAAATGTATTTTTGGAACAATTACGGTTGCTGTAAAATAAACGGTATAAATAATATTTGTTTGATGAAACTATTTGCAATCAATATTTTATTAATAATTAGTGTATTTTTTATTTTTATATATTAATAAAGAAATATAAATTGATTAATTTATACTTAAAAAGACAAAAAAAAAAATACATCAGAAGTAAGAACAAAAAACAGGTAGAAACTCTGCTTTGGACTACGCAAAGCGCACAAGGCCGCCTCTTTCACCATCCCCAAAGCTCCTCCACCACGCACCATTTTTATTTCGTTTCATCTTTTTACTACTTTCAAAATGCCCTTTTTGTCGTATTACTACAAATCAAAATTACTTACAAACTTCACAGTCACACACATTATTATGTTGGAACCGTTTTATTTCCTAACGAAAAAAAAACAAAAAAAAATACTGTATATAACCTTTATTTACATTTAATGTTTTCTACTCCTACACGAAACTAGTTCTGAAAATATGGCTACGAAAAAACACCAAAAAAAACTATTTTAGTTTCGTTAACAAATAAAAACAAATATAGCATTTTAAAAGAATAAAGAAAAATGTGACATCAAC